AGGTTCCCGACCATATACTACTTTAAATGGAGTCATACCCGTGCTAGTATGGTAAGCAGTATTATACCAATATTCAGCTCATGGTAACAACTTAGCCCACTCTCTATGACTATCAAATGTAAAGCATCTTAGATACATTTCAAGACACTTATTCACAGCCTCAGATTGGCCATCTGACTGTGGGTGATAAGCTGTAAACATGTTTAGCGATGTGCCACTTAGTTTAAATAGTTGTTGCCAAAATTGGCTTGTAAAAACTTTATCCCTATCTGACACAATTGACTTAGGAAATCCATGAAGTTTCACCACTATATTCATGAAAGTTTCAGCAACTACCTTACTGGAATAGTCAGTTTTCAGACCAGAGAAATGAGCATATTTTGATAATCTATCAACCACGACCATAATTACAATGTATCCATGAGATAAGGGCAACCCAGTGATGAAGTCCATGGCAACATCTTCCTAGACTTTATTAGGGATAGGCAGGGGTTGAAGTAATCCTGCAGGTGCTGTAGTTACAGTTTTGGCTTACTGGCATACTAAGCAATTCTGAACATGAGTCTTGACTGACTTGTGTAATCTTTGCCAGTGGAACTGAGCAGAAATTTGAGCTAGTGTTCTAGAATATCCAGCATGTCCCCCAACTAAGGAATTGTGGCACTCATGCAGAATCTGTTGCTTGAGGGAAGGATCATCAGGAATGACCAACCTGCCTTTCCCATACAGAAGACCATCATGTACCATGTAAGTGGTATCAGGTGCTTTGTTTGTCAAACACAAGTTGATAATCTATTGTATTTGCTCATCCTGCATTAAGGCCTGTTTAAGCCTTGTTACAATCTGCAATTGTGGTTAAGACCTGCCATGTGAAAGCATCTGGATAAGAAGTCAGCTGAGATGTTGTCCTTTCTAGGTTTATATTCAATAGTGAAATTATATCCAAGCAACTTGTGCAGCCAATTTTGTTGCTCAGGGGTTTGAATTGCTTGATCAGTCAAACTCTATAAGCTCTTCTGATCTATTTTAATTACAAACTTATGCCCGAGTAGGTAGTGCCTGAACTTCGCAATAGCTTTAGTTATTGCATAAAATTCTCTAGTGTACGCTGACTTCTTCTGCATGCTAAGAGTCAATTTCTTGGAAAAAAAATGCAATAGGTTGGTTACCTTGGCTCAGAACTGCCCCTATGCCGAATCCCGAAGCATCAGTTTCCAAAGTAAAAGACTTGGAAAAATCAAGCAATGCCAACACTGGAGCTTGTGTCATGGCTTGTTTCATCTGTTCAAAAGCCATGACTGCGTTAGGACACCACTAAAAATTATCTTTCTTCAACATATTGGTTAACGGGGCAGTTATAGAAGCATAATTATGAATAAATCTTTTATAATAACCCGTAAGACCCAAAAAATCACTTAGTTGGTTGAGTTTCTGAGGTACAGGTCAGTCCATTACTGCTTGGACTTTCCCTGTTTCCATTGCCACTCCAGAGCTAAAAACAGAATGACCCAGGTACTCCATTATTTGAAGACCAAATGAGCACTTTGACAGTCTAGCATATAACTGATGCTGAAGTAAAAGCTCTAGAACAGTTTCTAAGTGCTACAAATGAGCTGTCCATGAGGAACTGTAAACCAGTATGTCATAAAAAAAATACCAATACAAACCTTCATAAGAGGCCTCTAAACACATCATTCATCAAGCATTGGAATGTAGCAGATGCATTAGACAACCCAAATGGCATAACAAGCCATTCATAGTGACCTTGGTGGGTTCTAAAAGTTGTTTTATGCTTATCCTCATCATTCATCAAAATTTGATGGTATCCTGATCTAAGATCCAACTTAGAGAAAAAACAGACTCCATGAAGTTCATCAATTAACTCATCAACTGTAGAGATTGGGAAGCTATCCTTAACCGTGATAGCATTCAAAGCTCTATAATCAGTGCAAAACCTCCAAGTGCCATCTTTTTTTTTAACCAACACAATTGGTGAAGAGAAACGGCTGGTACTTGGCACAATAATGCCTTCATTTAACATATCTTGTATCATCTTTTCAATCTGCAACTTTTGGCTATTAGGGTACCTATATGGTCTCACTTTAACAAGCCCTTTTCCATACATCAAGGGAATAGAATGATCGTGACTTCTATTAGGTGGTAGCCCTTTAGGAATAGCAAAAACCTATTTGTAAGTGTGCAATAGTATAGGCAATTCAGGTTCTATGTTGGCTAGTAAATCCAGCCAATCATCGTGCAAACAGTGTGGGGGTTCTGCCTGAAGAGAATACAATTCAGCAATGAAATTGGTATGAAACATTTTCTTCAAATGGTTGAATTGAGCAGTGCTAGCAGCTGCAGATTTCTCACCATGGAAAGTCACAAATTGATTGCCCAAGTAAAATTTCAATGTAAGAGTGCTATAATCCGAGATATGGGGTCCAAGCGTAGCTAACCAAGCAGCTCCAACAGGTAAGAGGTAAGCAGATAATTGAAGTGTGTGCCTCTGGATCAATACTTGCAAATTGTTAATCAAACCCTCAGCCACTAAGGAATTGCTATTTCCCACTAAAACTTGAAAATTAGGGACTGGTGCAATAGGTAATTTGAGGCAATGAGCAATTCTTGGTTGTAGGAAGTTGTCAGAACTTCCACTATCCAATAAGATCTGAATGATGATACCATTTATGGACCCTTTAAATCTCATAGTGCCAACCCCTGAAGAGCCCTTTAAGGCATTGTAAGACAAGTGGTGTTCCAAGGGCGTCACTGTATCAACTGATAAAGTATTGTTTGGAGGTTCAGGTTCAGGACTAGAAGTCTCATCATTTACAATTTGCAAGAACAAATATTGCTTGTTTGGACACTTGTGTGAAGGTGAGTACCTTTCGTCACATGTAAAACATAGGCCTTTCTCCCTACGGAGTTGGACCTCAGCTGGTGTCAGTCTTTTTATATTTGGTAATTTGAAATGGGAAGAGGGTGGGGTGGGTAACAGAGGTGGAAGGCTATTGGATTTCAAGGTTTGTGATATGGGGGGGTTTGTGTTTGTGGTTTGTGTTTTGAAAGGAGATGTGGGCTGGTAGTGTTTGTTTTTGGAAGTGTATTTTTCTTCAAAGAGTTTGGCTAACGATATAGATCTCATCAGTGTGGTTGGGCTTTGAGCTATTACATCCCTGCGAATTTCAGGTTTTAATCCACCCATAAAACAATCTAGCAGAGCTTCAGTAGTAATGCCTTGAACTCGGTTAGATAATGCAGTAAATTGGACATAATAATCATATACAAATTCAATTTGAACCAGCTTAAACAAGTTGGATCGTGGGCACTCATAAGGGGAAGGTCCAAATTCGAGCTCAAAAGCTCTAGTAAAATCAGTCCATGACTGAAACGGATTGGTACGAGTGTGCATTTGATACCAAGGAACTACCTCTTTATCGATGTGAATAGCAGTAATAGTCAGGCGTTGATCATCCGGAGTGTGGTAGTAATCAAAGAACTGCTCCGCTTTGAAGATCCACTGCAACACATCGGAACCATCAAAACGAGGAAAATCCAGCTTAACATTACAGACTTGAAATGGTGGGTTCGCAACCTTTGCATCTGGTGTTGTACCCGCTTTTGTTTTCAGCAATTCATCAATGGCAGTTTCCAGTGTTGAAAAATGAACAACATAATTGGCATTGCGAGTTTCCATAAGTTCCAAGATTCGTTTAATGTCGTTAGAAAGCTCTTTCAAACGAGTGTTGTCAACCATGGTGAATGGAATGAAAGCACCAAATGTTATGGATAAAATACTAAGCTATTAATAAACATGAGCAAATAGGAACGATGTATGGTAATAATGGATGATATGGATTATATTATAATGGTAAAATCAGAAACAACATAAATAGAAAGCTACGTAAGGAATGTAGCAGCAAGTATGGAGAATCAGTCCAGAAAATGCAGAAGAAAGAAGGAGTCAATAGAAAAGAAAACAGAATCACACTTTCTATGCTTTTTCTCTTTCTCTAACAGAAATTTTATACTCTATTCATGAGTACTCAAACCCATACAGCCTAGAGCTTATGACCCTCACGCGTGTGCTCTTTTTCATCTCACGCTTTTGTCGCTCATCTGCCACATGTCTTGCTCCTACGCCATGCACGACAAGTAGGTTCCCTTGTCTCTCCTCATTATTATTCATTACAGTATACCAATTAGTGAACTGTGGATTAGTAGCAGCCCAACAACCTTTGCCACTGTTTCAAAAAAGAACAATTGCTAGACATCGATGCAGAAATTTGCTAACCATTGAAAGAGACTATGGAGCATCATACAGTGACACATGTTTTGTTATTCTAAAGAAAGAAATATGTGATAATGTTTCAATAAAAATGATCAATAATATCGATATATACCTCCTGGCTCCTGCCAAAGCCAATTTTGTGCAACGAGTGCCCACAAAACTCTTAAACTCTGCTACTTTATGTCCATAAGATGCCAAAATCTTTGCCTCATAATTGATGCAGAACACAACTATTTTCACGGGTCTGGACTCTGCAATTTCAAAAAGAATTACCCAAGGTACAGTAATAACAAAAGAATTTATATTTATTTAATTAATTGTACTTGCTTTTTAAAATTTATCATGAAAATACTTATTTTTAAATGGCTGAGATCTTCTGTAAATAGAAAAAGAGCAATTAATTCCGTTTCCAATTCAATCTTTTAAATCACTTTCATTTTTTATGTTTTTCTGAGCATAGAAAAACTATGTGAAAAAGAAATATATCGACAAAAAAAAAAAAGGAAAAAGAAAAGTATCCAACTATTTATGTTTCCTTTCAAATGATAATGAAAAATATTCAACTTTCCTTTTCCTTTTACCGAGTCAACTTTTGGAAACCAATTTGTTTCCAATGATCAAACCTAATTATTTTGACTAAGCTCGTCCAAAAGAACATTGACTCGTACAAAAAAACAATAAAAACAAGTTGGTATACTCTGTCAACAGCATCATACCCAGAAAAATTTCAAGAGTAAAATTAAACCCCAAAAGATTATTATTCCTTGATATTTTTTTTTTGGCTAACATTGTATGAATTCTTTAATTCACTCTGTGCAAGTTGCACTGTGAATTTTAATTTTTCTTTCATTTTAACTCCGAAATTGCAGAGAGACAAAATCACAGCAAAAATCAGTTGGCGAGGTAGCCATCATTTGCATCCCTGTTTCTCTCTCTTTCCCTCGTAATTTTATTTTTGAGACAACTCATACAGCTCTTGCAAATTGCAACCTGGTTGCTCACTTCCTTATAATCGTTCCCTCTCTCTCTCTCTCTCTCTCCATTTTCTCTCTCTAGTATTACCGTCAAACCCACCTTCAGTTTCTGGCTTCTGCCGAGTAGTTTGATCAGGTTCCGTCTCTTTTCGCATACCCAGATCTGATTTTGCTTCAATTTATTCACTTTTTCATTTCTTGGATCTAATGCATCTCTCTAATATACTGATTCAATCTCAATTCTTAGTATTTCCTCTCAACCTGCTTCTGGGACTGAATTAGGACCCCTTTTGATCTTAGTTTTGATGCTTGATTTCTCGCATAATTTGCTCCTTGATTTTTCTTTTGTTTCAGTATTAATAAATATTTAGTCTTTATCATTTCTTGAAATTATTAGCTTGGGATTGACATTTAGTTATGGTGTCCCTCTTAGTTTTTCAACGATCTCTTGAAATTCAACTTTGGACCTTTCTTTTATGTCTTTCAACTTTTTTCTTGTACAGTTTTGGATTGTCTAAACTTTGATTGCTATGAGACGTGAAACTGTATAGCATTGGTGTCGGACAGTTCATTTGTTTGTTTGAGAACTTGGATTGATATCTTAAAGCTGATGTAAGACTTAAATTAAGGTTGCGATATTGGTTCTTTCTTTGTAATTGAATTCAACATTCAACTCCAATTGTGTTTTGATGCTGCTTCGACGAAGTAAAGACATTTATATTTTTACTTTATACATATTTAATGCTCATTTGTCTAATTGTCTCGTCATATACTGTGCAGATATTGGTATTTTCGTATTACTTCTTGTTTCTTCTTTGTTGAATAAATCAAGTCTCTAACTGATTGCTTTATGACTTGAAACTGTGATGTTAATGCAAGACAAACTGAATATTTCTTGAAAGACATCTTTTCAGAATGCAAGTAACTGTTGTTGCTGAGAAAGGTTTTTCTTGAACTAGTGCATAACAAAAAATTGAAAGGGGTTTTTGTTTCTACAATGCAGTTAAGTCTGTGGTTTTGGTGCACTAATACTGAAAACGAGCTACAATGAAGAAGGCAATTGGTCAAACTGTTAGGGAACTGTAAGTCTAAACTATTTACTATTGTATGGTCCAAAATATGCCATGATTGTAATTTCTATTTTGGGTGTTTGTTACCTTTTAAAATCCCGACCCCATTTTATAAATTCCTTACTCTCTCTTCATTGTAATCTTGCAGAAAAAGAGAAGTAAATAAGAAAGTATTGAAAGTTCCTGGCATAGAACAGAAGGTAAATTATGTTCTTTGAACGTTCACTGTAAAACTATGAGTGCACAACTCATAGCAAGATAATGGCGTAAAGATTTGTGTGGAGTCTGAAATCTTAATTTACTTTTCTATAAATACTTGCTCATGAAATAGTTTGTTGACTATTCTGCAGTTTACATATTATAAAGTTATCATGCAAACTTTAATCAGATTAGTCTCTTCTCTCCCCTCTTCCAGGTTCTTGATGCTACCAGCAACGAAGCATGGGGTCCTCATGGATCACTTCTTGCAGATATTGCACAAGCGACCAGAAATTAGTAAGCTTGAACTCTTTATTTTATGCTTGACACAGTATAAGAATTATCTAATTTTTTAGCTCACTTGCAGTCATGAATATCAAATGATAATGGCAGTAATCTGGAAGCGGATTAATGACACTGGCAAGAATTGGAGGCATGTCTACAAGGTTTTGTAGAACTCTTTTATGTTTTTGTTGCAGTTATTGCTGGAACCTTTTACTCTTCTTTCTTTTTTCTATTTTCATAATGCTCTTTTGTGCCCCTCAATACTTCAATGGACCCATGAGGTACACCATTTATGAAAATTGTCTTAATGCTTATTTACATCCTTTGAAACCATGAACCGCCTCTTAAGAACTCTGTCTTGTATGCTTTTTGCATTTACGGTTGCTTACACTCTCTTGAATAGAACAATGCTTATGTTTATGCGTTAAATGTTCAATGACAGGGTTTGACAGTACTAGAATACTTGGTCGCTCATGGATCAGAGCGAGTCATAGATGAGATTAGAGAGCATGCGCATCAGCTATCGGTAAATTCCACTTTGTTGATTGTAAACATTTATATACTGTTAATTATTTGTCGTGCAATTTCCTAATGTTATTGAAATGATCTAAAAATTATATTGCAACTTTATAATATTGTAAATGCCACATGAACAGACATTGTCCGATTTTCAATACATGGATTCTAGTGGAAGAGACCAGGGAAACAATGTCAGAAGGAAATCACAGAGTCTTGTTCTCCTTGTGAATGATAAAGAAAAAATCATAGAGGTTAGACAAAAGGCTGCTGCCAACAGGGACAAGTAATCCTCTTCTCATTAATTTTTTAATATTTTGAACTTTGTTATTTTCTAGTTGCTATAAAAACTTGTATTCCTCCTTATTTTGAAAGAATAAGATATTGTTTAGGTAGATGTTTTTTCTTTTTTGCCCCATGTTTTGAAATATCCATCATTTAAGTGTTTGAATTTCTTTAGGGTTTACCACAAATCTATCATCTCAGGGTAGAATTTGACATATGTAATTGTTTGGATTTCTCAATATGGAGGAGAAATATAATTGTCCTACATGATTCCCCAGGTTTCGCAACAATTCGGCAGGCGGAATGTATAGGCCTGGTTCATACTCAGCTAGTGGAGCTTACGGTGATAGATATGAAAATGATCGTTATGAAAGTAGGGAGGAAGATAGAAGTGGTTATGGCCGAGAAATAGAATGGGGTTACAGAGATGATGATCACTACAGTCATGATGGAGATCGTTATGGTAGAGATTATGAGGAACACTATAGCAGAGACAGTTACAGGGACGATGAGAATCGTGGAAGAAGTCAAAGTGGTGATGGTTATCAATATGGCTCTAGAGGCAGGAGCTCTGATAGAGATCATGATCGTAGTTTTGATGATGATGGTCAATATTCATCTCGGTATGAGCCTATATCTGAAATAGATAATGCTTTTTAAAGTATTCTCTTATCTAATAATCTGAAATAGATATTGTTTTTAGTTTTAAAAATTAAATTTCTGGGGTTTCATTTGGTTTTGGTTCTGGCTTTCTTGTTATCATATTTTAGTGTATTGCATTAAGCTGACGGATTTTTTTGGGCTATCATCAATTGGATTTGGGTAGCTTTGATTTTGGGGGAAGAAAAACAAGTATATCTTTAACCTTCTCAGTTCAAAATTTTTTATCATGGAGAACCCAACACATTCAACTCCTATCAGATTTATAACTATATTTTTAATTTAAGGCAGAATGAATTGGTTAAGATTCCTATGTTTATTTTCAATGTCAAGTCAAAAAACAAGTTTAAGGAATGAGTGAGTTGTATACTCTAGCGAAAAATAGAGAGATTTTTGCAAGAAATTATTTTAATTTTTGGTCTATGACTTTGGTATCTTAATAGTCATACCACATCAGGCATCCAACTAATTTGGTTTGAGTCTGATAGACCATTATCAATAGGAAAACTCTTCCTATCAAGTTTTAAAGCGGCTGTACTGCTAGAAACTCAAATTTGAGATCACTTATTGTGCTAGAATAGTCCTGTGCCAGCTGATATATGTGCACTTAATGGTGCTAGAATTGATGTTTGATTGGATTTAAAAGTTTAGTTTATGATTAATTGGTAAAATAACAAATTCAGTGCTCTTGTTCATTTCCAAGGGTTCTACGATTATGATTTTTTTGAGGGATCATAGAGAAGATAAGTTACTATATAAATAGTGTAGAGGACATGCAGTATAACCAACTTTGCATTGAGCTTAAGGATTTTATTGAAAGGACCAACAGATTTATTATATAAGTGACCTTTCAGAATGATATCTGTCCAGTTATGGCATCATCTTTGTAATCATGCCTTTATTTGGTCGCTGATGCAATGGACATAAGCATTCTGGTTTGGGTCTTTTAGTGGCACTATAGCAGTAATAATTAATAAAGTTCACTTGACTATGTGAATCATTTTCTTTTTTCTAAATTTGTAATTACCTTCTCATTTATCATGAAAACATGGTGATTAATGCAATGTTTTTGCTGTGGGATGCACCTCTTTCATTCCACTAACTCAGTCCTTTCTGCAATGTCTCTCAGAGGTAGTAATGCTAAAGCTGAAGACCATTCACTGGAAGGAAGGTAAATCATTCATAGAGAATATAGATATTCTCTTTCTCTCATTGCACAATGGCACTTGGCATTATTTAGATTGACCATGTGTAATACAATGGGCAGGCTGGAGCAAAAAGTTTCTGAACAAAATATGGGTGCTCCTCCTACTTATGAAGAAGCTGTTTCTCAAAGCCCTTTGCACAATGAAAGGTATGAATTTTATAAATACTGATATCACTTATTCACAAAGGAATCTGTTGCTATTATTATCTTGATTTAATAGTGTTTGGTAATTGAGAAAAGGAAATAAAAATGGAGAGAAAATCTAGATAGAGAAAATGAGGGAAGAAATTCTGATTTTATTAACAGTAACAAAGTGATTACAAGTTACGGGTCCTATAGGAGCTCTATATATATAGTACTTGCAGCATATAGAACAACTCACTGACAAATGTCATTCAACTGTCAGTTACACTGTAGCAACTAATTAACTAACTAAACTTTAGGCTTATACTCTAACATGATTGCAGGGATGTAGAAATTTCAGCTGCATCTGCTCCAAGAGGCTCTTCTCCTGTAAGTGATAATCCACCACAAACCTCTGTTGGAACAGAGGTAACTGCTGCTGCCAGTAATGTTACATCTGGAAACCATGAAGTTGGGGCTTTTGATGAATTTGACCCCCGTGGTCCTGTATCAGGTGTGAAACATTCCTTGTTTCTTGTTTTGAAAATTTTGGACACATGTTGGAGTTTATAGATATATATATACAGGTGCTTGTATATGTGCACAATTGTATAGAATTTTGAAGACATTTGAAACTGAATTTTACTTAAGATCCAGTTAAAAGGTGAATGTCCCTTCATTTGATTGAAAGGCTCATAAGTGCACCTTTCAATTGCATTCCTTTGAGTAGGATGTGATCGAGAAATATAATATGGAACAATTGGAACTTGAAACATGGAAGTGCTTTTTAGGATCTTTCAAATATGGTGTGGGGCAAGAAACATGACACTTGAATATCCTAATTGAGATTTGCTAAAGTTGTCATCAGCGGCTGTTTTGGGATTTAGTGTAATTTTTTATGGTTTCCAAGAGCTTGTATTAACTCTTAAATTCTGCTTTTTCTGCAAGAAATAATTGTTATGCTTTATATTGATGACATCTTCTGGTTTCTTATTAGCTGTCCCTGCTCCTGCTAATAATGTTGAAGTGGATTTATTTGGCTCCCTATCTGAGTCATTCTCTTCAAATGCATTGGCTCTTGTGCCTTCTGCATCAGGAACTACAACTTCTCAAGGCAATGACCTTGAGTCAACACCGTCCTTTACCCCGCCAGCTGCATCAAATAAATCTAAGCTGGTAGGAATTTATCTGTTTGTTTATATCTTCAGTATAAGAAATTATTTGAATCTTTTTCTTTTCTACACTGTATTATTAAGAATGGATTTGTGTATGGCTTGGAATACTTCTAGTTTTTGTTTTATTTCATTGTCTCTGTCCTTTCTGATTTTGTGTACTTGATTGTAGACAAGTAGGTGGGTGGGTTCTTGGTAAGAAATGTAGCATAATAATTACTATAACTTAGGTTTGTGGACCACAGTGAATGGGTAGAATTCTGAAAACTTGGAAGTTCCGGGTTTCTATGAGGGGCATATCTATTACTGTGCCTATGCTTAGAATAATCTTTATAAATGCTTTTTGCAACTTAGTGTGTGTAAAACAGCCCCTCTCATTCCCTTTTACAAGGGTTAATCTGTTTTTGCTATTCCTGGTTTTGTTGGTTTGACTTCTGGCAGTCGTTTGAAGATCCATTTGGTGATTCACCATTTAGAGCTGAAACTGCTCCATCTCAACCCCAGACCCAACAGAATCTGGCACCATCCCAATCAAGTGGTACTCATACAGAATCAGTATCTAATTTTGGGTTTGGAGACTCATTTTCTGTTGTACCATACACTACGTCTGGTGCTGCTGACACTAAGCCTTTATCATCAAACTCTCAGTTTTTGCCACAAGATTTGTCCACTTCATCACAGGAAACTGATATTCTCGCAGACATTCTTCCCCTCGCACCATTACCTGGGACAGCTTCACAGCAAAACTTTTCACCTCCTCCTGATGCTCAATCCTCATCCTCCTTTTCAGCTTCATCTGGACAAATGGCTTCACAACCTTTTATGGTACAACCTGGCCAACTTATGCAGCAAGGTTTCTCAGCTGCAACCCATCAACCTGCAGCACAAGCCTTTTCAGTGCCTGGTGGCCAACTGGTACAACCCCCATTATCAGTTCCCACCAGTCAACATGCACATCAACCCTTTCCACCACATGCTGATCTATCTGCACAATCAGGTGGTCATACATATGGTGGATTTCCTTCCCAGCCTGGTTCTCTGACTCCGGGAGCTTCAAGCATATTTCCTCAATCTCAGAGTGGACATAATGGAACTGTGAACAGGACCTATGAACAAGGATCTATGCCACCTATTCCTCAATCAGCAGGGCAGCTGTCACAGAGTGCAAACTATTTGGTTTCTGAATCTCCAACTGATCAAGCATCGCATTTTAATAGTGGTAACTTCATTGCACCACAGGGAAATGCAGTTCCCTTTACCCATCAATCACTTGGTGTAAATGTTCCTAATGTTTCACATGCTCCTCAACCTTCCAAGGATAAGTTCGAGACAAAATCGACAGTTTGGGCAGATACACTAAGCAGGGGATTGGTTAATTTGAATATATCTGGACGTGAGTGCTGTGCTTATACCTTCGTCTGAAAATGTTTTTAATGGCTGACCTTATGTGGATGAACTGTTGACTTTTTATGTTTTTGATTTGCAGCTAAAATAAATCCTTTAGCAGATATTGGAATTGACTTTGATGCAATTAATAGGAAGGAGAAGAGGATGGAGAAGCCAACCACTACAATGGCAATGTCAACCGTAACCATGGGTAAAGCTATGGGATCTGGTTCAGGCATAGGCCGGGCTGGCGCCGGTGCTCTCAGAACTCCATCAAATCCAATTATGGGTATGGATATGAGAGGCCATGGAAGTATGAATGTACCTATGGGGATGAACACGAGTATTGGTATGGGTATAGGTATAAGTATGGACATGGGCATGAGGATGGGGCAGATGCAACCACCCACCGGACTGCCTCCTGTGTCCAACGTACCAGGTAATTCCATGATGGGAACAGGTGGTTATCCTCAACAGCCTTATGGTGGCTACCGATGAGATTTGAGCATTATTCATAGATAGCAATGTTAGTATGAGATTTGAGCATTATATACCTAGATAGAAAGGTAAAGTATTATTACTCCATTGTTTTGTTACGAGCCAATATTAGTGCTACATCTTGCATTTGTATTTCTAGCAATATATGTAATTGTCTGTAAAGTAATCCAGTGTGATGTATGCTTATTCTTGTTTAATGTATTATGCTTTCCATTCCTTTTTGGGTCACATTTTCATACGTACTTTGTGAAATCATAATTGTGTACCAGTGACCAGATCAAATAACCTTGGGTTATTGCTTTTAGTCCCCAACACCAACCAGTGGTGTGATATTAATATATTCTTTTTTGTACCTTTTTTACATCGATGTTTACATGTGTAATGATTTTGATGGGATGCTGTCTATTATTAAGCACGACATGTTGTTCGTGTTGATATTGTCTGCTCAACATCTACCCAATATATTGCTTTATTTGATGAAATTTTCTTGTGGGATTGAACATTCAAAAAAAAGGACCAATTCATGGACATGAATATATTCAAAGCTGTCACAGGAGAATGGCATTTCATTCGAGGAAAATAAATGGATGCGAAAATCCTAATAATTCTATTAAAAACTATCTTATCTTACATGATTTTCATTTTTCAAAGCAATCAAATATCACATTTGGCAGACTATTGCGTGAATATTTACTGTGAACTTTCAGGGGAAAAAAACATTCTCAAAATTCTACCTACACTTATTGAATCGAATGCTGCATGTGTTGCAGCTTTGCACTCCATCATGTTTTACCCTTTATGCACCTCTTAAGGCGTGCTTACCTATGACTTACCCGAATTAGCTGCTTCATCATGTTGTCTTTGGTCAGCGTCTTCAGCAACATGAAGACGTTGTTGATCCTCATCTCTGTCACCTCTGTGCATTCAGATCAGTAAATACTTACCCCATCAGAGAAATTAAACTACAGATAGCACTTTGTTGTACTTGTGAGGAAAACATAAATCAGAGGATTGTGAACTCAAAATCATCGTTGGTTTTTTTTCATAACTACTGTATCAGCTATTCAGCATGCAAAGAATAAGACCAATAAAGTGAGAAATTGCATACCCAGAGTAGATAATAAGACCAATAAAGTGAGAAATTGCATACCCAGAGTAGATAATAAGACCAATAACAACAGCACCAAAGGCCACAAAGTACATCCAATCAACCTGTACAGCAAAATTAGCCCTAGAAATGTTAGCACTCTCTACATGCGACTCACATCTAAGTGAAAAAAATAAAGACTGAAGGTTGCCATCATACCTTCTCATGGTAAGCGAAAATGCGAATTAAGACAGCCCACATATCAGAGGTCAGCAAGGACAGATTTAACATAGTGGAACCATTGATCTGTGACAAAATAATAGAAAAATATTTATAAGTTACAATATGGTTTAACACTAACACTACCTGATAGTTAAACCATGTAAGTGATGGAAGAGAGATGCTATAGCCACTAAGACGAGTATAGACCAAGTACTAAGCAAGCAACTTCAAGGATGAAAATTCTTTAACAATGCTAACCTATTATTAAATAATTTGATCCTAGAAATAAACATTAGTCTAAAAATACTAGAGAATTATTCAATTGAAAAAATAATAAAACCAGATAATTACTTCGATTTAATGTGATCACTTTCTTTCAATTGTGATAACAAATATAATTTCAAATTACAAAATCTGCAGAATTTTTTGGAATCCACACCTTAAGCAGCACAGGGACTAAAGAGTAAAACATAAACATGGCCACTGCAAATCCAACAAAAGGAAGCGCCTGAAATCATGTCAATAAAGGGACGTAAGTAACATAAATAATAAATTGGCATGTAGCTACAACATAAACAACTTGATACACAAAACAGATAATGTTAAAATATAAAAAACAAAAGTAGAGAAACATTTGGCACGGGCCAGTTGTGGGTGGGTAAGGGTCTAATATTTACCCCTGATCCCTAGAGAAAGGACTCAATATTCCATTTCAGATGGAAAATAAAAAGCAACCCAGGATTTTAAGGTTCTTGCAAAGGAAAAGACAAGGATAATAAGTATGTAGTCAATCAAACATGTATATCTGAGATAGATAGATACAGCCTCGCAGACATCTTAGCAAAAGTGGAACTTTGTCAATTACTCACTAATAGTTTTTTTTTTTTTTTTTTTTTTTTTTTTTGTGTGTGTGAGAGAGAGAGAGAGAGAGTGTGGGGGGTAGGAGGGAGAGAGCTTACTGCCCCAGCTGACCAGTGAATAGATTTGAGCTCATTGCGCTCAAGTATGCTTCTGTAATATTCATTAAGGCCAAAACAGGAAAATGATAACTATAATGTGCTAAGTGCAATAAATGCATTTGTTTTTTTTTTTTTTTTGGCCTGTCTGAAGTCAAAGGGAAACTTTGATTTCAAAAATATTTATCTCATCCCATCATTATTTTTAATTCTATTAGAAATATGTAACTATAGTAATGCTATAAATAAGAAAAGTTATATCTTTGTAAATATGATAATTAAATAAGAGTATATTCACAAATGACACTCTATAATAATTAAGCAGTATTGCATATTGCCTCAAAATTTAGTCCTTGATGAGAAGACTAAATATACTGAGATAAATTATCACTTTAATAGATAAAAGAGCTTATTTTCAAACATTATCACTAACCTTGTCAATTAAAATAATCAGCTAACAGATACCTTCACTAAATTTTGAGAAGTCCTTGTATTAATTATATGTGACAAGCATGATGTATATGATTTATATACTTCAACTCGAGGAAGTGGCAGAGTGTTGCAAATATATAATTAAAGTTGTAAATAAGGAAGGTTATATAGTTTGATTATGATAATGATAATTAGGTAATTATATATTCTTGTAATTAATTTTTGTATTAATTATTTCTAATATGAATTTATGTTCTATTGTATAGTTTAGACACAAGATTCTATCATATGTCTCATTTTCTCAACAAATTTAGAAACTTTGTTTTAGATTCAAACAAAAATTACCTTTTGCAGTCCATGTGGGACAAAATGCTCAATCTATTTTGACATTTCATAGTTATTTATAAAATTTAAAATTTCAATGCAATATAATTATAAACAGTTTGATTTGTTCAACCACTGAGTAAAGCAATGTTTAAATTTGGCTTAAAGATTGCAACTAGATACTTCAGCTATGCAACTGAATGTAGATGCAAGTATAAGTAAAGTTTGATTATCCAATTAGACACTTTTTTCAGCAATTTTCACAAAAAGTTTGAAGACAGATAAATAAATAGAAATAAAGTAAGCTAAGAAAAATTACTCAACTATAGGATCTTAGTCTACCTTTTATTATATAGCTAATTTCAAGGATACATTTGAATGGCACTGACAATGCCACCAAAGAGACCTAACATTGCCATCAGCTCAACTCTATCAGCATTTTTCACTAGAAACTCCTGTAATTGGAAAGAAATAACAATAACAAATGAATCATGTGAGAGCATCTCAATTAGCCCCAATGTCCCAGATTCAATATGCGTATATGTGCATCTAGTGTACATGGTAAATTGTAAATTGCAATAGTGTTTCAACAAGTGTTAAAAGCAGAAGTGTAATCAGCTTACCTCGCTGACATTGCAGACAGCATACAATGTAGCACCAGCAATAACAAGAAGGTCCCCTGTACGAGGGTTGCTTCCACCTATAGCATGTGCACATACCATGAGAGAACTACCGTACAGAGAAAGGCATATGTTATTAATGACAAATGACAAGATCAAAATGTACACAAAAAAGTTTGAAGAACAAAGATAGTGAGTACGTAACTCTAGTTTTCTAAATGTGTTTGTGTGAGTGTTTATATTTGTTACACCACAAGATATAGGTGTCAATCTCAAACACTTACCAGCTCGGTCACCTGCATGGACATCTGAAAAAATAACCAGGACAAGACCAGCAATGCAAAAAGCTACGCCAGTTATCTTTTTGAATCTATATTTTGTTTTCAAGAAAATCCACGTAAGAAGCATAACACATGGAATGGTCCAGCAGTCAAGCAGCATCACACTTGTTAGTGATGTGTATTGATACGCCTTCACAACTGTTCATTAAATTAGAATTAGCATGTAAATCATCAAAAGTAATATCATGCAACTCAACAGGTGACTTGCTTTAATAGAATGGTCCAACAGTAAATGTACTAGAAAGAAAAAATTGAAGTTATACTGAAGTAATTTATTTGGATTTAGATGACTAAATTTGAGACCAACAGGTTCTCCACAAAATTCTAATTATCCTTTAACCTGCTGCTGCTTGAGCAGATTGAATACAGATATATTAATTTCAATTTTCAACAATATGCTCTCTAAGTAATACTATGTCTCTTCCATAGGAAACACTTACCAAGAAAATTTCCTTCAACATCAACCAATCCAAGAAGTATGTAATAATACCATTTTTCCTGCATCAATACATATAAATTTAATGAAATTATCTTTAAATGTTCAATGCTGAAAAGGAAAACAAAGTAAAAAGAGCATATCATTATATCTTCTAAGGGCAGCACCTTTACACCCTCCTCTGTATGGGTTGGTTCTCTTTTAACATAAAAGAAGTTTATCAATATCATATCTCATGCTAAAAATTAAGAACATCATAACAAAACTACATGTCACACAAGTGTGGTAGTTTATATGTACATACCAGGTTCCCAAAAATATTGTCAAAATTCATAAATAGGTTAGGTGGGATTATCCTAAATTGATGGAACTTTTGAATATTATCATAAGAAATCATTTATCCACAATATACTTTTCAAAACACAAATACAAGGTTCGTCGGCATCTAAGACACCATGCCAAGAACCTCAGGCTCACTACCCTCAACCTGTCTCGTGAAGATCACTCACATCTAGGATTTAGCACATGTCGAACCATCCCCCATAACCTGGTCCAAGCCACAGTGATGGTAAAAGGGAGCTGAGATTATAGAGGGAGCTGATCTAATTACAAAGCCTTTTCTGGAACTACCCCCTGATCCTACCATTTCCTTGTTACAGGGGTAGTTATGTGTGATTACAGGAATGATGCAACAATTGAAAGGGGCAGTTGCAGCAATGGCGTTAGCAGAATGAACACCCACACAGTCCAACACTTATAAATAGAAGAAAGCAACCCCATGCAGGAATGTTTTCAAAACCAATTGCATTACTCTACTAAATATTTCCTGACTTAGCCGTGTGAATGTTTCCTTGTAAACATCCTCCCCAGCCCGTTGAGACATCTTCAACACCCACCTTCAAAAAATTAATCCTCCTGTCTAGAACAGTTTGAGACAAACCAGAAGCACCCTGCAGATCAAATTCCGAAGCAAACCAATGGCTCTACAAAATCGTTGTTTCTTTTTTGTTCCCATCAAGTGTTGTTCATAATGCAAAACCTCTTTATATCATAAAAGTAACACAAAGAACGGGATAATTATAGAGCACACCACCAATATCAAGCCCTGTTTCACCCGATGTTCATCACATCAGTCATCGAATGAAACCACCAGCTTAAAAACATGCACAGATCATTTATAAAAAGTTTCAAACATTCTTTAATTCAATTTCAATCAAAATAAACAAAAACTAAAAAAATAACTGTCTAAGGCACTGCATTATGCACTGCAAGTAAATCAGAGCTAATAGGCAATATGCGTAACAAAGAACATAAAATCATCAAACATAGTGTATAACCTTCAATGCTTCCCTTCTGTATAGAACAATGCTCCCATAGACAATTGCCAAGAACACATAATTGAGAAATGACTGTGAAGTTGGTGCATTAATTCCTGTAACAATACAAGACAAGGACAAAATCAACTTATGAAAGAAGTAAGGAAGAACAGAAAATGTTTTGTGAAATTCATGTTGTAAACAGACCAATAATCCAATAACAGTCAGTCATTAAGCGTGGACTAAGAATTAAGAACAAAAAAAGGAAACATAATAAAGGTGGGAAAAAGGAACGGAAGTTTCAGCAAGACGTAATCAGAAAGCTAGCAAAAAGTATCATCATTTAAAAGGAAAGAATGTCGAAGATGCAGCATAGAAGAGTGCAACCTGACCTTTTTTAGCCAATTCAGAAGACGTGAAACCAGTGGAAGTGATCAGAAGTGAAAGAAATTGTCCCAACCCAAGACCTGTTAATGTTTTTCTGCTCCAAAATTGCTCGAAACTGAGCATCTTCTCCTACGCTCGGAATTTTTATTTTTATTTTTTAAAGTTGCAGTTTTGTGAACACCCTTTAGCAGAAACAATGTTGTTTAGCATTTAAGGAAGTTTGAAAGGACCGAAATTCCTCAAAAGTAAAAGAAGACACACTAAGGAAAATGTGTTTCTCGAGAATCTGTTTCTGTTAAAGAGAGTGAAAAAATCAGAACACAATCTCGTGGAGTCACCAACTTTCAGTTTTATAATCACTTCAAAAACTGCGAAAAATACGGGTTCAAATACATAGTTCCGATACTGGGTCCAAACTAATTATCTTCAATTTTTATTCTTGATCCTCAAAATCAAATTTATTTAACAGTAAAATTGAAAACTCGTATTATCTCAAACAATTTTACTGCATGTCAAATTCAGTGTCACGTTACTGTCAAAAACTATTATAAAATCAATTGATTAAAAAATAGATTATTTAATACCTTAAAAGTTTTAAATTTTACTTTTTGGCATACTGTTTTTTATTTATAAATCTTTAACAATTATTACAAAACGCTTATTATTATTATTATTTAATTGTAAGGGTTCTTTTGAAGCATTGAATTAAAAGATATAATTTGTAATTATAATTTTACCTTCAATTATTGTTATTATTATATTTTTTAAGCAAAATTGTTTATTTCATTCTTAAAAGATACATATATTACCCTACCACTCATTCTATTTTAAAATTATATAATTCATTTCTCTAAAAATTTAAAACGTATTGTAATTTATTTTTTTATTAAAGCATTATTAAAAAAACCATACTCCAATTTTTATTAAATTTTATATGTTGCTTATCATCTAATTCTCATTTGTATGCCATAAGTTTTTAAATTTTGGCAGGTTTTAAATTTTTCATTGAAAGTGTTAAAATTGCAAGTCATCTATATCTTGTATGTTTTTAGTAAAAGTGGTAATTGATAATTATCATATTGTTAATGTTAGCATTTAACGTTGAAATAAACCCTTTAAAACTCTTGCAACTATGATAAATTCTAAAAATATAGAATTTGTTTAAAGAAATTTTAATAAAAAAAATATCAAACAAGTGTTTAACAATGTTTTAACGAAATTTTCAAAATAAATTAAAGTGTGATCCATTCTAATTATTTAGGAAAAATAATTATATAAATTTTAAATAAAAATAAGAGTAATATAATGTATGTATATTTTAAGAAAAATAAATGTACTTAATTCTATTTTTTATATTTACGATGTATAAATAATTATAACATAAAATATCTTTAACTTTAAATTATTTAATATTTTTAATTACTATAATCATGGATAATATTGTGTTAAATTTGAGTTTAAAATGGTTTTTTATTGAAAAAGTAGTAATAGTAATAAAATAGGTAAGAAGAATAATAATAGTAATACAAATATAATATAATAATAATAATTATCAATTATGGTAGGTTAATAACTATGATATTATCAATGAAAGAGAAAGTTAACGTTGATGACATCAATAATAATGATTCTAATTATCTATTAATACCAGTAAATCAACACTAATAGAAGAAATAAAATACGAAATAAAATTAAAACTTATTTAAAGAGTTTTAGATTAAGAAACAAAAATAAATAAATTTTAAGATATTAACTATTAAAATTTTAATTTTAATTACGATAAAAACCTTATAAATATTGTTATTACAATTCTAATTTTCAAGTTTCAATTTTCATGTATAATTTCTTCTACCATACGGATATTAATAATTAACATATTATTATTTAAACTTGTATTCATATTTTATGGTGTTAGAGTTAAAAAGTGTAAAAAAAAATGTTGAAAATTTATTATTTTATATATATATGGGAAAGAATATTCTTATACTAGTGTAAGTTTAAAAACTTTTACATCATTAAATATTTCATTTAACTTAAATCTAACGGTCAGTAAAGTAATAAATCACCCGTTAAATTTAAATTGAATAAAATGCTAAGATTAATGTAGGAGTTTTTAAACTTACACTGATATAAGAAGATCTTACTTCTATATATATATGATTAGTATATTTTTTTTATGCTATTTTTTGTCAAGCTTCTTATATATTTAAATTTTAGTTATTTGATCATTATTATTTTCATGAAGGAAGCACAATACAAAAACAAATAACACATTAGGTTAGTTTTTAGAAATATAAGTATGAATAAATTTAATCTTTACTATTATAGCAAGGTAAATATATTTTTTGACTAGTACAATCGAGGTTAATTTAATAAATCAGCATTATGAGTGAACTGTATCTTTAAGTTTACAAAGTAAAGAAAGTTAAAGCACTTCTAATGGTACTTGACTTTTTTACAGAAATATTATTAAAAAAATAAAAAATTACAGAAATAGAATCAATAACACATTATTTATTGAGATGAACCAAATTATTGTAGCGCAAAATGGTAATTTAGAATTTGGTTCTCCAGGAACCAATTGATTGTTTTGCCTTCTGCAAACCAATTGTTCAAGTGGATGAAACATTTTTGACTGACAAATACAAAGAGACTTTATTAGTGGTAGTTGCACAAGACGGCTACAACAATATAATTCTCATTACTTTTGCTGTGGTTGAAGGTGAAACTAGCAATGCATGGTTCTTTTTTTTTTTTAAACTTAAGAAGGTACGTAACCCCGCAATAGGAGTTATGTCTCATTTTGGGATCATCACGAGGTCATAAGAAGTACATACTCCAGAAATAGAAGTGGTTGGACGGAAAACAATTATGTTCATGTCTATTGCATTAGACACATTGCACAAAACTTTATGCGAAGATTCAAAAATACTGCACTGAAGAAAGATGTCGTCAATATGGATAATTTTAATTTTTTACATACTCCATATTATTATTAATATTTTATACAATTATTTAACTAGTTATATTAATTTAATTTGTAATATTGTTTCCAGCATATGGGATGACTGAACTGAGATTCTTTTACTATTACAACATAGTAAAAGATAATAATCCTGAAGTAGCACAATGGTTGGACAACATCCCAAGCGAAAAATGGACACTGACATAAGACAACGGACGACGCTGGGACACATGACAACAAACTTAGTGGAGTCAATCAATTCGGTCTTGAAGAAAACTAGAAACTTACCAATTTGCTCCATGGTCATGACAACATACACCCGTTGCAATAAGTTTTTCATTGATAAAAGCAAGGAAGTAGATACAATGATTAATGCTCAACATATGTACTCAGAAGTTGCAACTAAAGCAATTCAAGATGCACAGTCAAAGGCGAACACCCATAGAGTCATCACCTTTGACAGAACAAGCACTAGATTTTTAGTCGAAGAAATGTAACATCTGACATAAATTCGACTCGTAGAAAGATTTACAGTACGGTTAAATGAAATGTGGTGTGATTGTGGCAAGTTTCAAAAAGTTCACATCTCATGCTCGCATGTACTTGCTTCATACTTACACACACACCACAACTTTGACATCCACATATCTCCTGTGTATACCTTACAACAAGTTTCTAAAATATATGAAAGTCAATTTGGAGAACTCAGACACAAAGACTATTGGCCAACTTACACAGGCCCAACTTTGTGTCTAAATCCAGAACTGAAAAGAACTTCAAAGGGTCGATCCAAGTCCAATAGGATAATAACAGAGATAGACATTAGAGAACAATAAAGTCGGGCAAAAAATTGTTCTTATTGTCATACCCCTGGTCACACATGGAAGACATGTTTAAACATCGCTTAAACTTCTAGTTCTCACCATTGATTTATGTTGTTGTTATTATTTTAAAATTTTATTAATGTCATTTTTTATTTTATGAATATTATTGCAACTTTTTAAATTTTTAGTATTTGTAATTTATATTAAATATATAATTATATATATAATATATCTACATAATATTATTTTATTATATTTATTAATATTAATAACATATTTTTTTAAATAAATAATTATGTACAAATTTTAATAAATATTAATATCTCAAAATAAATACATAAACTGGTTATTATTTAATAATTTTATTTAATTTTTAAATATATAAAATTAAATAAATTTTTATTATAATTTTTATTTTATATAAATTTAAAATTAAATAAATTATTATTGTAATTTTTTAAAAAATATAATATTAAATAACCAAAAATATAATTTCAGAATATAATATTAATATCATTTAAAAAAAATCAAAATTATATTAATAATATAATAAGAAAAATAAAAATATTATTTATTATCTTAAATATGTAAAATAAATTTTATTTATTATTTTTATTCATTTTCAAATTATATAAAAATATAAATATAGTTTAAATAATAACTTATTTTATTATATATAATTAACAAAATATTTATTTTAATAAAATCTAAATATATTTTAATTAATAATATTTATTTTATTATATTAAAAAAGACAATTCAGAATTCGGTTTTCGGAAACCAAATTCTGAATTGTCATTTTACGCTACAGTAATTCAGTTTATCTCATTAAATAATATGTTGTTATTCTATTCTGTAATTTTTTATTTTTTTAATAATATTTCCGTAAGAAAGTCATGGTACTACTTATATAAGTTTTTTTTTTACTAACTATTATATCAATCTTGTAATAATACAATTTTTGTATATTGTACAATTTTAGCAGTTATTCTATTCAATAATACAACTCTTAAAATTGTATTAAATAAAATATATAGTACATTGTACATGTTAAAAGGGTACAGAAAATATGTTCTTTAGTTAGAGCGTTCGCTTTCAGACTGCACCCGAAGTGACACCCAATGGCGGTGACCACACTTCGATCTCTCTCTCTAAAGCCCCTCAGAAGACAACATGTGTTTGTGTTGAAAGCTTTCTTCATAGCCACCCTCTGCTCTCTCTTCTTCATTCTTGGTTCCAACAGCACCTCTTCTCTTGCCCTGAAAGACCACAACACCTTCAAACAACCCTGCCTCCACCATAATGTCTCTACCCTAGGCCTCAACCAAAATCACTTTTCAAAGCCACTTCGGTTCGAACCCCACCACTTCCTTTCTCTTCCACAAACCCCCCACCACCACTTCTTCCACTACTGTCCTACCAACTTCACCAACTACTGCCCCTGCCATGACCCACATCGAGAAACCCACTTTTTGGATGGAAGAAACTTTCACAAAGAAAGGCATTGCCCCGCATCCAATGAAAGACTTAGATGCTTGATCCCCGCCCCATTTGGCTACCGCAACCCATTCCCGTGGCGTCAGAGCAAAGACACTGCTTGGTTTAATAACGTCCCTTTTCCTAAACTCACTCAATACAAAAAAAGACAGAATTGGGTTAGACTCCAAGGTAACCGCTTTGTGTTCCCTGGAGGTGGCACTTCCTTTGTCAATGGAGTCAAAGGCTATGTTGATGCCATACGACGTGTTGTGCCCCTCAAATCTGGGAAAATCCGAACAGCACTTGATGTTGGGTGTGGGGTACGTTTGTTTGACTTGTATGTTCTTATTGCTTGTTAACTTTGGATGTGCTTTTCTCATTTATTTTGTTCCTTTGCCAAAATAGAAAAGCATTAATTAACAATTTAGGAGGGAAAGTAGAGACGCAGAGATGGATGAGTTTAAGGCAGCATCGATTAATTTTACTTTCAAACTGAATACATAAGCTTTGAGCTTTTGCTCCTTAATGAAGAGAAAACATTGCGAGTCACTGAGCAAATTAATTTAAAGGACCCACTTGAATCGAATATATTTTACGTTTTGGCTATATATCTCAATGCATATTCCTGTAGGTTGCTAGCTTTGGAGCCTCTCTAATGGACTATAACATCTTAACAATGTCAATTGCACCAAAGGATGCACATGAAGCTCAAGTACAGTTTGCTCTTGAAAGGGGACTTCCAGCCATGCTTGGAGTGCTGAGCCGCCATAGACTCCCTTTCCCTTCAAGATCATTTGATATGGCTCATTGTTCCAGATGTCTTGTACCATGGACTGCTTATGGTATGATTGGTATCCCACTTTTGTAAAATAAGATAGTTAAAGTTCTTTGTCAACTGTTAAGATTTCCTCAAAATGGTTAGAGAAGTTATCTTGTCATTAAGAGCAATACAAAAATATGAATTGAATTTTCTTGAGTAAGTTCTTACTTTAGTTACTGAAATTATAAGTGTTGGTATTGTAATCCTTTACTTCATTAAATCTTCTCTTAAGTTCTTGATTTTGTAAAAACCATTTATTCTAGTCTTTATTTTATTTTACTTTTTATATGTTGTTTTATTTTGAAAAGTTTTGTAAAGTCAAGAATTAAAGTATTTACAATTTGAGGGAATTTACTCATTCATTATAGATGGGCTATATCTACTTGAGATTGACCGAGTTTTGCGCCCTGGTGGATATTGGATACTGTCTGGGCCTCCCATAAATTGGAGAAGAAGCTATAGAGGATGGGAAGCTGAACCCATGGTATTGGAAAAAGATCAAAACACTTTAGAAGACCTTGCAAGGAGAATGTGTTGGAAAAAAATTGCCGAGAGAGAACACATTGCAGTATGGCAAAAGCCAACAAATCATATCCACTGCATCCAGAAGTTAAAGACTTGGAAGTCCCTTCAGTTTTGCTCCTCATCTGATGCTGATGCTGATGCTGGTTGGTAAGCTTCCTTACATTATTTCAAACTACATTTGAATTGTGTGGCTACTGGCTAGGAGTGTGATGGAAATCTCACTTCAACTTAGATATGCATTTACCAAAATTTGAGGCTAGAAAGAAAAAAAAATCTTGTTGAATTAAATATAGAGCAAGTAATATGGATGGAATTAATCAGTTTCCAACTTTCCCTTTTTTGTTATCTTTAGAATTTCAAGAATTGCCCGTGGTTTTATATCTATACTAAGTAGACAAGGGATTTTAAACAGGTACACAAGAATGAAAGCATGCATTGTTCCTCTTCCATTTGTTAAAGATATCAACGAAATGGCAGGTGGTGCCCTTGAGAAATGGCCTAAAAGGGTTGCTGCTGCTCCACCTAGAATTAGAAATGAAGGAAATGGCGGAATCACAATTCAAGCTTTTAATGAAGATAATCAGATGTGGAAAAAGAGAGTTTCACATTATGAAGTCATACTCAAGTCCCTTACCAGTGGTAAATATAGAAATGTGATGGATATGAATGCTGGGTTTGGAGGATTTGCAGCTGCAATGGCAAAATATCCAGTATGGGTTATGAATGTTGTTCCCTATGATGCAAAAAACAGCACTCTTGGCATTATCTATGAGCGAGGTCTAATTGGAGCTTACATGGATTGGTATTTGCTCTTTAAAAGAAATTGATATATTGGTAAATTAAAAATCATAATAGATATATTGATAAAAGAAATTGATTAAAACCTTTGTCATTTATATTTTTAACCAGCATTTTTAAGGATTCCTGTGACATTTATCTTGATTTGAAAACATCAATTTTAACCTCACACCTCACGGATTACAGTGCACGCAGAAGAAATGAATGTGTCGTTGCTTTGCTTGCAGGTGTGAACCCTTTTCAACGTACCCTCGAACATATGATCTAATCCATGCCAGTGGTTTATTCAGCTTGTATGCGGACAGGTAAGTTTCATGTTCCCTAATGCATGGGGGTGTTTTAATTTTAAATAGACGTGTTATTTTATTTCTTTCAATTAAAAACTATTTATTAATAAAAAAAAGTTGTATCGGGTTTTGCAGATGTGACATTACTGATATACTTATCGAAATGCATCGGATTATTCGGCCTGGAGGAGGTGTTATCGTTAGAGATGATGTAGATGCAATTGTCAAAGTAGAGAATGTAATAAATCAAATGAAGTGGGATGCCAAAATATTCCACAATGAGGATGGCCCTTTCCACCACCAAAAACTCCTACTCCTTCACAATATTCATTCAATTCCAACCCAATAAGTTTTTGTAACAATCTTTTTCCTTTAATGGTGAAACTCAAAAACATACTATTTCTATGTATTAAAAACATGTTAATTGACTTTAAAAAATAATTGAATAAAAATAAAAACAAATATATATTTATAATTTCACTTAATAAAATTTTATACCATTTATATATTTTTTTGAACTTTCTTATTATATACGTAGGCCAAATATAATTTACTCTATTGAATTTGGACACATATTATAAGATTAAAAAGTAATTGGGAATTTATGAAAATCATGTTTAATCTTAAACACTTGGTAAAGTGGAAGCAGAGAGAGAGAGAGAGAGAGAGAGAGAGAGAGGAGAGGTAGTACTAAATAGGCACACGAGTTAGCGCTTAATTTTGCAAAGTGAGAATATGAAAAAAGAAAAGAAAAAAGCGTTGGTGAGATAAGAATGAGATAGGGTGTGATGTCCATAAGATCTAACATTGCGAGGGTCGGTGGCGTCCATCACCTTCCTCACATCGTATATATATAGCCACGCAATAATAAGAAGACGACGAGAAGAAGAAGAAGAAGAAGATTGACACCCTCTTCAATTCCGCAACCTATCTCGTCGTTGATTGTTCCAGCCATAAGGGTTAGGGTTTCGGTTTGTTGCCATGGATCGTAAGAGAGCAAGGCCTGAAGCTAACTTCAATGGTAATGGCGGCGCCAAGAAATATCGCCCAGGTTAGGGTTTGTCTTTACTCTTCTCTCACTTCTCTTCTCTCTCTCATCCATTGCAAGTAAGCAACAAAGATTCCCCGAATTATATTTATGTGCTAGGTTACATCTAGGAAAGGAGCGTGAGAGCGAATCTCCTCTTTCTTTCTCTCGTTTCTTTTATGTTTGTGCTCGTGCTTTGTGTTTGCTTGCTTACGTGCCATAGATTCTTGAACCTAAACTCTATTGTTGTTAGTTTCTTGACATGGTAGAATTTTCTTTTAGTTTTGTTGTCTGTTTCTTCTTCTTGTTTTACTTTGCTTTGTTACAAGTCATGCTTTCCATTCCTTTACTCTTGCTTCTACGTAACGTCGATCTTTCTTAGATGCACGCCTAATGATTATTAATAATGGACGAAGAAGGTGAGGGAAATCTTGCCAAGTCATAAAAAATGCTTGGGCAAATTCTTTCCCTGTTCTTGGTAAATATTTTTTCAGAAAGGTCTATTGCTTGGATTTTTTCTTCTTTCACCATACAACATGGTTAAATTAGATACAATTTTGTTAATATTTACTTCTTTATAACATCATAAAATTTATGTTCTGTTATTGTAGTGTGTATTAGATGTTAAATTTACATGTTGGAGTATTACGTCGTGCACCTTGCTCTGGAAACACTCGGTATTCATAAATTTAAACGTGCTAATATTGATAAAAAGAAAAAATAAGAAATGGTTATTGGATGTTATCTAAGTTGAATCAAGAAAGATCAATGAAATTTTAACTGAGAGGACTTAATTAATGTTCTGTAACAGAAACGGAGTCCTTTCCAAGTGGTTTAGGAAGCAAATCGAAGCCATGCACAAAGTTTTTCAGGTTCAAATCTTTAACTTATCTAAAATAAAATCTAATGCACTTTGATATATGTATAAATTTCTAATGTTTTAGAAAAATTGTGATACACAATGTCTGCAAGATTAATCCATATGATTTGACTAATCAATTGGGTAGCTAAAGCTGTGATACAGGTTCTACTTCTAATTACGATAACAAGACTATGAACAGAAATTGTTGATTCTCAAGATCAGTTCTATTAAGTTCTTCCTGAGGTTTATATAAATGAAAGCAGTTTCTATGGGATGCAAAACTTGATCTATTTATTTGCTTGTATACAATTTTCTACAATCCTTCAAAGTAAAGAAGTCTGATGCAGATCACTGAAATGGCTAGAGCAGTACATGGTTTAGACATGTTCTTTCAATAGATCAAAACATAAGTGAATTGATGCTTAAAGCATTGATAATATTCTTCATTCTCAGATATGTCTGGAAATCTTGAAATTATGTGGCATTCAAAAGATCTTCTTGATATGGTATTTTGTTCTGAACGTTGACTATATTGCTTTTCTTGTATGTGCTGTTGATTTGCCTGTTATTTGTATTGTATTTATTGTTTGTTTAACTTGAGGTCTGAGGATTTCTGTTTGGTGCTGAGAGCCTCAATTTGAAAATTAACTATAGCTTGGAGAGCAATGCCTAGTTTTAATGAGAGTATATTACAATTGGAATCAGCTGAAGGCTATTATTACTCCAACACCAAAGACAAGTACAAAACATCACAGTGTGTGTAATCATAGAATGGCCAATAGTGTTTAACAAAGGTCTTAGTGGTACTTTGAAAATACTGAAATTCTTTACTTTAGTCTGATTTAATGATTCTGATTATAGTTGTTAATCTCGGTTAGCGGGACCCTCAAAACACTGTCGCTGGATAGCACATAGCGGGATTGCCGCTATTTTAAAGTTTTTCATATGGATATAAAGTATATAAATATATAGATAATTATGTATATAATAATGCTAAACAAATATGCATAAATAGCATAACATAACAAAGGTAGGACTGTAGAATCACAGAATAGAGAGAAGAAAGAGAGTGGCTTTTGTTAAAGAAGTCATCCTAAATGAGTGACTCTGCTGGATTGGAGATTGTTGCAAAGCAGAAACGATATATAAATGGGAGGAGGGAGTGTCGACCAGAGAAGGGGGAGAAGAAAAACAGTGTAGGAAAAGTGGGGTTTCGTCATGTGTCTCTAGTTGCAAAGCAGAAGAGCAATAGAGATGAGAGGAAGCGGTGTCGAAGAGATAAAGAAAGAAAAAAACTCAGGGAAAAGTGGGGTTAGGTCTGAAAACAGAAAAGACCATTTTGCCCTTAAAAAAATCTAAAGATTGTGTCATTATAAGGGCAAAAAGGGAAATCAGCTTAATACTTCAATATAAAAAGACATTTTTACCCTTAAAAAAATCCTAAAATTCTTATACTTTGAGGGTAGAAAAGGAAAGTTAATATCTTTCCCTGTGATGGCACTTATTGCACCGCTAAAGGCTGCCATTTGGGCTGCAAATACAGCTGCCACTGGTCGCAATGGCCACAACAGCAAAAATGCACCGCTATACCAGATCTGTAGCGGTCGAAGGCCGCTCAGCCACGCACCACTGCTATCGCGCCGCAATCGCGCACTATTGACAACTATGATTCTGATTTCTGCTAAAGCCTGATAGGACCACTAGCTTGTAGTCCTGTTAATAATGAATATACTTATTATTCCATGGGTGACTCGAGTGATATCTTAGAATCTTTCCACACATGTAGATACTCTATCGGTTTGGATCTACTAGCAGAATACAAGTGTGGAAAAATAACTATGAAAAATTTGATCAGCTTGCCACAAAATTCATCTTTTCAGACTACATTTTTTTTGGGACCAGAAATTGTGTATATTTGTACCTATTCATGTTATCCAGAATAGTCTTTCCAAATACCATGGTGTCTTTTAAACTCCATTATTCTTTTCTTTGGCAAATATTCCTTATTACTATGCCAAATAGGATTTCAAGTGTCACTACTAGGTTAAGGTTGCAGCTTTAGATTTCCCATTAACTTAGCTTCAACATTGTTCATGGCTGTATATTAGCTTTGCCTTTGCCACCTATTTACTCTAAATACTACAACCACCACTAAGCTTTATCTCACTAGGTAAAGTTAGTTACATGGATTGCACCATGCTATTAAGCTTGGTCAAAAACTAAATTTTTAAAAATTTGTTTACTCAGAAGGTCTCTTTTAATAACTTCGTTTAAAGTTTTTTTTGTGTCTCTCGATTCTTCTTTATCGGATTAAGAGTCATGCAATACACTATCTTTACTGACACTTCCAAAGTTCTTCTTTTTCACATGATCCAATTATCTTAAACAATTTTTAGTCATCTTTTTCACTATAAGTGTTACTCCAATATTTTCTCGCATACTCATTTTGTATTGTGTCTTTTTTTGTGTATATACTCATCCACTTTAACATTTTCATTTTTGTCACTCTTACCTTTTCCTTATGTTGTGCCTTTAAGGTCCAACATTCACTATTATAGCTGATCGTATTGGAGTACGATAAAACTTTTTTTTCAACTTGATAGGTACTTTACAGTTATAGATAACTTATAATGTACTCTAAATTCTAATTGATCAAAGTTCTTCCTCATGCTTAGTTTTCTGTTTTAGTAACATATTTGTGTTGTCAATTTATGATGATGTAATTTTACCTTTATATTTAAAGGCCTCTTCAAATCACCACTTACAGCTATGTAATGTGTATTAAATTATGACAATGGACTGATTTTGTAGTGTATTCTTGCATGCTAGAATAATGACATCTTTTTTTAGGGAAAAAAAACAAGTTACTACTTCATGTCTCTATATATAAAATTTAATATAAAGATCTAATCAGTTCCTTTTGTCTTTTTCATTTTTTATGAAGTGTATCCACTCTCCAGCTCATGATAATGATGCATTGAAAATCTTCTGTACTCTAGGTGAAACAAATCATGCTTAGGCTTCTACCTAATGAGGTTTTTGTGATTTTATTAATGTTCTCCATGTTACATAGGGTGCCATCTTACTCAGACAATAACTAAGCCTTGGTCTTTGTGTTGATCAATTGATGCCATTGGGTTTGATCAAATCCAAAATTTTTTATCTTCTATATTTGATCCATGTTGTCTTTTGGTCTCTGCTGGTCTTCTCCTCTTCTCACTTGACCAAGTTACCTTAGTTCCATTATTTATCGGAAGATGCCAATCCAATGTTCTCCTGTATACATTCTTTGTAATGCTGTTATTTCTTTCTTGTATATGCTTTCTAATCTGCCATGTTGCTGTCATATATACAACACTTAATGTTTACTCTTGTTGGCATTTTGCTACTAAACACTCATCATCTTAGAGCATTGCTGGTCTAAGATGCAGTGAATCTCTCATCCTAGTAAGACTGATAATGAAATGTTGTAAAATACAACTTTGATTGAACTGATGTTTTTTAAGAGTTTTTTTTTGGGGGGGTTTTATTTAATGATTTTTTTAATTCAATTCCAGTCAAAATGATTAAGATTTGCTGCTGCTGCTGTTGTTGTTATTATTATTATTATTATTTTGGGTTTAATTTTTCTCAATAACTACATGTTGAAGGCCATTTCTTTGTAACTGTCTATTTCCTGATTGAAAATGTGGATAAAATGTTTATAATCGTTGTGTCCATGCTCAAATTTTGAATTGTCCTAAGACAGTTTGAAGTTGTTAAGGTGAATGCATGTTATGTTTTTTAAGGTTTTAAGGATTTCATGGTAACAATAAAAATGATAGGATATGATAAACTTATGCTATCATGTTCATTAGGTCAATAGTTATCTTGAGGGGGAGATTGTTTAAGGTTCATTTGGGTAAGTAGCTTAATTCATTAAGCACTTATTCCATAGATATTTTCATGTGAGAGCTTATGATGTGAATTTGATTATGAAATTTACTGAAATAGCTACAAAGAACTTATTTTGATGAGTTGTATTAAAAAACTTATTGAACAAAGCTTATGAGAGTTATAAGCTATTTATAAGTTCTTCAGAACACATCCTTAAAATTCAAAAACGTGTGTAGAGAATTATTTTCAACGTCACTTCACTTCATTAAACTTTTTTGTTTCACCATTACCATAGTTGTTGCTACCACCACTGTCACAACTATCATTTATGATCATCACAACCATGGTTGCTGCCATGTTCTATATCACAATTGTTGTTGTCACCATAACTACTATCACCACTGTGACTATCACCATTGCTACCATTAGTGTCACTACTTCCACCATCGCGACACTTAATGCTATCATTGCCACTGTTATTATTACTACTACCATCAGCATCACTTAAATGCGACCAGTACCATAATTGTCTCTACTGCCATTGGTGTCAGCACAAGTAATCATCATTATTGCCACCTCTTGCACAATTGTCATAGTTGACTTATTTGTGATGACACTCCATGTGCATAAATTGTGTAATTGTAACACGGATCATAAGAACCTATTCAAAATACAAAATTATGGTAAAACACATATATATGCGTAAGAAATAAGTATAATAAGTTAAAGTAACCTTAAATTACTAATAGGGAAGAACTGAGTATAACAATTCCAAATTCAAAATCTCCTCCAACAGTTGTGGTCTACTTTCAGCTCTAGCAGCACAAGAACCCCCATTATCCTTTCTAGATGCTCCTTTGCCACCTAAAAACACTATAAAAAACTAAAACAAATAAGAGGAATAGAAACTAGTGGAGAGCAGGAATTAGAATTCAAGGTTCCAAAAATGTACCAACTGAACCAAAACTAGTAATTGAAACCACAAGAAAAAAAAAAAAAAAAAACCAAGTGTTTTCACCATTACCACACTTGTACTATGGTCACCACTGTTGCTATTGCAATTTCTATAACCTTTGTCATTCCACCTACACTACTATAACTAACTATTATTGTACTATTGTCACCATTGCTTTCAACGCTGTCACCATTACTATGCAACTGTAATCCCTACTACTGCAATAACTTTTTATAAGGGTAATTTGTCATTTGTGTATAATTTAATTATTATCCATTAAGATATATTGTGTGTACTCAACACAAGTTAGGACAAAAGCTTGTTCTGCTCATATGCTTTCCTACGCCTCTTATCCTATTGTCTTGTCACATCTATCCTTATCTTATCGTGATTACCAAACGAACCCTAAGTCTCTTGTAATTACTTGAAGGTCCTTGTAGCCAAAAGAATACTGTATGGTGATTATGGTCTATGTTATTTGACAAACTGTTGCTTGGTGCATTTTGTGAATTAGATAATCATGCCATTATCTATTTCATACGATTGATTGTAATTGTAGTTGCTAGTCAATGCCATTAAAGCATCCATCAAATTGGTTTTTATCTGTGTTCAAAAGTAAGTTTATACAGATTTATTTTCTCTTGGAGCTGTAATGCACTTTTGGATTGTCATGTTCTCTGTTGTTATCAGTGACACTCAAATCTCTCATTTATGCCATGTTGCTTGTACTAAATTATTGTGTAGCCATGCACTATACTCTCATTTTTTGGTGTACTGTATTGGTCTGGACCTTCTTTTTCCCCTGTATTATAATATTCTGTCATTTATAATTCAGTATTGTTTGTTACTTTGGTCATCAGTCATTGTGATTTCTGTTAAAAGATTACCACATAATGTTCTATCGAATTTACTTAACCAGAGGACAATATTTTCAGATTATGGAATTTTTTAATTCCTTTGAATATTTTTGGGATTTATTCAACCAATTAAAAAAAAAGTAATGGAAAAGTTTTGTAAGGGAAAGCATTCTTGTAATGTTTTAAAGGATAATCATCTTAAACAGTGCAAGCTTGGTGTTTTTTTATTTTTTTGGCTAAGTTTCAGTTTCATACCTGAATAGATTGCATTTACATTTTTCTGAGATCCGCCCTTATCTGTATATTTTTTGTAATGTTAATAGTTGGTTAATGTTATTCTGATGTCATCTGCTTCTATCTATTATGCAGCACCTCTGGCTGTCCATTTGGTGAAGGGTGCCACTTCCTGCATTATGTTCCCGGTGGTCTCAAAGTTGTCTCTCAGATGATCAGTGTTGGTGGCAATCCTACTGTTCCTCAAGTTGGTAGAAATTCTGTTCCTCCATCCTTCCCAGATGGGTCTTCTCCGCCAGTCGTTAAAACCCGATTGTGCAACAAGTTTAACACGGCTGAAGGTTGCAAATTTGGTGACAAATGTCACTTTGCCCACGGTGAATGGGAGCTTGGCAGGCCTACTGCCCCTGCATATGAAGATCCACGTGTCTTGGGGCAAATGCAAAGCAGCAGGGTTGGTGGGCGAGTTGAGCCTCCACTTGCAACCCATGGAGTAGCTGCTAGCTTTGGAGCCTCCGCTACTGCAAAAATTAGTATCAATGCTTCGTTAGCTGGAGCTGTCATTGGAAAAAATGGTGTCAACTCTAAGCAAATATGTCGTGTAACAGGAGCTAAACTTTCCATAAGGGATCATGACTCGGATCCTAACCTTAGAAACATTGAGCTTGAGGGAAGTTTTGATCAGATCAAACAAGCCAGTGCCATGGTTCATGAACTTATTCTAAATGTTAGTTCTGTCTCGGGGCCTTCAACGAAAAACATGACTACACAGACTTCTGCACCGGCTAATAACAACTACAAGACTAAGCTGTGTGAAAACTTTGCTAAAGGTTCCTGCACTTTTGGGGAAAGGTGCCACTTTGCGCATGGAACAGGTGAATTGCGCAAGCCATAGGCTTATAATTTAGTTTATGTGATTTTAGTGAGGATTGAATTGTGCAGAATTTTCTAGTTTTTGAAATTTTTGTCAATCAGCTTCTAATTTGTCACATGGTAACTAATGGTGAGTCTTATATCAGTTTCTAAAATTCAGTTGCCTTCCGCTATCACCGTATTTATTTATTATTTCGTGTATTGAAATTGGCGGGCAAGGACGAGCTTTCAATTATATTTTGTAGTTTTTGTTATGTTTTGGCATTAAGCTTGCAGAAAAAATTTAAGTGATCATCCTATACTCTTTTAAACGTTGCATTTGATTGTTGCTCTGGGGAAACAAATTTCCATATTAAAATTTTAGGGGAGATGTGTTTTACAAAAACCCATATAATTATGTAATCTGAATTAATTTGCGATGTTGATCATGATGTGAGAACACGAAAACATGACAGCTTGCTGTGTCCCATCGGAGGAGGCAAACAGTTCTTGAGATCTTAAATTAATGCTTGGAATCTTCATATTCCTGGACATGTATATGACTCCTAAAGTGAATGATTTGGTTACATGGCATGACATTTGGCAGCAGCACAGCCAAGAGATCGAAAATGATGCAATATTGCATTAATTGCCAGGATGGTACACTATAATACGAAACCTTTATCATGTCTGCTTAGTTGGCTATCAAATACGATAAATGCTGATAATATGTTTTTATTTTTAAATAAATTGTGGAAATCATATTAAAAAAATTATGTAGAATAAAATGTAAACACTCAATATTTGATAGAAGGTGAAATTTGGCATCCCCGCTCGACATTACGAGCCCCACCTAGCTGCATATTTCATCTTTCAGTCACAGGAGCAAGCAAGGCCTACCTGATATGAACATACTAGGACAAGAGACACGATTATTCAATATTGTCGTTACATGTTAGAGTGCTGTTTCAATTTATGTACAAATTTTTTATACAAAGGAGGGGGATTTCTAACAAAATAGTTTTTAAATATAAGATTGATTATAATTTTATTTTAAATATGGAAAGTGCCAAAATGGTCCCATAATGAACCCAGAGCGTATTACTGGGTGTGGAGGATAAAAGTAATTTAGATAATTTTTCTGTTGCTCTTTGCCAGGAGATCCCCCATCACACCCTCTTACGTAGTTTGCCTCATTTCCATCTTTGATTCGTGGCGAAAAATGTGCATCCACCACTGCTCTCCTCCATGCATTTCCTATTAAAGCTCCTCCTAAGTTTTGCTTCCTTTCCCACTTCCATTAGGTCAAAAGCACCCAACCATTGCAAAGAGTCCCATGACTCTATGTAGACTATTTTACAAAACGCACATAAGACTACTTTCATACGAAGACTAAATTACAGCACACATAAAATTGATGGTTACTAGTATTAAGTAGTTAATTATGATAGTAGGATAATATAATACCTCAAAATATAATTAAAATATAAAAATAAAATTATTTTGAGTGCATAATTAATTGTGATTTGACACAAAATAAATAATAATAATAATAGGATATATCATACATCATGTAACATATGCCATTCAGAAATCATATATTTATTAATCGAAAGTGTACATGATTAATTCACAGGTAAATTGATTAAACTACGGTATCATTTAACCAGCTATTAACAAATCACTGGCTTACAAATCCAATCCATGTTAACAAATTGATCACAGAAAAAAGGCCTAATACAGTATATAGCTAGAGAGTGAATATAGCCTGAATACATCAATGCCTGGAGAGAGAAAATAAATACTCAACAACATACTTGCATTAGACAAATTGAAACTCTCAAATCATACTATTCACACCCTCCTTCTCTTGGCCTTCCATGTCACTGCCCTCAACATTGATTGTCTTGTACCACTTGGCACAGAATAAATATAGCACAAAGTCAAAAGCAGCTAGCCCTGCAAGGAGGAAGAAAAATCTATCCATGTGTCCAGTGTTCAAGTTCTCAGGAATCCAACCTCCATTCTGGCCTCTTGCTGTGATCACCATAACCATGTTCACCAACATGCTACTTACATAGTTCCCAAGAGAAATTGAAGCCATGCAAAGTGAGCTCCCAAAACTCTTTATGCCATCTGGGGCTTGCCCATTAAAGAACTCCAGTTGACCCACATACATGAAAACTTCCGAAGCACCAACCAAAACATACTGTGGGATTTGCCAAAATATGCTCAAGGTACTTGTCTTCTGGCCAGGAATAATACGCCTAAGCCTTACAATCTCAGTGGCACCAGATGCAACCATTGCCAACATACCAATAATTAGGCCAATTCCCATTCTTTGAAGCTCAGTTAGTCCCTTTGGATTACCACTTAATCTTCCAGCTAATGGAACAAGGATCTGGCGATATATCCCAGTGCATACAAGGACACTGCATATGTCAAATGCAGACATGCTAGCTGCTGGCAAACGAAAACTTCCTATGTTGGAGTTCATGACATCCCCTTGCTCAACAAAAAGAGAAGCCATTTGTGTGAACACAACCGAGTAAATTATGGTGCATAGCCAAACGGGTAACATTCTTAACACACATTTGGCTTCTTCAACTTGTGTCACAGTGCAAAGCCGCCATGGATTCTTTGGACTTGGCTCATCATTCTCTGTAACTGTTGCTGCCTTGTCCATGAATCTGCCCAAAGTTAAGTACAATGACAGACATAATTTTCAATTTTTCTATAATTATATTTATCAAGTAGCTATACAAATTCAATACAAGCAAGTATAAAAAAACATAGTTCAGTTAATGTTCTTCCATCTCCTATGGAAAAATCAAATAGCCCCGAATGAAATATGGTTCTTCAATCTTCTGCAATTTGGCAAATAGTTCTTTTGCAGAAAAATCGAGAGTTATGTTACTTTCTTTGGTCCTTGTTTCAATATAAAAGAAAATAATCATTTGTAATCATAATTTGTTGGTAAAATATCAATGCTTACTCAAAATCATCAGTATGCAGAATTTTTCTACTTCCTTTTATAGCAGATTCTGGACCATCGACTTCAAAAAGTTCTTCTGCCTTGGCTGGAGCCACACCCCATTTCCTAAAAACAGCCGTGAGCACCTGTGCAACCCTCATCACTGGGTTCCCACATGGCTTTACATACCTATATCTTGGAGTTCCTGATAAGAATGACAAAAAGGCTATGACAGCAGAAGCCAAAGATACCAAGAAACCCATTGTCCACTTCCCTGTATCCTCATAATAGACTAAAACAGTGTTGGAGAACAAAGATCCAACATTGAGGGCAAAGTAAAAAAAACAGAAAAAAGCTACTTTTGAGTTCTTCTCTTTTGGATTTTTCTCATCATACTGGTCTGCACCAAAGGTTGCCAAGGTGGGTTGGTGCCCCCCGTAACCAAATGCTACTAGATATATGGACAAGTAGAAAATGTGTACTCCAATTGATGTGGGTTTGCAAGGAGTGTGGCCATCACCACAACCAGCAGGGTTGATCAAGAAACGCCAAGATGACAATGAGGACAGTGCTAAGCCCTATAATACACATAGTCAACATGTCATAAAGCAGAAAAGTTGATAACATTGTCAACCAAAAGTTAAAAATAAAGAATAAATACATAGATTGGTCCTGAAAGTGACACTTTTTTTATTTTTAATCCTTGAAAAATTCACTATGTATAATTTGGTTCTAGAACATGTTAACTTGCTTACATTTGAATCCTTTTTGGAAACTAATTGGTTTCCAAAAGCATCAGGGTGTACAGTTTAGTTATCGAATAAGTTAATTTTGCTTACATTTTTCTGAGGAAAGATCAAAACCTGAGTACATTGACACTTCTAGATACTAAATTGTACAAAACAAAACTTTAAAAGATCAAAGATAAATAAGATGTCACTTTTAAAGATCAAATTGTATATTTTACTTTAAAATAAAAGACAAATGGTAAAATACCAGAACAAAAATAAGCTGAAAGATCGTGCAGGTCAAGTATCGACCCAAATATGAATCACTGAGAAATGCCCCAATCAATGAGAACATATAAACAGTTCCTGTCCACTTGCTGACATTATTGGCAGCATTGGCATTGTCTTGGCCAAGAACTCTGGTTTGGAACAGTACCAAGTTGACTCCAACTCCAAAGAAAGCTAGTGTAGCTAGTGCTTGATTCACTACATTTTTAAATTATGGGATAAGCAAACAAATGAATAGCTCAACACATTTTTTCTTAATTTTGAAAATTGAAAATTGAATTAATCGTTCATTTATTTAATACCCAGCAAGAGGCTTGCTATTTTGGTTCCTCCTACTTTCCTCTCATCCACTTTGCTACTTTTCTCCACAACTGGCTCTTCTCTGTAGCTGCTACCTCCTTGTATTACCTATTTATATCCAAAGAAAATATCATATATTTTTATGTATAAAACTACAAAACAAAATTGATTTGCTAAATATTTTTTCCAGAAATGAATTTATCTACGATATTACAGTGGATTTACTTAGCATCAGTGCATCGTATTTATAAATATAATCTGTTATCTTTTCTCCATGTCAATTACAAATTTTGAAGAAAAAAATGGAGGATAAATATAGTAGCAGGTCTATGTGGACAGGTGTAATTATAAGGTTTTCGAATCACTGATGAATGATTTGACACATTAAACATCTTGTAATTTTAGACGTGTTAAATATTAAAAGATGAGAGATGAGTGTTGAATTGGATTTGTAAACATAATAGAAATAATTCGGTGTTTTGTCTATATAATTTTATTTAAGAACTCAATTCTTATGTAGAATTATGTCACATATCAAATCCCAAAAACGTTTATTTGTGTGAATAAAATAAAAGATAAATTATTATAATTTTTTTTTATAAATAATTTACAATGCATCCCACCGAATCACCAGCTGAGATTCATCAAAATGCATCATATTTCACTATAAAATATTTACTTAATGTTTGTTTTCATAATAGCTTATAATTAACATTTTACTTTAAAAAGATTAATCAAAATCAGACATACATTAAATCTCTTACTAAATCATCAGTGCAACATCACCCTGCATGGGAGCTTTTAAAAGAAGACCGTTAAATTGACCCTTAATAATGATTTGACAGAGTACCTTGGTTGCCACAATATTGGGGGAGCTGACAGAGAATGAAGTGGCCATTCTTGGTGTTATCTGCAGCATGCAAAACCATCTTAATATAAACTAATAAGCTAGCTAAGAAGTTAATTAACACATAAGAGGTTCAGGCAAGCAATAGCTAGCTAGCATGTACGAAGTTTGAATTTTGGATCATAAAGTAGGACAATGTAGGCGGCAAGATATGATGGAGTTAATGCATGGATCAACAACCAATTGAGGACTACTAATAAAGTTAACACAGAAAGAAAAGCACGTACAAAACTTAGAGAATAAATTAAAGATGAACAAATCCTGAAAGGATGAAGAGGGTTGATAATATTTGAATTTAAGCATGCAAATATATAGGGGAACGTGGAGGGATATCACTTTCAAAGTAAGGTTTATTATTGATATTGCTTAGCCAAAAATACGGAGTGTGAGAGAGAAAGAAATCTTAAATGATTGGAGTTGATAAGAGGAAAGAAAGTGACAATTTGGATGAGAATAGTGGTGAATTCTGAAAAGGGAAGGACAGAAAACTCTATAATACACGAGTCTGTGCCACAAATTGGTCACTTCTGCCATAAAATACTAACAGTGGAAGTGGGGACTTGGGTTTCTTTTTCCATTATAACAATGAATCTGACTTCATCTAGTCCTTTTCAAGTTCTAATTTTCTTTAAATATTTGATAGCCGTACTTCAATTTCACTTTTGAATTATGAATTTTGTTAATTTCAATTTTTAAAGTTAAATTTAAGCATACACAGATAAAAAAAAATTTATAAAAAAAATACATAGTTATTGTATTAAAATTATAAAAATATAATAAATACTTTTATTTTTAATAAAATTTTACTATTATTAACTACTTATTTTTTATCTGATATTAACAAAACCTTTAAATTATTTATGTGGTAAATATTATTTCTGAATCTTATCAATTATGCATTCAAATTTTCGTTCATGATCTCAACCATCAAGTTATATCCATTGACAAAGATGTGTCTTTTCTTTGTGTGAATATCTATCTAGCATTGCAAGCAAATCTGTTGTTTACTTGCATATATGGGGGTTCTGTTAAATGTTGTTGACAATAGACGAAAAGCTTATGTTACTTTCAATATCTATCCACAAGCTAATTGCTTGAATGATGCAATTAATTAATATTGAATTGGACCTATCAAGAATGCATCAATTTTCAATCATGTTAATAAAAACCTCATATAAGCTTATTCATTATTTTTTATAACCTGTATAGTCACGTTTGTAACAATATGGTGAACCCGTTTCCCACAATGCATACTTTAAACTTGACATCACTTTTTTCAGTTTCACGTTGCAGAAAAATACAAGAAAATGACAATGGTACAGAGCCATTAAGACAGAGTTACCAACGTTTTTTAAAAATAAAAATGAATGTTAAAAAATTAATATATTAAATTCAACCAATAATGAAAAGACTTGTACAATACGTACACAAAATACAAATTTAAAGCAGAAGAGAGTATTTTATTGGAAGTAGAATGAAAAAAGAAAGCCTATTTCTTTCAAATTTTTTTTTTCAAATCAAGCAGCATTGTTTTTATGTAATGAGATTATCATCAAATTTCTTTTAAAAAAAAACACACAATTTGGACTATTCCATTCTTTTACTACCTTCCACACTTGAAAGTCGCATTCTTGCAGAACTACAACCTATGATAACCTATGTTTTTGTTATTCTAACTAAAGAGTATAATTGTAATTAACACTCACTTGGAGGAAATTTAGTATGAATATTCGTAGCAAAAAAAAACATGACTAGTGTTTTATAAATAATCATTTGCTTAGGTTTATGATGTGAGTCGGAAAAAAAGAAGAAGAGTAAATCAATAATAAGACTAAGAAAAATTAAGATAGGAAAAAATATTAAAATAGAAATCAGTTTTTCATTGACGTATGAATTAATGGTCCCATCTTCTTGTCATTTTCGTGGTAAATGTGAGAAGCAATAATTGAAAGTAAAGACCAATTAAAGAGAATGCGACATATATAACAAGTTATTTTACCCGCATACATGATTTTAATTTTAAAATTTAAAGTAATATAAATTATATTTTGATTAATTTTAATTTTAAATAACTTTTCAAACTATGAAGAAAGACTGATTATGCGTGTATTGATGTTAATAAATTAAAATTTTGAGTTTTTCATTTACCATTTAAAGGAAAATAGAAAATGGCTTATCATTATAACATGCATCACTTTCAAAACCTCTCCCTTTCATGTTTCTTTTCCTCTCTTTTTTCAAATCCAACAATGTACGGATATTTTAAATTGGACAGGAGAATATTAAATATTTAATTTGCATGTTATAAGTTTCGTTGTGTTATTGTTAAATCTTTCATCAATATATTTTTAGATATTAAAAAAAGAAAAATAAATTAATAAAATATAAGCAATTTATAAATAAAAAAAATATTATTAATATATTTAAAATGACGTAGTCGTGGAGTAAAACGTGAAATACTTTCTTTGATCTTTTTTAGAAGAAACAAAAAAATAAATTATCAGGATCAAAGAAAATAATTAATTCTGTTAAATTTTTTCATAAATATAAATTTTATTCTAAAAATACTTATGATATTAAACGGTGTAATTAGTAATTTATATATTTAATGATACTAATAAAAGAAGAATATAAAAGAAATTTAATAATTAATGTATCTTAAATTTATCATTTATTTTTTATAATAAGAATCAAGAAAATAATTTATTTTATTTCTTATAAAAAAAACGAGTAACCTAATTCCAGTTTGGGGCTTTTCAATGATTTGATTTGGCTAATGAGAAGTTAAAGCTAAGAGGAGAAGTAATATTTTCTGTTACGGATTGAAGAAAAACCTTTGTACTATGAAAAACGAATCTCAATGAAGTGTGGAAAATAATAGATTATTAGTTTTCCTAAATAAAGGCAAAGACACTTCAGATTAACTTCAATTTTGTTTCAAGTATTTCGTTTCTTATCTGAGCTGTTACTACTGCCAAATATAGCCACCATTATGGTTACCACTTTGGTACAGCACGACATAACAATTGCCAGGTTCCATTCATAGATCAATCAAGAAAGTGAGAAAGAATGTAGCTGTGATTTCAAAGGTAGAAACAAACTAAAAGATTATTATTATTATTATTATTCCCTCAAATTCTGAAGACGAAGAGGGTGATGATTGAAGCATGATTTCAAATTCGGATTGTGGTGATCACAATATTGTTACATTTGATGCAGTGAAACGTGCAAGACATGAAGGGTCGTGTCAAAAGTTCAAAGGCGTTGTGCCTCAACAAAATGGGCATTGGGGTGCACAAATATATGCAAACCACCAAAGAATCTGGTTAGGGACTTTCAAATCAGAAAATGAAGCTGCAATGGCTTATGACAGCGCCAGCATTAAGCTTAGAAGCGGAGAGAGCCACAGAAACTTTCCATGGAATGATCAAGCAGTTAAAGAGCCTCAGTTTCAAAGCCATTATAGCGCAGAAACTGTGTTGACCATGATTAGAGATGGCACCTACCCATCTAAATTTGCTGCATTTCTTAGGACTCATCAAACCGGAGGCGTTGGAATTAATGTCAAACATTTGTGTTTGAAGGATGAGGAGGAACGGTTCTCTTGCACCCAACTTTTTCAAAAGGAATTAACACCAAGTGATGTGGGCAAACTCAATAGGCTTGTCATCCCAAAAAAACATGCAGTTACCTATTTTCCTTACGTTTGTGGCAGTGCAGAAGCCAATGATGAAATGGATGGTCATGGTGGTGGGTGTGTTGACAATGACAATGAGGTTGTCTTTTATGACAAGCTCATGCGGTTGTGGAAATTTCGATATTGCTATTGGAAGAGCAGCCAGAGTTATGTGTTCACAAGAGGGTGGAATAGGTTTGTGAAGGATAAGAAGTTAAAGGCGAAAGACATCATTGCATTTTATGTGTGTGAGCCTATTAATGGGAGAAGAGAGGGAGAGGGTCAAGTGTTCACATTGATCGATGTGATCTATAATGCTGATGAAATCAGGCAGTGTTCTGGAGATGAAGAGGCCAAGGATACAAAGGATTTGAATGCACCAAAAGGTTTGAGGCTTTTTGGTGTGTGTATCAAGTGAAGAAATGAAATAGTTTATTCAAGTCATGTTTGGGACCCTTATGTGCTTGCTTTTAAAACTATTTTTCTCCATCACCCTTTGCCTTTTAGGAGGACTATGTTAATCCCTGAAATGAAACTTGTAATCCACCTTTGGGAATCAGATAAACTAGAAATTTGGAGAAATATTAGAGGAAAGTTGAGAGAGAGAAGTGTTAATTAGTGCTTTCTTAGCTGTACCACTTTTACATTATATTGTACAAGGTATAGTATAGGCATACATATTCATCATTTGCTCTAGTCATCCAAAGAATTGTAGCTTGCTTCTAAAACTGTAAAACATAAAACCGCTGAATATAAATTGGTGTCGCAATGTTTCCTTGTTGCATGAAATTCATTACAAAAAGTAAATAATTTTTTCATCTAATTACCATTTTTACTATACTCCCATTTTTTAATTTCTATTCTTATATTTATTTATTTTTGCCAATACTAAGTTGTTCTTAAATATTTATAAGCTAATAAATTATTGTTTTATGGACATTGGTTCATCTTTCAAAAAATATTAAAATTTATGATAAGATTTTTCAATCTCTTTTACCAGAATTAGAAAAAGAAATCTACCGTTGAAAGAAAGAAAGAGTAAGTGGTGAAAAATGGGAAAGGAGTGAATTTTTGACCGAAGCGGGAAAAAGTAACCCCCCAACCCCCATTGAATTTAGCTACAAAATTCAAATCCCTAATATTTCATCCGAATTCAAAAACCCCGTTAGTTTTCTCTTTTCTTATTCCTTCCATAATTAGGGTTTTGTTTGGTTTTTGAATTGAAACCATGAGAGGTTCTCGCAAAGGCAATCGCAATGCCAATGGCAATAACGATGGCGAACTCCGAGCTGCGAAGAGGGAACGTCTCAGTGAAAATGCTGAGCAGCCACAGAGCCCCGTCACTCGTAGGATCATTCGCTCCCAATTCCTCAAACTCAAGACTCTCATCAACGGTATCCAAACATCAGCAATCGCTCCCTATTTTCAATTCAAAATTTCTCAAACCTAACTTAATCATTAAATGTGACAGAGAAGAGGGATGATTTCATGCGCACCGATTCCGACAAGTTCGACTCCATCTTGCATGAGTTCGACAAGTTACACCACCAAGGTTTTCACTCATTCTTCTTTAGCACGTGTGTGTCTGCACGTGTAACTTTTCATTCGTGTTGATTTTTTTGTATGGAATCATTTCAGTTGAGAAGCCGAGAGAACAGGTTGCAGATGCAGAGGCACTGTTGGATCTCACGCGCACTCTGGTGGGGTCTGTTAAGTCAATGGCCAACGAGGGTGTTACCCCTTCTCAATTTGTTGGCTCTTTACTCCAAAATTATGGCCAAGCCCAACAAAATTCAATCAATTGGCAAAAACTTGGCCTTGTTGTTTCCCCCATTTTTCTCTCTGTTCATGGCTCTTCTACTATGTGAGTTTCTCTCCCATCCTACCCTCTTTTCACACTATAATCAATTTCATTTTTCTTATAAGTTATAATTGTGCTTTCTTTAAGGCTTGGTCCCATGGACAATGAGTTCAAGCAGCGCAAAACCGGAGTCCCCAGAAAGCGACCTCCTCGCCCAACTGTAACCACCAAGCCTCAACAGGTCATTTCCCTTTTTTTACTCCTATGTTCCTACACATTCCTCAGCCACAGCAGAAGAATGCTTGACAATGAAGATTCGTGTTAGTACTTGTTTAAGTTGATAGTGTCCATGAAAACAAAATGAAGTAGATTCTAGCATCTTGCCCAATTTGCACGTGTAATGTCTGGCTTGGTGACATACTTTGGTTACTGTGGAAACAAATTAGGAATCAATGTATCTATATATCATATGCTTGCAAGTTGCAAGTGCTTTGGTATTTACTACTTGTTTATTTGAAACAGCTTGATGAGGCTGTGGGAGAGGAAAAAACTGATACTGACAAAAACATGTCAACTATGTTTGACATTTTAAGGAGAACGAGACGAGTCCGGCTTGAAAACCTAATTTTGAACAGAACGTCTTTTGCTCTGACTGTGGAAAACTTGTTTGCACTATCATTCTTGGTGAAAGATGGCCGTGTTGAGATCAGTCTGGATGAAAATCATTCGCACTATGTTTGTAAGTTGTGCTTCTGCCACAATCAACTAAATATTTGTTTCCTATTACTTTTTTTGTATCGTGTGTGCTTACAGTATCTTCTTTTTCAGCTCCTAGAAATGCTCCATCTGCCAACTCACGATCAACAAAAGAAGCTAGTTACAGTCATTTTATATTCAGATATGATTACCAAGATTGGAAGGTATGAACAGGTCCAGTGCTTGCAAAGTGGGTGTTCATGTAATGTGTTGTGAATTCAATCCAGTAATTGATTTTGTCAAAGAGGTTGCAGTCATTTTGTGGTTACAGCTTTGCTGTTGTTTAAAAAGGGACAAATCATAATAATGTCTTGAGTTTTCTTTTATGCTGACAGTTGGAAGGTTTATTTTTGGTACTTTGTTCAACTAATAGCTGTCAGAGAAGAAAAAGTTTTTTAAAATATATTACGAAGCTTTGGTTTTTGCTGCTATTGCAGTTAAACTTGCGGACATTAACTATGAGTATCTGTAACTCTTTCAACATGGTTTACAGTTGATGAAGGATATGGTACCTGATGGCATGGAGCTAATGCCACATAGGATTCAACATTGCACCACTGTGGACTCTCGGGAAGAGTTGGGACGTGACAATTCCCAGACAGCACTGGCTGTAACACCTATCAGGAAGCTATCACGAAACCGGGGACTGGTTGTTCAGGAGGAAGGTGTTGTTGAAGAATCTCCAGAATGTGATGAGGAAAATGCTTCCAGGGCAGCTGCTATCCGAAGGTGTAAGCGTAAGCTTCATTAAGAAATCGCGTATTAGGTACCAGATCAACTTGACAGTTTGCATCGCTATGTTTTGTTCAGCATATCAAACTGAGTTTTGGTAATGTATATAGGATGTAAATATTTGTAGATCCATAGTAGCATGCAAGGCCAGTTCTGTTATGTAAGTTCTCATAATGCGTGATATATCTCCCTTTTTGTTTTATTTCCATGTGCCTCTATGGATCCAACTTGTCTGAAGATTTCTGCATTACTTTTTAAGTATGTTGTATTAGTCAAGGAGTTAGTTCCTTTAAAAAGAGTAAATTACAGAGTAAGAAACTAAGGATTTAACCACCGTTTGTTTAAAGTTAATTATTATAATGAGATACTTCAGTTGAAATCAATCGAATATGAATCTTTACTTTTTAACTTTAGTGACTTAATGAGTTAAAATCCATCAGGGAGATGTGTAACAGAATAGGTTCAGCTGTTGGTGATTGGGTTGTGCATATGGCTTTTTTTTTATTTTGCTATGTATAATTGATTTGGAAATGCATTGACATTTTAATAAGGAAATGATTCGTACATGTTGAGCGGGGGTGATGGCAGAATTTAATCGTAAGTCCTTACATTTTTCTGTAAATGATTTTACTAGTATTGGTACCTTGATGACTGTATTGGTTTGTGTAGGTATAAATTGTGAAAACGATAAATTTAATGAAAGTCACTTGAACTGGGAGGAAAGTGCTCGCGTTCGTTGTTAATTATGATTAAATCGTCTTTATCCCCTATTTGTATGAGTTGGTAAAGTTCGCGTATTTGTTTTGCTAATTCTAACTGAATTTGGCAAGATTAAGATCAAAAGAATAACCTGAAAAGCTCATACAAGACCCCGAACACATCAAAAGAAACAGTATATCGTTCATGATATCTTCACATCAAACTCCATTCTTTGAGCTTCTTTTGGTATGCGAATTACGATATCTCATATCTTTCATGTCTTTTGAGCTGATGTTTAAGGAGTTTACTTGATGTGTTTAGAAACGTGTTAAAAGATCTGTAATTAATAGTGTAGAAGTAAATATAGATTCATGACGATTTAAACTTGAATCTTACGTGAGGAATTGGTTTTTGCCCTACTAATGGTGCATCATCATATTAACCTTACACTTATTACACCTCATTGGCATTAGAAGACGATTCAAACCATGTTCTTTATGGCAATCTGAAATTTGAACATAACTGGTAATTAAAACTAACCCTGCAAACCAAACTTTACAAACCCAGGGAAGCAATTCCGCATGCAAACTAGTCTCTTGAAGGCAATAAATCATTGATGCATTTTTTTTTATTTTCTGGCAAACGCCCTGATGCCATGATTTTTTATTCATTGACAACAAGAGTTCCTCTGTAAGGGACTGGTATGGCTTTCAAGGGAACGGCTTTTCTTAGTGTTATTCCCATTCCTTCTGTCATGTCCATGTGCTCTGGTTTAAGGCCATCGGGCAAAACCCAATCAAATGCGTGCAAGAGAGAGCCTAGTACCAGTGGAAGCACACGAGAGGCAAGTGGCATGGCTGGGCACATTCTTCGACCAGAACCAAAGGGTATAAACTCAAAATGGTGTCCCTTGTAATCCACCGTGTTTGGCTCCAGAAACCTTTCAGGCCAGAATAATAAGGGAGCATCCCACACTTTAGAGTCCCTCCCAATTGCCCAAACATTCACTAAAACTTGTGACTCTTTGGGTATAGTGTAACGAAACATCTTGCAAGAGTCCATGGCCATGTGAGGAACCAGAAAAGGAAGAGGTGGGTGAAGTCTCAGCGTTTCCTTGATGACTGCTTTGAGGTAGGGAAGATTCTCTATGTCCTTTTCTTCCATATTCCTATCTGGGCCTATTTTGCTCCTTAGCTCCATCTGCACCTTCTTTAGTGTTCTTGGGTTGTGCAGAAGCTCTGCCATCGCCCACTCGATTGTGCTTGTTGTTGTATCTGTCCCTGCAGTGAACATTTCCTACAACCAAATATTTTGTCAATACCAAATTCATGGAAACTATTCTTTAAAGAAAAAAAAAATATTTATGAGTACATTGTTGATGTAAATATTATTTATATTATTAATGTATTTTAATTATATTTTTAAATTATTCTATTCATTGGTGTACTACCAAATGTTTGAATATTCTACAAAGAGTAATCTCGTGACCGTGATCTGATATATTAAAAAAATAGTATGAGACAAAAAACCAGGCAGAATTAAGGATCGTGTGATTTTAAAAACAAAACAAAAATTATTTTCTTAAATCAAACACTCATAATTTTAGTTAATAACAATAAATATAAGAAAATTTAATACCGTTTAACTTTAATAAATGATATGAATTAATCGGCAAATATTCTTTTATATAAAAACGAAAATTTCTGATTTTTTTATGTAGGAAATAAAATGAAAAATAATGTCCCAAGTGTAAGAATAAGTTAATAATTAAACCCATAAAAAATGATCAAATCTCCATAACAAAACGAAGGAAGAGCCAAGGGACTTACAAAGACAACGACGTTAATAGTTCTTGAAGAAAAAGTGTAAGGACCACTGACACCATCTCCACGAAACCCCAAGAGGACATCCAAAAAGTCTTTGGTCTCTTTTGATTCACCAAAACCATTTTCCATCCTTTCTTTGATGAAACATCCTGCAATCTCAAAGGCTTGGTTAACATGGAATTGGGTATTTCTCCTTATACCCTGAGGATCAAGCCACTTCAAAATTGGCAAGAAATCAGCCACATTGGGCTTCCCAGCATACTCCATAACCTTAATTGCATGGTAATAAAATCTAGCCCCTCTTTCCATTTCAGGGTCCAACAAATCCTTCGAGAAAATGAGGTTCCCAATAAGGTTAAAAGCCATCAAGAAAAAGAACCTCCCAACATCAACTCCACACGAGCCAGACTCGCTAGCATCTTCTATCAAATGTATCATGCGTTGTATGCACTTTGCACGTACACTTTGCATGGCATCTAAACGACTTGTCACAAAGAACTCAGTGGTACACAAACGCCTTAGCATGCGCCAGTGTGTGCTGTATTGAGATGTTATGAGAGAACCCTCAGTGCCATGTTCCCCTTTCATGGCCTCGTAAATCTTCCTTCCAGCAAGAACAACATCGTTGTTTTTGAACATTTGACGAGCCACTTCACTTGAGGATATAACCACTGTGCACATGGATCCTAACCAAAGGGTCATTATTGGACCATGTTTACGAGCCAATTTTGCAAAGGACTCGTGTGGTGACCAACCCAGTTGGAATATGTTGCCAACCACTGGCCAGCATCTTGGTCCTGGTGGAAGCTCACCACCATCACCCTTCCTATGTTCCATCACCATTCTCCTCCGTATCCACACCAATATGCCCATGACTAACACCAAACCCACAACCCCCATTTCCATCATACTATTCCTTTTCTTTTCCTCTTTTTTTCGTGCTGTAATAATGCTTCAGCTACTTCCTATTTAATTGCTTCGTCGTACTAACAAACAAACCCATGTTAATCAGTGGGAAATAAATAATCTAAGACGACAAAATCTATTTTTATTTATAAATGTTTAAACTCAATATTTTGTTAAGACTAACAAAACTCTTTAGTTACACTTTTATTGTTTATATTTTAAATTTTAATCTTCTTATAAATTCAACTAAATGCATTTGGTCAATTTCATATGATAATAAAAAATATGTACAATAAAAATGTAATATATTATATTTATACATTTTCAATATTTTCTATATTTTTTAACTAATTTATATAAATTAATAATATCTTACATATCTATTATAAATTTTGTTAATTATTAAATAAAACTTTAAAATAAAGACTTCATTTAAATAATTAAAAAATAAATATAAATAAGTAAAAATTAAAATTATACGTGTATTAAAATATAGAAATTAAAAATACATCCAAAATTATAAAATAGTAAACTTAGGGACAGTAAATAAAACGATGAATCGTAAATATTTAACATACTGTCATTTTGTTTGGTGGGAATCTATCTTCGCTGGATTTGGAATCCACCCATTATTTTGCTTTTAGGTTCAAACAAATGAGTTTTTTCTTTTAAAACGACTCCTTATTGAGCTTTGTTAACTTCAGTTTTTAGGATGATAATAAATTTTTAATAATAATAAATTATAAATTAATTATCATCATTTATTGACATTATAACAGTGTTACAATATTTTTCTTACATAAACTAAATAAAATATGTATATTATTATGTACTTAGAACTAAACTATACACTTTTTTCATATAGAAATAAAAATAAAGTACAAAATTATTTCGTGTAAGACTAAAATAAAATATATTTTTAAGTATGAGAAATAAATTAATACAATTAACAATAAATGATACAGACTGTGTCACAAACATTTTGCATTTAAATACTAAAATATATATTTTGTTATAAAAAAGACTAAAAGGAAAAAAGTTATTAAATATAGGTACTAAAATTTTATTTTAACCTGCACAATATACTATAAAAACTTATGCCTGTATTTGCAATTTTCTTTTTCCTATAGAGTGATAGGTTTCTGTGTGAACGGCTCATATTAAGCCTTTGTTTGAAGTTTCCAAGATTTTAGGATCAAATTTGTATAACATTACATATTCAATAAAGTAAGATTTATATAGATTTTATATAAAGGTAAAATATAATTTTAGTTATTCAGTTTTTTAAAATTAAATACTTTTTAATCAAAGATATATATATATACACACACACACAATTTAATATCTTAAAACTAATACTTAGATTAAAAATTTTAATTATATAAATTATTATACAAAATTTTAAATTATTTAATACCTTACTCTTATATATCAAATTATAAATTTTGAATCATAGTAGATGAAATTATATTTTAAACATTCATATATTGGCTTTGAAACTTCAATCAATCTTCATTTCATTTTCATTCACAGAAAAAATTCAATTTTAGTTGCTGATAGTGTCGAAAGTCATAAAAAGATTAACCTTCAAAGGTTTTTTTTTTTTTTTTAAAAAAAGATTAGATTATAGTATGTGTTAATTTTTTAGAAGAAAAAAGTGAAATAAGAGAAAAAAAACATAATTTAAGCATCTCTCAAACAATTAAACTACTAAATTGTTCATCTTTTTGATAATTATAAAATTTATTAAAAAAAACTAATATCTATCAATATTTATTGATGACGTAGTAAGCATTTCATCATGCCATGCTGCCTACGTTTTAAAATAATTGCTAACAAGATGTAATTAGATATATGTGTGATGACAGTTTAAAAAAAAAAAATTATATTCATAACAATTAAGAATATATTTAAATACTTTAAATAAATATTGTATTTATTCTTACCGAATTAAGGTTCAACTTCTTATTAATTTATTTTCTATTTCCTTGTGAGATTCTTTTTTTTACTTTATTTATTAAATTTTCTATTTTTAACATATACAGGTGAATTACATTTTTTTCTTATAAAGTTAAAGTTTTTTTTTCTTCTTCCTTATTCGCTAGCAAAGAGGATGGTTAAACTTTTCTGAAATTTATTTTTTTATTGATATATATATATATATATATATATATATATATTCACGTTTTAAGTTATATTATCCAATTATCCTTTATCATCATCTAGTGTATTTGATTATGTGAAGTAAACAACATGAGTATAGATAGTTTAAAAATCGAAAAATTGAGAACGATTTTTATATTAAATAAACTTAAACAAGTGATTCTTGATAACTGTTAACTGGGACATGAGAGAGACTATTCTTCATAAGATTACATAATTTTATATTATGAACTTTACTTTCACATGATCACTTGTTTGTTTATTCATTAAAAACAAAGTTGTTTCTTATCACTACGTGTTTGTGTGTGATTTTCCATTTTAAAATATTTTAAAACAAATTTAAAATAAAAAAGTTCATAGGAGTTATAAGATGTTTGTTTCTGGGTGTTGTTTTTCTTACGAAATGAGTAGTATGTGTCACGGGTTTAGATAAGGATTTGATCAACAATATAAAATAATCCAATAATTTGTTCTTAATTACCCAAACTCAATTATATATGAAATATGATAATTTAAATACAACGAATCAAATTACCCATTTTCTGGGGACCGCATTCATCATTGTTCGTATTAATGTTTAATAATTGATGTTAATTGTAATTATGCAAATGACTGAGGACTTTACAATGTTGTCCCATTCATCGTAGACTAATAATACCATAAAATATACTTTTAGAGAAACTTTACTGTTTTTTTAAAATGTGTTTATTGTTGTTTATAATATTTTTAATATTGATATGATTGTAAAAAAATAAAAGTAAAAATAACAATAAAGATGACTATGAATACTTAAAAGTAACGATAGACACCCTCAACTTTTAATAATTAAGTATCCCCGTTTTATACTCATCAACACAAGTCAATTTATAAGTATATCAAAACATGCTTTAGTTTTACTTGTTCTAAGGTTTTATTTAGGCAATAAAACTTGTTTATAGTAATTTATAATCATCTCATTGTTCCTAAAATAAAGGGGAAATTTTAGAACTAATGAAAAATTTTAAAAATTATTTGGTGTCATAATTAATTAAAACATGATTCCTCAAGGATCCATCATTGAGGAATCATTTTTGTTTCAATTTCTAATGTTAATTTTAAGTATATGAGTGAGGTATTCTTTATTAAAAATAATTTTTGCATTTCTATATAATCAATGTGACAATCAATAAAAAAGTCTATTTTTTAATTGCAGAAATTAAATTGTAATAAGGATTATGTTAGTTTTGTTTTAGTTAAAGAATTAATAAATAATAATTTAATTTAAAAAACTGTTTAGTTATTTTTTTATTTTTAAATAAAATATTTTAATGAAATTTTACAGTCAAATCTGATAATCAATCAGTTAATAACAATTTATTAAATATTTATACCAATCGACAGCATTTTAACGTTAATATAGTGGAATAAATGACACGTGCTCAAAGCTCAATGCCTCAATACGATAATAGAATGTAAAAATTCAAAAAGGACAAACGTGTCAGTATTCCCACCTATCAAGAAATTTAAAGATATTTTATAAAAATAATCAATAATTTTTTTAAAAAAATTATCGTGTGAGTACATCAAATATATTAGTGAGTGCTAATATACAATTTTATTAACTTTTAACATTCTTGTTACATATAATACTTTATTGTTTATTAATAATATAAATATTTATTTTTTAAATTTATACAGTTTACTAAACTTTTAAAAAGTCATGAAATGAACGAAAAACTTACTAATTAAAGTTTTAAAATACATGATAAACATGAATTCTTATAAACTGTAATAAAAATAATATTCATAATAATCATATATCATGAACACAAATTATTTTATAATTATCTATAACAAAAAAATGTAAACATATTAATAGTTTTACATTATATTATTCAAAATATTATTAGTGACATAATAATTAAAGTTTTGACTTATTTGTAGCTATATATTAAATATATAATAAAATTATAAATAAGTTAAAAAATGGTTTTTAATTTAAATTAAAGATTAAAATTTTAATGAGTTTGTTTTACTACTTTAATAGGCTAACTAAACGTTATCTCCTCGTGTTTCGATCACTCCACAATTCATCTTTCTCTACTTTAAATTATTATTAATGACTTTTTAACTTATATTCTTTTAATAGTTTTTTACTTAAAAATTGAAATGAATAATTTGAATAACTTATTGTTGAATTCATATCATACGATTTGGTAAATTTTAAAAATTTTAAAAGTTTTTATATGATCAAGAATTAAATTAAAGATTAATATTTATAAAATTTAAATTAAGAAACACAAGTGGAGATTAAAACATAATTTATTAAAAAAATGTATAACTATCATATTAGCGGGATTTACCCACATCTACAAGGTAAGAACGAATCATCAAAAAGTAAATTATTTTTACCCATAAGAACAAAATTGAAATAGTGATATTGTTGATTTTTTAAAAAAATGGTGATATTTTAAAATTTTAACCTTTGTGCTGTGAGCCCAAGGAGAAGGAGTGAGTGATTGACCCAAGCCATTGGCCAACCATCCAACTAACCAATACCTCTCTTTCACCTACACGCATTCATTATTCATGTTCATTCCCTCTCATAACATCAAAGATTCAACATTTTCGCTCTTGTTCTTGTGACTTGTGTCTGTGAATTGTGATGTCAAACTACACCTTTGAGTCTTTGACAGTGGAAAGCAGCGACGGAGTGAATCTCCGTACAAGGGTTTTCAAGCCAGTGGAGGCTAAAGATGTTAACTTGGGGATCGTTCTGGTGCACCCATATTCCATTTTAGGTGGTTGCCAGGGTCTCCTTAAAGGAATTGCTTCTGGGTTGGCACAAAATGGTCATACCGCTGTCACCTTTGACATGAGAGGCGTTGGTAGGTCCACTGGGAGACCCTCTCTCACTGGTTTCGCTGAAGTTAAGGATGTTATTGCTGTTTGTAACTGGGTATCTCACACACTCTCTCTTCCCAGGGTTTTGTTGATCGGTTCTTCCGCAGGTATCTTTTTCATACTTGTTCCTGTCTGTGTCTCAGATCTGTTAACTTTTAAATCCGCCCGCCCCACCCCCCACCCCCCCCCCCCCCCCCGCGATTTTGGTGGAATAAATCTTACAATTGCTTTAAAATTAGTAGAATTCACGTAAATTTGAGTTTGAAAAAAAAAGACTTTTTTTTTTAAAATTCATTTTTTAATAATATTTGAACTGCTGTCTGCTTCAGGAAGAAAGCTCAAAGTGGGGTGTTTTTGCTTTCATTTGCACTTATCTCTATATCAGGGTCTCATCGTTTAAGTGGTGTTAAATGTATTAATTGCTTGCTTGATTTGATACCCCTTTTATGAGTAAGGCTTGCTTCTATAGTATGTTCCACTAGGAGTTAGGTCGTAGCACAAGACTTGTGCTATTAATCCACATGCATCTTGTTTGTGACTGTTTATCCAATTCATGCAGAAGCAGTGTTAGGAAATATAGCAATGTTCCATGTGAAGGATGATGCCTTAGTTTACAATTAAGAGAAAGTGTTGCATCAATGTTCAAGCCAGAAAGAATTGGCTTACATTTGAGTTGTTTCTTTTATTGCAGGTGCACCTATAGCAGGGTCTGCTGTTGATCAGATTGAACAGGTCATTGGCTATGTCAGCATAGGTTATCCATTCGGCATGACTGCCTCAATCCTCTTTGGACGACACCACAAAGCCATCTTAAAGTCTCCAAAACCAAAACTCTTCATAATGGGAACACAAGATGGATTCACCAGTGTGAAGCAGTTGAAAAACAAGCTTAATTCTGCAGCAGGACGTGTTGAAACACATCTAATTGATGGGGTAGGCCACTTCCAAATGGAAGGGCCTGCTTATGATGCTCAGATGGTGGATCTCATCATTAATTTTATTGCATCATTGTGAAGACAAATAACTGATTGCTGAGTGTGAATTGTCTTTACTGTTGGGATTAGTTTGTGTACATAATCTGACTTTTGAATCTGTAGATTGGACTGTGGATTTGAGTCCTCTATGTCACCTTCTATGATAGAAACGAGTAATAGACAGAGTAAGCATTTCTGCTTATTGGATAATATGAGAGAGAGAGATAAGGAGGATTACAAACATAAGAACCATCCTTTTCATAATTTATAATTTACAAGTTACATATATTATGTTTCTCTAGATTTAGGCCACTCCTACCTGCTGCACTACTTAATAGATAAAAGAACAAACCCACAATAATACAACAATAAACATGGCATATTACAATAGTCATGTGTTGGCAACTTTGTGGGGATTCTTATTCTTAGATGGAGCACTGGTCTCTCTTCGTACTTTATCACCAATTGAACCGTCGAGTCCTCTAATGCCACCTGAATTGGACAGTCGTTTCTTCCGGCGCTTTTCCTGCTCCGTCGAGTGCCCTTCCCCATCTGGTTTAAAGCAAGAGAGTTCAAGGAACAAGAAGGATATAAAGGCCTAGTAATCAATAATCTAAAATATCGTTGCTGGAACCACTTGGGTTGAATCAAATATCACATTAGTCAACAAGACAACGCATACAGCGATATTCCATCAAGGAGTATTTCAAAAGGAATACAAGAAGTTATGTATGCTAGCCAAAAAACATAGGAAAAGAATGCGCATGCTTTATTCATAGCCTTGTATTTCATCATCATATACTTTACTTTAGTGGGAAAATAGTTCATAAAAAAAGATCATCCCTGCTGTTACTAGCTTAGTAATAATATACAAAAGTTAAGATACAACCGGATGTGGTGAAATTTCAGTTAATTCTACATGAACAAATTTCTAGTTACTTAGTCATTACCACTTTCACCATCAGATGCATCTCCGAGCCTGGCAATTGCATTGACAAGTGCCTGTTCATGTTCCTGCATTTCAAAGTGACAACCATCATTACTGTTGAAATTAAAGATAAACAAAATAAAGCTGGGAACAAGGAGAAATTGTTCGACACTCACTTTTAGCATTTTCTTTGCTTTCTCCATTTCCACGGGATCAGGATGACTGCCACTAAAAACCTTTTCAACCTGCATTGGTTCATTTAAGTTAGGTAATATTAAGCAGCCAAATATTAGTATCATATAGAAAAGTAGCTAAATCAAACAAGTAAAAATTTTATAAATTTCCATTGCATATGCTTATACCTCCTTGATAAGGGTATCTGTGTGGAGTATCTGAATATCACTTATAGGCTTCTTCCGGCTCCCATTTTGTGACGAAGTGAAATCTTTCTTAGGCTGAGTCTTCATCATTCCACTACCTCCTCCAGCACCAGTAACTGCACCACCACGAGACTTAGATTTCTTCCTACCTTGACCAGGTTGGCCACCTTTACGAGGTATTCCAGGATCATCACCCTCCCAACGAATATCTTCTGGAGATATCTACCATATTGAATAGATAGTTACTAGGATTTCATCACTAATAAGCAACATCAGCGCAAACTCTTAAGTCTGGTTGATAAAGAGTAATGAATAGAAAAATGAAGAGACATTAAGCAAACAGATAGGAAAATCCTTTGCTACAATCAGAAAATTAATGCATTATTTGCATTCTAAGCGAATAAAAAGCTGTGATAAATAATTTACATGTGAAAAACAACCTTATGTAAGATGCTTTGCTATTGATATGTGACAGAAGGAAACACTAGGGCGGAGATCTATGAAAATAGAAGGATTTCATTATATTACCGATAATCCAATATCTCACAATTGAACTAATTCTGAATTTAAAGAAGTTACAATATTGTCAAGTTTTTACGCTAACCAAACCAGTGAACATTTCTGTGATATAGCTTCCTTGAGACAAATTACAGAGCCAAAGCCCTTGAGGCAGGCCTCAAGAAGCTAGGGCAAAAGATGCACCGCAATACATTGACAGTTACAGCGTCATGCTTAGTGAACATCCAAATAAAATCAAGCAAACCAAAACTTGGGTATGTAATTGTATATCTTGGAGTGAAGGTGTGGCTTGATTTTTGTTTATAAAAAGAATCGTCCCATATGCTTGAAGTGTCATTTGTTTGCCTCAATTACAGATGCTTAAAAAGAAATCGCCAATGCAAATGCTGGCCCAAGATAGCCAAGGACACTCACTATAAGTCAGCGCCTTCAACCACAAAAATAAACTAGATTTTAGGCAAAAATAAAAGGTTTTTTTCATCAAATTCATGAGATACTTTGTAGTTTATACTTTATACCCATTTCAAGGTATGAGATTCAAAAAGTACAATGAACATCGAAAAAGTAAGATGTGAAAACACAGCTCTGGCTATGCTTGTCAGGAGGAAAATATTGCTTAAAAAGACTAAAAAAGAAAGAACTGAGCTAAAACTAGATACTATGCAATTTTGATGTACTGAAGAATATTAGTATTGCAATAATTTTACCTCTTTAAGATTGACCCACTCCCACGTCTCATTTCCTGAATTCATATCATAGACCAAAGCATGTCGCCGCTGCCAAATATTTAAATAGAACTATTAAAAGAGGACCATGTGTTACTTATTCTTTTATAGTATACAATAAACACACCTCAGCAGGATTATAATCAGTTATAACAGCTTCATAGAAGTGGTTGTCTTCAGGCCACCTAGTCCAAACTTTCCTTCCAATCCAGGGATCACAAGAGGCTGCTTCAGCAGGTTCATTTGCCGCAAAGGCACCTGAAGAACCCCCCTGATTAGTGACCTGGCTTCTGCTTGTATGACCTGTAGAAGGGAACTGTATGGACTTCATTGAGGATGCACAAATCAATGAATTTTTTCCCTTTTATTTGAGAACAGGAAACAATGACCATAGAGGATGTGTAGTCAGCATCTTTGTTTCTTGATATTTCATAACTGAAAAGCTTACTGATTTTGGCTTTTTGGTCTTTGCTCCTGATGGAGGAGGTCCATGCTTCAACGCAGATGATGATGATTGCACAGATGGATGAACTGCAGGAGACGGTGCACCCAGGGATAATGAAACCACAGATTGGGATGTCTTGTGTTTCTTACGGGATGCTGAAACGGTAGGGCTGGTATTGCGACTGGTATTGCGATCATGAACTTGTTGAACAGCAGGTTGGAGCCCACTTCCCTTTCTCCACTCCCTAACAGCACAACTGGTTACACCCCAGATTGAAATCCAGAACAAACCACATTTTGCTCAATGGTATGCATAAACTTCTCAGAAGAATATGACAAAACATAATATGACCTTATCCTGCGGATGATGTCATCGGCATTGACTCTGGATAGAAGTTCTCTGTGTTCTTCATCTGAGACTCTTAGCTCCTTCCTAAGTTCTGTAATTAAACTTTCTTTTTCCTAAAGAGCATAGGAACAAAAAAACTCAATTGTTAATTCTATCCTACATAATTTATAGAAAGACAAACCCAATAAATTCAGCGTGGTACCCAAGTAATTGCATCAGATTGAGCTTTAAAAGCCCGCAGGACAGAGGTGTATGCTTCCTGCTCAATTTTATGGATTTGTGTTTCCATGTCATTCTGCATCCTAGGAAATGGACCGGAGCCTACAACAGCTGATCTTCCATTTCTAGTTTCAGCAGCATGATCTGGTCGTTGAAATTTATTTTGATGTGAAGGAGGAAGATCATCATCTGTTCCTGTGGGTTTTCAGATTATGGAAATCAGTAAGCAAGCAACCTTTGAAAACAAAACCCATAATTTAGAGTGGGCCAGGAAAAAAAAAGATACCTGTAACGATCATTGCCAAATATGAAATGACTACTCATGTCATTCCATGAGAGTTTCATCATAGAAAAATTTAGGACAGTAGAGCAGAACACTATCATGGTCTGCTTCCCTATAATTTTAATTATTTATGGTATTTGCTCTGCTTCAAATGCTAGCTAAAAAACAGCGTGGAGAATGTGTTCAGTTCAGTTATGAAACGGACATGATGATGGTCACGAGGTTCCACTTTCTGGGTCATATATTCTATTCTTCTTTTCTCTGATTTTACAGAAAGTGTTCGTTATCTATGGCATGGTCTACTTTTGGACGCCAGATGACAGGTCATGAAGACAAAACACAGCTAGTACACGCTTTTTGTGCATTTCATTTTTGTATGTCTTTCTCAGTTAGAACCGTTTTCTTTGAAACATCATTAACTGCTCCTGTGCTTGGAACTAGAAGTAATAAGAAAATTACTACAGCCTAGTTTTGAGCGAGCTTGAGAAGTCTTTGTAAGAGAAGAAAAAAAATATATAAAAAATGAATAAAAACTTATTCTATAAGTTAAAAATAACTTGTTTTTTCAAGTTTTAGAGAAGTTAAATGAGAGTAACTTCTAAAAAATAGAGAAGTATATGTTAATTTTAACTTACACAATGAGCTTTGTTTATTTTATTTTTTGCAAGTGTTCATTTCAAGGATTTAGGATATACATATGTGGCATCAAACTTAAGATCGATTAAGTCATGAGTCAAGACCACAATTCGAGTGTAAGATTAAAATCAAGACTTGCAAAAAGGAAGGGTAAAATGAAGTTATTCATGTCATTTGTTTACTACCTGCATAATGTAGGTAACCAAATAAAGCAAAAAGAACCTTATTATATTGTATGTTTTTATTTCAAACACAACAGCATGAGTAACAATAAGAAACAGTGAAGAATCAACAATATATCATCCAAAACAATTCCTGATTAGATTTAACTTATCAATGTGATAAAGAAGGCATCTCAATTCCCAAATTATGGTCCAAACTCATTCCAGCCATTATGTATTCAAACACCACCTCCAACATCACAAAGAAGCTGCAATCATTCTCAACAATTTGTCAACATCTAAAATAAAAAAGTCAGCTAAGTTGCAGTATCAGGCAACAAAGCTTTAACTTACAACAATAACAGCAGCAGCAAAACGGTTTCTTCAAGAATAAGAGTAGCAAAAGTGCTACTTCAGTTCAATGTCTTTATATAAACTGACCCAAGTTCAATTAATGTAAAAGATGAAATAAACATAATTAAGTAAAAACACAATTCATAATAAACAAAAAACATAGCCCAGAAAGGCTAGGGTCCTAGACACCCAGAAAAGACACAACACACACTATACAGGAAAAAATATCAATTTTTTGAAATGACCCACCGCTGCTATCGGAGAGATCAAATTCCATTGCGGTCCCCAAGCGTCAAAATCACAAAATCAACCAATCAACTTGTTGAGGCACACGAGTTCCTCGCCCCTGTAAACGATTGAAAAACAAGCAAATAGGAACAATACGCTGCCCAATTCAGAGGCAGAAGCTGAAGAAAGATTTGAATGCAAGGCACACAGGCCAATGTAATGTGATCAATGTCTTCCTTTCAGGCTTTCAGCCGAGTGACGTGAATGGATTATGTTTACAATTTTTGAAAATGTTTGGGGCAAAGTTTTTATTTTAGTATAATTTAGGGGTAAGAGAAATATTTTGGAGTGGTGCGTCGTTAATTTAATTTTTAAATACTAAAAAAAATAACCATTTTTATAATTATTATAGTCTATAAAAATTTATTTAATAAAAATAATAATATACAAGAAGATAAATATTAAAAAATTAAGATTTTTTCATAGAAAAAATTCTGTTGGATTCGGATAAAATAAGTTAAATAAAATAGAGATGATTACTTAATTTTTTATGAAATGATTAACTGTATATGTATTATATAAAAGTTGTTTTATTTGTTTAATCCGATTTACAATTTTATAAAATTTGGAATTACGAAAAAAGGTTTTGTCCATTCCCATTTCCCACCCGACCCAAGCGAAGAGGAGACGGGTTGACCCGAAATGAGGCGAAGATATGATGACATGATAGATATCTCGTGGGAAGGAAAGAGAAGATGGGAGTGCTTATGCTTATGCTCACCAATACCCATTATTTCTCTTCTTCTCCCATAACGAAAACCGCTTCTTCCTTTCTTTTACCCTCTCTTCGACGCGTCAAGACCAGGAAAAGGAATTTCCATTCCTACCCTCCGTTTGCATGCGGTTCCATGGAGCAGGGATTTTCAGCTTCTCTGGACTCTGTGACCCAACACCTCAACAATCACACTCTCAATACTCGCAGGTCCAGACTCGAAGATCTCAATTGGGACCATTCCTTCGTCAGAGAATTGCCCTCTGATCTTCGAACCGATTCCTATCCCCGAGAGGTTTTTTTTTATTTTTTATCTTTCTTTCTTTCTTTCGAGATTTCGCCTTTATTTTGTTTCTATGTTTCTCTTCTTTCTCATTTCAGGTGCTGCATGCTTGTTACACTAAAGTATCACCATCCGCTGAAGTGGATAATCCTCAACTCGTAGCATGGTCCCAACCAGTTGCTGAGCTTCTCGATTTGGACCATCAAGAGTTTGTTCTTATTCTTCTTGTTAGTTGTTACTTAATTGCAATGTTATTTTAATTTTTGTTTCTGAGTTTCAGGTTTGAAAGGTCAGATTTTCCCCTTTTCTTCTCTGGTGCATCGCCTTTGGTTGGGGCGTAAGTGTTGTACATATATTGTTATTAGATTTTTAGGATAATTGATGATGCTACGATTTGGCGTGATGATGATTGATCCTGTGTACAGGGTGCCTTATGCTCAGTGCTATGGTGGGCATCAATTTGGTATGTGGGCTGGGCAATTGGGTGATGGTAGGGCAATTACGTTAGGGGAGATACTCAATTCAAAGTCTGAAAGGTGGGAACTGCAACTTAAAGGAGCTGGCAAGACTCCTTACAGTCGCTTTGCTGATGGACTTGCAGTTCTACGCAGCAGCATTAGGGAGTTCCTTTGTAGTGAAGCAATGCATCACCTGGGGATACCAACCACTCGTGCTCTTTGTCTTGTCACTACTGGCAAGCTTGTTACTCGGGACATGTTCTATGAGTATGCCCCCCCGAACTTCCACTAATGCTGTTTTTGTGTTAACCTGTGTATCTGTTTATTTACACTGTTGTTGAGGTCTCTAGCTTGTTATGGTTCCTTTAAATTCCAGTTTTTCTGTAATTAGATGCATATGAATCCTTTTTCTCCTGTATAAGATATATGTTAAGAAGAAAGTTTTATGTGTCTCAGCATTTTTGGTTGAGTCTTGAAGTTTAAGTTTTACATTCCATTCATAGAAGAACTTAGCTTTGTTTGCAAAAAGAAAAAAAAGAACTCAAGGCTTTATTTTAATTTGATATGACGAGTAACTGGAATTGGAGATTGAAGCCTTTGGTTTATGAAACTGTTTTCTGTGCGTATTAAAAGTTAATTATGTGACTATGTTGTTAATGTGACACCTGCAGTGGCAATCCAAAGGAAGAACCTGGTGCAATTGTTTGCAGAGTTGCCCAATCTTTTCTACGTTTTGGATCATACCAAATACATGCCTCCAGAGGTGATGACGACCTAGGCCTTGTTCGTGCTTTGGCAGACTATGCTATCAAGCACCACTTTCCTCATATTGAGAATATGAGTAAGAGTGAAAGCTTGTCTTTCAGCACTGGAGATGAAGATCATTCTGTTGTTGATCTTACTTCAAACAAGTATGCAGGTAAGAAAACAACAAACTTTTTGAAGAAGTGCTGGTGTTAACTTTTTTACCATAAGAAATATGTTGAAGGAGCAAATAACCATTCAATACGGTTATTAAATATGAAGTTTGAACTGAATAAGCACTTTATGGTGGTTATTTGGTCCGTCAGCATAAGCGTCAGTCAGCCTAATTTCCTTATCCATTCTTCTCTATGTAAATTAAATACATGACTTTATATGACTAGTTAAACTTGGAGATCATGACCAAGTAATTGCAAGCTTAGGGCACAGGTTAAATAAACTAGCTGCTGCAAACATAAACAACAGCCCAAATAACTGACAACTGAAGGAAAAATTCACAAGACTAAGTAAATATTTTGGTTTAGCTTATTTTGAAGAAATAATAGTTTTTTTTTTCTTTTGCCAGTGTCTTGAGAGAGCTTTTAGAAAAATGATTATTTTCCTGAAAAAATTTGTTGCCAAACATGGGCTAAATCCCGTTTATAGACTATGTTAAATACTGACTTTGAGTGCCTAATATGAGATTACTAAAACAACCCTGGGAGTGAAAATATGGTGTTGACTAAGTTATCTCTACCTGCCCACATAATAAACATATGGATTCCAAATTTTCAACATCTAAACTAGTTCAAAATTTTGGATACTCAATCGGTTGAGCTAATGTCTTCTGGATTATACTGCTGTCTTCATTGTATTCTGATATCAAACTTTAAGAGTTGAACTTTAATGTTGACTATCTATCCCTTCTTTTTAATGGTTCAGCATGGGCAGTGGAGGTTGCAGAGCGTACTGCCTCCTTGATTGCTAGATGGCAGGGGGTTGGCTTCACTCATGGTGTGCTGAACACAGATAACATGAGCATTTTGGGTCTCACAATTGATTATGGCCCATTTGGATTTTTGGATGCTTTTGATCCTAAATTTACCCCAAACACCACAGATCTTCCAGGTCGAAGATACTGTTTTGCAAACCAGCCTGACATTGGTTTGTGGAATATTGCACAATTCACAACAACACTATCCGCTGCTCATTTAATAAATGACAAAGAGGCTAACTATGCTCTGGAAAGGTACTAGTAACACTTCTGATATCTTTTTCCCCCTTAGAAGACAAAATAGGTATGAATTGCTTATCAATTATGGTTTGTTTGTTTCAGGTATGGAATGAGATTCATGGATGATTATCAGGGTATAATGACCAAAAAGCTTGGCCTCCCTAAGTATAACAAGCAGCTGATTAATAAACTTCTTAGCAATATGGCTGTTGACAAAGTTGATTACACAAACTTCTTTCGTACACTTTCAAATATTAAAGCAGACAGAAGCATTCCAGATGATGAGTTGTTAGTCCCACTAAAGTCTGTGCTGCTGGATATTGGTAAGGAGCGCAAGGAAGCTTGGACAGGCTGGGTGAAAGCTTATATACATGAGGTACAGTTGTTTCATTTAATTTCCTTTGGTTAATAAGGCATTTGTAGGAAAAAAATGCTTAAAGTTAAATATGAAAAAGAAAAAAAAATGCATCGTTGATAGTGCCTTTTCTTCTCTGTTTCTCTGGGGCTTGCATATTCATAACATTTCTCGGCAAGTCTTTTGCCATTCTTGAAACATTGTCAATTTTCTGGTTCATTGTATATTTATGATGAACTACTGGAACCTTTTTTGTGCTTTTTATGCTGTTTTTAGGTACTCATCCATGGGCAAAATCATATTGACATTTAGAGCATGTTTGATTTCTGTTTTTAAAAATTAATTTTAATATAAATTTGTATTAGAATTAATTTTTAAAAACAGAAAACTGTTTTAAAAACAGAAATCAAACATTCCCTAAATTTCTCGTGCCCAAAATTTCTAGTTTGTACCATCTGCATCACATAAATTTACTTTTACACTATTTAATTCTCTGCCGCATCTAAATGTTTCAAGTGACTGAATCTTGGATCAATACTGGTGAAATTTATGATTCAGTTATCTTCATTCAACCACCAGTTTGCAAGATGCATACTATTATTCCATTCAGATTTCAAAAGATGAGTAAGTACACAGAAAATTAGCTGATGACTTTGCATACTTTTGTGCTTTCTAAGTGTGTCACGAGATTCAGATACCTTCTGAAATTTTTATTTTAATTGGGACCCTCATCACAGCCATGCGCTAATCATCAGCTTAACTTTTTCTTCTTATTATAACTAATGGGTATTGCTGCGTGGAAATTGTTGATTTGATAAGATGTTGAACTTTTCATGCCATAAGCTGTAGTAATACTTCGTGCATGATTAAATCAATTACCCGAGATGTCTTGTGCTTTTATTATCTAACATCATTGCTTTGGGGTTATGCAGCTCTCTACCAGTGGTATTTCTGATGATCAGAGGAAGACGTCAATGAATTTGGTGAATCCTAAATATATTCTGAGGAACTATCTCTGCCAGACTGCAATTGATGCTGCAGAAATGGGTGATTTTGGGGAAGTCCAAAGGTTGCTCAAATTAGTGGAGCATCCTTTTGATGATCAACCAGGAATGGAAAAGTATGCTCGCTTACCCCCAGCTTGGGCATATCGACCAGGTGTATGCATGCTTTCTTGTTCTTCATGAGCAGCCTGCACAGGTTGGCAATATTCCAGAAACCAGAAATAGGAGAAAATGATTTAAAAAAAATGAAAACACTAAAACTAGGAATTAAAAGGAAGAAAAAGTAGTGTACTTGTATTGTATACGGTAGTCTTTTGCTGACAAGAGAGAGAATATAGTCTTTTACATGTTTCATTTTTTTTTTTTTTCTGAGTATTGAGTTATTGTGGCTGCTTTGTGCTGTTTATTGACCAATGTTTTTTCGCATATATTATTTTATTTTCAATGGACTGTCCCGAGTACTATTTAACATGTACAATTGCAAATTACTTGATTAACAGTTTCCATATTGTTGGTAGGAAGTTTGAAATTACTCGTCCAACTTTAAAATGTTCAGAGGTTTGATTGTGATTCTAGTCTGCAAAATTGTTTGTGTTGGGTAAGGGGAAAATAACCAAAGAATTAATTTGTTAAAATTTAGGATTTGTACTATAGAAGGGTGAAGTAATGAGTGACGTGACGTATAACTATGAAGGATGATATAAACAAAGAAGTCATGGTATTCAGATCTCTTTTATAAACTGAAGCATATTAATTGCAAAAGGCAGGAAGTAAATAAACTATCATGTTTCTTTACAATTTTAATGGCTATCTTTTTTTCTTTTTTCTTTTTTCCTTTGCTTTCTGAATACTAAACATTTAACGCTCATATCATGATCTTCAATAGTGAAATAAGGATGTTCTATGCTATGGATCAGAAAGTTTTAAACTAATGATCCTTGCTTTCACAAGATTAATAGAGTTGTTAGGAACCGTGTCTCAAGACTTGAAGTTGTCAACGGGTGGCTTGAATTTTAGAAGAGAAGAAAGATTTTCAATATTATGAAATTGATATTAATATGATTTTATGTGACGTACTATAATGCCATAATATGTTTATAAAAACTCCATCTCAAGAAATAATGAAATTAATAAATAAAACTGGTTCGATGTATACGAAATTACTTAATGAAAATTACAAATCTCAATCTTTAAAACCGTTACCATTTAAAGAATGTTTTATGATAATGATTAAATGAGTTTAATAAATAAAATATAAAATCTTAATATTTAAAATCACTACCATTCAGAAATAACTAATATACCTATTTATATTACCTCGCTATTTATATTATTTTTGGAGATGCAAGAGCAATACTTAACCTAATTAATATAAGAATAATTCTTTTAGAAATGTATTTAAAATCATCTTTAACTTGAAACCAAAATGATTTCTAATTTAAATAAACTTTTGTTTCAGATTTATTTTAAAAAATATTTAAACTTATTAACATTTTGATTTTATGTTATATAAATAAGATATTATTAATATGATGTTTATTTTATTGTGTAAATTAATTATGTTTTTCAATAATTTAAATAACCAGTATCAAAATCAAATCCTAACATATTATTTTTTAGAACAGGTTAAGGATAAATTAACTTAATTTTTTTTATTAGAAAAAGTATATTTATTTATACTTTTATTAAGTTCAATGACCAAATGAATCAGAAAAAAAAACGTCAATTTATATTTCATAAAATCAATTTAAAAATTTTAATTTAGAATAAAATAAAATCCATTTTAATTGAAATAAAATATTAACAAATATATATGCACATTTAGAATCAAGAAGATTTACTTAAATCTCTTTATACCTTCGAAATAAGAGTTTCATGGAAATAAAATATAAAATATTTAATGTGTTTTGGACAGCTTGAATAATTGAGAAGAAGCACAGATTTTTGTTCTGAATAAAAAAAAGGGAAACAAGGCCCATCGACGTTACATTACATGACATTCCACCCCACTCCCTAATAAATTGAACATTTGGGATGAGAAATGAGGTAAGGTTTCTCTCTCTATCACTTGGGCGGCTAGGGTTTTAGTTTAACCCTCTTTCTTCTCTCTCCCTCGCTCTCTTTTTGTTTCGCCGACTACGATACAGAGATGGAAGGGTTGTTGTTGACGAGATAGGATTGGATTGGATTGAATTGGACTGGGATAAGACAGAGTAAGGGCTTGGGGATATATAGGCATTGCTGACCAAAATGGCGACCATGAACCCTTTCGATTTGTTGGGTGACGATGCAGACGACCCTTCTCAGCGATTAGCAGCGGAACAACTCAAAGTTGTTACTGCACCTCCCAAGAAACCCCAGACTCAGCCTCTCACTCAGCCCAACAAACCCGCTCAGCTTCCCACCAAGCCACCCCCTCCCTCTCAGGCTGGTTCGTTTTCTTCTCTTCCTCTTTCTCTTTTTTAATAACATCCACGCTTTCACTTTTTCCCCCTTCTTTCTGCAATTTGCAATTTATATTTGGTTTAGGGTTTTCTAGAGTTGGACAATAGGGATTGTTACAGTAACATCTTTTAAAGATTGTTGTTCACAATAGTAGTTGAACGCATTATTATTAGCAATTGTGTTCAATTTTCCTTCGCTTTCTGATGGGTTGAATGGCTTTGTAGTTCCTTAAACTGATGGATCACGCAGTTCAATCTGACACCAAATAGCTATGTAGCTTGTGTTAAAAGCTTTTTTTTTTTTTAATAATTTTTTGATACTGATGTCTGATTCTTCACTACCAAACAAGGAAAAGTTGCTCGATATGGTGATTACTTGAAGTTAAGGTCATGGTTTCTTTATGATTTTTTAAGTTCAGTTAAGCTTACTGTTGTCTGTTTGTTTGCTGTTATCGTAATTACCGAGTGCTCTTTGTGTGGATTTGTTCATTCATGGTTCTTTTCATTTTCTTTTTACTCATTTTCCTTTCTTGTAATAGTGAGGGAGGCGAGGAATGAGAATTTGCGTGGAGGTCGCGGAAGTGGACGTGGTCGCGGTCGTGGAGGTGGTTTCAATCGTGATTTTTCTAATGATGAGAACTCATTTGCTGCCCCTGCTGGTCAAGGTTCACTTGAAGGAGAACCTGGGAAGCCCTCAGAGAGGCTTGGTTATGGTGGGCCACGTGGTCCTTATCGTGGTGGTCGTGGTGGGCGCGGAGGTTTTAGTAATGGAGAAGCTGGTGAAGATGGGCGCCCTCGAAGAGTGTTTGAACGCCGCAGTGGGACTGGACGTGGCGGGTAAACGTTATATTTGTAACTAATTTGTTGGTCGCTTTTTTTTTTTTTTAACTTTTGGCTCTTCTACTGATATGACTAGATCTGATCCTTTTGCAGAAATGAATTCAAACGTGAAGGTGCTGGCAGAGGGAACTGGGGAGTACAAACTGATGAACTTGCACAGTATGCAATTCTTTTTGGACCCACGCTTCACTTTCATATTTCTACTGACATTCCTCTGCATACAGTTTCTGTTTTATTTTATGGTGTGGAATTCTTATTGTTCCATGTTTCTGTTTTTCTTTTTAATTTTACTTAGGGTGACTGAGGAAGTGAATGAGACTGCTAAGAATTTAGGTGATGAAAAGCCTTCAGGTGAGGATGATGTTGCAGCAGATGGAAACAAGGAGAGTTCTGCTAATGAAGCTGAAGAAAAAGAACCTGAGGATAAGGTGAGTCATTCAAGTTTATTTTAGTGTTTTTGATTTCCTCTTTATCTGCTTCTATATGTTGTTAATGTTTATTTTTAACATTATCAGCAGATGTGTGGCTTATAACTGGCATAATATGAAATTATCAGTGTGCATATGATCAGTGAATCGTTGATGTAAATTGACTTAGTTACTTGAAATTCTGGAGTCTGTTGAATAAATGGTAATCTGATAAACTTTAGCTTGGGCTTTCTGCTTATGGTTCTCACTCATTGCTTAGGATGCTTTTTATCTTTATTTGTTTATTGCTTTTGTAATACCTTTTCGGCGTGCACTTCGAAAATTTAAGCAGCAGTTTGACAACTTCTGTGCATATTTCCCTCCCTATTCATATAACAGTCTTAATTTGTTTATTTCCATTATTAAAATTTACCACCGTTTCTTTTCAATTTTTGTGTTACTGCAACTTTTTCTTGAAGGTGTTAGTGTGTATTTATTATTCTTTATTTGTTTAAAGCTTGTTGTTTGCTTAAATTTATATATACAGCTTAGAAATATTTTTTCTGTATAGGAAATGACACTGGAGGAGTATGAAAAAGTACTAGAAGAGAAAAGGAAGGCTTTGCAAGCACTTAAGACTGGGGAGAGAAAGGTAGATACTAAAGTTTTTGAATCCATGCAGCAGCTCTCAAACAAGAAAGACAATGATGACATCTTTATTAAACTGGTGAGCTTTATGGCTTTATGTGTTCCCTTCTAGTTTGTAGTTTTTTGTATTAATTTATTGTGCTAGTACCCAATGATATCCTTGACACCCGGAATTTTTCTTTCAAAGGGTTCTGATAAGGATAAGCGCAAAGAGGCTCTTGAGAAGGAAGAGAAATCCAAGAAGGTGTGACTTGGTAACATTAGTCTATGACTGCTGTTGCATTTATTTAACAATTTCCATTATTTCTGATCATTTAGTTAATAATCCCATTACTGAAATTGTTATTCCTGGTAGGATTTGTAGTTAATGCCTTATTGAAAATATTTTGCTATTTTGGATAGTTCTTAAATGGACCGGGGATTAAAGGTGGAAACTGAAGTCATTGGACCCTAGAAATTTGGCTTCCATTCTATCCTTGTATTAGTCTGTAATATTGGCAGGCTGACATGTTTCATTTTCTCTCTAAATTTTCTCATTAAGACATGCCATTTATTTATTTTTTTACAGATTACAGGTTATTTTTTACTCTTTTCCCTCTTATGTTTATTTGATTTCTTGTGATTAGTCTGTCAGCATCAACGAGTTTCTGAAGCCTTCAGAGGGTGAAAGTTACTACAACCCAGGTGGGCGAGGCCGTGGTCGTGGTCGAGGCCGTGGTGCAAGAGGAGGTTATGGTGGCTATGCAGCTGCCAACATATCAGCTCCATCAATTGAAGATCCTGGGCAGTTCCCTACTTTGAGTGCCAAGTGAGAATTTCTGGTGGTGTTCAGACATTTTTATGTACCTTTTTTCAATTTTGGCTCTCTGCTTTGAAGCAGGAAAAAGAACTTATGGTGATTGGATTTCCTGTGTCAGCAGGGTTTTTTTTTTTTTAATTTAACGTCTTAAAATGTAAATTTAGGTTGTTTTTTATGGCCCCACATTCCCTTATATCGACATATTTCCCCAATGGTTATGCGTTACCTTATGTGTAATTTTGCGGGATATATATGATGGATAAGTCATTTGTGGCCGAACACCCCACCCATCCTCCCCCTTATTTTTCTAAATGAGATTGAACGCGGTAGTTTATCTTGAATTTTTGGTTCATACATTCTTTTTTTCCTAATCAAGAACAACGTAAATTCATGTCAAAAAGTTGGCAAATGATTTTTTCTCCTGTTTGGCTATACTAATGAAGTTTTATAGTTTTCCGAAATTTTTGTTGAATCTTGTCACATTTGATATTTGTAAAATTTGAAAACTCGTTTTTTGATTTTCATTTTTTCCGATATTCAGCTTGATCATCGAGTATAGAACTTCCTTCAAACTCAGAAGGCACTATTGATGAATGTATTAAAGCTTGATGCATGCGGCACCATTCTAAATTCTAAACTGATGAATAAGCCCCCAAGTGCATTTGGTAATGCCGTGGTTAATACTTAAATTTTGATTTTCAACAGTCATGAATATTGTGAATTTTTTACGGTCCACCATGGTGCCTAGGCTGACTATATATATATGCAGCATTGTCCCTCTACAACATATATATTAGAGATCAAGGAATATTATATTAATTGATTCATCGTTGAGTTCCATAAAACTTCATACCAGATAAAGGCTTCCAAGACTTTTGAATAAAATTTCAGACTTGGAACACGGGTTACTCACTCTGCCTCTCGCAAAACAGAAAAGGGCTTCATTTAATGATCCACCCAGATCAATACAGAGGACGAACTCGCACACAAATTGCTACACTTCTTACATAATATTCAAGAACTCAAACTGCATTGTTAGCAAGGGAGTCATCGTTTCTGTCCTTCCCATAGGCTTTCTCCTTCCATATGAGTGCCACTTCCTCAAAAGTCAATCCTTTGGTCTCTGGCATGAACAAGATCACAAAAACAATAGCAACCACAGATATTGCCAAAAGAACCATGAAGCTCTCACCAAGCCCTATAGCATCAACAACCGAAAGGAAGCTGGTGGACATTATCACACTGCAAATCCAGTTGACAGTTGCGGACATGCCACCACACATACCTCTATACTCTTCAGGATAAATCTCAGAGTTGACAGTCCATGGTACAGGCCCCATTCCTGGTGCAAAGAAAATAATATACAAAGCCAAACCCATGATTGCAATCCACCCAAGTGTTGGATTTGAGTTGCCATGTCCCATAAGGTAGCATGATGTAGAGAGGATTACCAGGGCTGCAACCACACCCGATAAGCTACCAAGAGTAAGAATTTTTCGGCCTACGGCATCAATGAGGTAAATGCCAAGAATTGTGCCAGCTGCATTCATTCCAGACACAATGAGAGACAGGAAAAGAGCTGATTGGTTTGATTTGAAGCCTGCCATCTGGATGATTGTGGGACTGTAGTACATTATGATGCTTATACCAGCAAATTGCTGAAATAGCTGAAGTCCAGCACCACATATGAATGCAACTCTTATTTCTTTCTTCCTGAAAACATCACTGTACTTCACTTTCACCTTATTCTCGCTTTCTTGCTTCACCAGTTCTTCAAGTATATCAATCTCGTCCTCCAATCTAGGTGAACTGTGTATCTTAGACAGCACACGCACCGCTTCCTCTTTCTTATTCTGCAATCAAACCATTATGTCAGAAAAGGAACCGGTGTATACAACAATAACCAAGCTTTATTCTACCAAGTGAGAGGTAAGTTACATGATCACATAGTGCCACTGAACACGAAGATTAATTCAAAAATAGATATTAATTATGAACATAAATAATACATACAGGTTAGTTTTATTACCTTCAAATAAAGCCATCTAGGAGACTCGGGGAGAAAGATCATGAGGATAAACTGAATGACAGCTGGAAGGCCAGCAACTCCAAGCATCCAACGCCATGTCCCAGGAACCTGCATGCAAAAGAATATTATAATTAAACGCATGTTTAATAATAATAATAGTAATAAAAACATAAATTAGTTTATAATTAAGGTTAATTACTCTTGTCAAGCCATAATTGATGAGAAAGGAAAGAAACTGTCCAGCAGTAACCATAAGGGTATTTGCACTGACTAGTCCTCCTCTAATTTCAGAAGGAGATACTTCTGCAATATAGACAGGAGCAGTAACAGAGGCGGCACCAACACCAAGCCCAACCAGAAGCCTACCAACTATTATCACGTAAGGATTTGGTGCTGCTGCCATTACAATTGATCCCACCGTGAATAGTATGTCCGCTATAATGGTCGCACTCTTACGTCCCAAACAATCATTTACCACACCCCCCGCTGCAGCTCCAAATATTGCCCCAACCAATGCCATCCCAACAATTAATTCCTGCAACCATTCAATTACAATTCTTTCTTTATCATTTCTCTAATCACTGTAATGTTAAACGTTATCATTATTTTAACTTTTATAAAGTGTGTTCAAGGGTGAGTACATTTTTTTATTAAAAATTACAGCATTCAAATGCATTATCTTTTGTAACATTTTATAATTTTTAATAAAAACTTATTTTCTTACTCTCTCCTTAAATTAATTATTCATAACAAATAAAGATTTTTTTACATGGGAATTATTTTCTTAATTTTCAATATTACAAATAATTTGAAATGAATAAAAAGTACAAATGACTTATAATACGAGATATAAATAATAATAATAGTAAATTTTTATTAAAAATTATAGTATTTAATAATATTAATGCATTAAATTACATTAAATTTTACAATTTTTAATAAAAAATTATTACATATAAATTTTTATTACAAACAATATTGCACAGATTAAAAAGATTAAACTATTCAATCCCAACTATTTAGATGATCATACGTGTATATGTTTTGTAACATTTTTTTGGGCTTTAGGTAACATGTTTCTTCTCATGAACAAAAATCTTGCTTGAGTTAAAAATATATTTATAATACAGTAGAATTAATTCTTGTAATTTTTCTCATACAAAACTGAACGAGCTTAAAAAGAAAAAAAATATATATAGACGAGTGGAATGCAGAAAATGTTATTGGTACCTGAAACAAGCTACTGTTCTTGACCAGCTCGAAATCCTCTTTTATGTAGAGAAGGGCGCCAGAAACGACGCCTGCATGGAATGAAATGGGGTGTCCGAATGCATCAATTAATGAAGAACGAACATATATATATATATATATATATATATAGAATGGGACATATGTATATACCTGTATCGTAGCCAAATAGAAGACCACCAATGCCAGCGGCGAAAGTGATTCCAACGATGTAGGGATTCTGAAACATGGCGATTCTGCGTTCTGGATGCATTTCCAAGTACCCAGAGCTTCCCGCTTTCATGGACATGCCCATTTCGGCCACCATTGTTGCCTACCTGATTAAGTTAATCAAATCGTTAATGTTAATATTTTAAATGCTGCCAAGAGAATTGAGGAAGAAGAAGAAGAAGGGTTTAATTAAACAGGAATGCTGATTAGTTAATTTATTTTTGAATGGAGCACAACATTTTATAGAGCACCAAGATGCCAAATTTGGTTGTCCAGAGACTTCCTTTCCCTTGAAATTAGTCGCTCATTTCTCAACGATGAACGGCTCCTTTCCATTCTAGTCACTCTACAGCCCCAACATTTTCCCTCTACCTTCCTTCTTTTATTTCTTAACCAAAAATATATAACAGTAAACCATCTTTTAGTTCACCTCTTAACCTAAATATAGTTCTTTGCTGTCTCATTATCTTACGTAATTTGAGTTATGTATGTAATAATAATTGACTGGATATATAAAAGTCTAGTCTACGTCAAATATGCCTTATGTTATTTTCTTTCAAATTTATTATTCTTTTTTATTAATATCTTTAAAATTTTAAACAAATACGTTAAAATTAACTCTAAGGGTGAATGTTAATAAAAGCGCAATTAGTTTTAGTAACAAAACAAAACAAAACCAAATATAACACAAGTATAATCTACACATAATTACGTATGTATATTCTTACATTCAACAAGTTTTTTTACATAACAGCTTTGATATATCTTCCTAATAACTCTCCTCCTATTTTATAAAGTAAGTATTAAACGAAAATATTTATTTATTATTATGTTGAAAATATAAAACGCATTAAAACTTTTCTTCATTTAGTATTAGGAAGATTTATAAAAGTAAAGAGTAGGAGTATTTAGAGTTATTTCTTCACAAATATGTATCTTTCTTTGCAACACTACCGAAGTTTCTTTAGACGCTCCTTGCCAACATATATACGTTTCCTTCGGAAACCTGAAATTTGAGTTTGAGTCATATTAAAGAGGGCACGTAAAGAGAAAATTAAACATAAAAGATTATAAGGGAGTAAGCATTTGTGATAGTAAGGTAAGTATGTCAATGTAACAAGAACTAATGAAAGGTTTTAGAAATGACTCTCTCTTTATACCTTTTTTTTAAAGTATGAGAATGGTAGTAGGTGGATTCTTAGAATTTGATAAATGAGGAGTGAAGAAAAGTTATTAGAAATTAAGAAACAACTTTTCACCCAAATCTTCTTGGTTTTAGTTTAGTTTGATTGAGATGTTATGATTATTCTTTCTTTTCTTTGGTAAATCCCAACCATCTTCAATTAATGGCATGTCAACCAGCATCTTTTATGGCACAATGATATTTTCGGTTATCCTCTATGAAGAAGATGATTTTGCCCATGTTCAAACTGATAAATTTCTCAAAAACATCGTCAACAATTGTCGACGTCACAGTAATGTCTTATTTTTAAAAAATGAGAAATTATATATAATGATGAAATTACAAGTGATTCATTAACATTTGGCATCATCATATGTTAGTGTTATGAAGATAATTTCGGGGACGCAACATAAATCATTCATCTAAAGTGTTTTGAGCCAACAGAATTTAAGGGTGACAAAGGTGTGAGGTTTTCATCCATTATTGTAGTGTTTTGTTCTCATTTTTGTTATACCGTGTGTTTTTTATGACCAAGTTTAGAGTGCATTCTGTTTGGCATTTAGAGAAGTGTAATGTACGTTGAGTTTAATGCATGGCGTTTAACATATAGTCTTCTAAGTAGATATGTAAGAGGGAAGAGGAAGGAAGGGCTACAACAAAATATGTCGAGGTTCATGCATTATCATTTAACATGGAAGAAATTGTGTATTTCATTCATGTTTAACAAAATTTATGAATTAAAGTAAGTTTTTGAATATCGTATCCTTGACAAAGCATCGATGATCGATGCTGAAAAAGTACAAATTGGAGAGGGTAGTCTTCATTTGTTGCATCCTATTTATGATGAGTGTGAAGTATGAATTGGAACCAATCGAGACAACAATACATATTTTTCAGAAAACGACAGCCAATAATTTTGTTGTAATCTTTTGTTTCCCAGCTTTAAGATGCGGACTTGTTCCGTTAAGAACAGTCAAGCCTTTGAGTTCGCGGTGCCTCTTTCTATGGATCTACATTACTCTTTGATAATGCTTAAGACATGTTTATTCACATTTTTACATTTGTTACGACGATAAAATGAAACTATGAATATATGTAAAATAGATGAAGTTGTCCATAATTAGACGGTTAAATAAAAAGAGAAATGAGATCATATATAATAAAAAATAGATGAAGTTATCCGTAATTAGAATTTAAAAAAATATGAGAGAGAGATCTTTCCTTATTTGATAAAGGGATAGAATTATGATTTGAAACCTAGGGCAATAAAATTGTATTTTTGAACTATATAGTTTTACAAAATTATTATCATAAAATTGTTTAATTTAAAGCGTGTATATTACACACATAATTTGGGGTCTTTAAAATGGTAATGATCGTCGAAATCCTCTGTTGCCCAGATTCAATTGCCTGTCCTGATTCTCTCGACAGCCATCTTCTGAATCTGAAGCAGAGAACAAAGAAAACAAAGGAAAAAGATAGAATCTTGGGTGGGTGTCATTGATTGCATTAATCAGCTGAGGAAGATCAGAATGACTATACAATCGACGCCAGGGAGCTCAGGGTATTTGGATTTGTATCCTGAACGCAAAATGTCCTTTTTCAAGAATCCTTATATTCTCTTACTCACTGCTGTCGCTGGCATTGGTGGAATGCTTTTTGGCTACGACACAGGTGAGTTATTATATATATATTAGATACCCATTTTGTTATTTTGATTGAAGCAACCGTTGGTGAGTTCTTATTCATTCTCAAGAATATTTGTTTTGTGACAGGTGTCATATCAGGAGCCCTTCTATATATTAAAGATGATTTTGAGGCGGTTAGGCAAAGTAATTTTCTTCAGGTACTAATCTTTCCTCATGAGGATACATTTGTGGAGGTAACATAATTGTAAAATGCATGTAATAATGATGCAGGAAACTATAGTGAGCATGGCAATTGCTGGTGCAATTGTTGGAGCAGCAGGAGGAGGGTGGATTAATGATGCTTATGGAAGAAAAATGGCCACTCTCATTGCTGATATTATATTTATTTTTGGAGCATTTGGAATGGCTGCTGCCAAAGATCCTTATGTGCTCATTTTGGGACGTTTTCTGGTTGGTTTGGGTGTGGGCGTTGCTTCTGTCACTGCTCCTGTCTATATTGCTGAATCATCACCATCCGAAATTAGAGGTTCCTTAGTGAGCACAAATGTTCTCATGATCACTGCTGGACAATTTCTTTCCTACCTCATTAACCTTGCTTTCACACAGGTATTCTGCTGCTTCTGCTTTTCCATCCTTATTAATTTCCTTTATATCTCTACTTTCACTAATATTATGTTGTGTCACAAAATGAATCATGCAGGTCCCTGGGACATGGCGATGGATGCTGGGAGTTTCAGCAGTGCCAGCAATAGTTCAGTTTATTCTCATGCTCTGCCTACCCGAATCCCCAAGATGGCTCTTTATCAAGGTCAATAACTCCATATACATATATCATCTTCTCAACAACTCGTCTTTTTTTTTTATATATTTTGTCATTTTGTGTTGCACCTGCAGAATAGGAAAAATGAAGCTGTTGATGTGCTTTCTAAGATCTATGACTTTGCTCGCTTAGAGGACGAAGTTGATTTCCTAACATCTCAATCAGAGCAAGAGCGCCAAAGAAGGAAGAATATCAGATTCGGGGATGTTTTCAAATCAAAAGAAATCAGACTCGCATTCCTTGTTGGTGCTGGACTCCAGGTAATGTGTTCTTATATTATCTTTATCGATTTTTCTAGCATGCCAGCAAAGTTATATATAGTAATTTTTTAATAGAAATTACAAAATTTAATGTAATTAAATGCATTCATACTACCACTTTGTGATATATATCAAAATCGGCTTTTTATTTAAGCAAGTGAAATGTGTTCTTAGAACATAAAAATACCTTAATGGCATGCATGTGCATTGTGCAGGCTTTCCAACAATTTTCAGGAATAAACACAGTGATGTACTACAGCCCAACCATTGTGCAAATGGCTGGCTTCCACTCTAAGGAGTTGGCTCTTCTGCTGTCCCTAATAGTTGCTGGCATGAATGCTGTGGGAACAATTCTTGGCATTTACCTAATTGACCATGCAGGCCGCAGAAAGTTGGCTCTATCTAGCTTAGCAGGAGTGCTGGCATCTTTGATACTGTTGTCTGTGGCATTTTTAAACCAATCATCTACCAATGAATTGTATGGGTGGCTTGCAGTGTTGGGTTTAGCCCTATACATTGCATTTTTCTCTCCAGGAATGGGACCTGTGCCATGGACTGTTAACTCTGAGATATACCCTGAAGAATACAGAGGAATTTGTGGTGGCATGTCAGCTACTGTTTGTTGGGTCTCAAATTTGATCGTGTCTCAGAGCTTTCTTTCAATTGCTGAAGCTATTGGACTTGGTTCAACTTTCTTGATTCTTGCAGGCATTTGTGTATTTGCATTTCTATTTGTGCTCATGTATGTTCCTGAGACCAAGGGATTGACCTTTGATGAAGTAGAAGTAATTTGGAAGGAGAGAGCTTGGGGCAAAAACACTAGTGACTCACGAAACCTTCTTGGTGAGGGGGAAAATCAATCCTAGGAGTCATCTTCCACTTTGGCTAATTCCCATTATTTTATTTTCTCTGTTTCTTTTCATATATACACATTATCCCTCCATTTTATTGGGATGTATATATGCATTCGCGTGCTAAGAAAATAAAAGAGTAAACCTGATAAGAAAATTCTTCTAGTTAATGTGAGCACTGGGGAGGATGAAAATGGACTTCATTTTGCAGCAATGTTGAACTTTGAAATGTGGTAGATTCAGTTTTTCTGTTTCTTTATATGGGTTATTATAACCATGAAATGATTTCAGGAGAGATATTAACGAAAGGTGATGTTAGCTACATAGAATTAAAAGGTAGAGCATCAATAAATATTGGAAATTTGACTGAGTGTACAAAGAAAATCGATATGCCTTTTCAAAGAAAAAATCTCACATCAAAAAGTGCTTTTTCTTTTTTCTTTTTTAAAATAAGTGATACAAATCTCGTTTTGAAAATTAACTCATGTCATGAGTATTATTTTTCTTAAAAAAAAAGACGTGTTATGTTAATTCATTAATTCTTTTTATTTTTCTTAAAAATATTTAAGTAGTAAATCATTGTAATGTTTTTTGAATAAAAAATTGTATTACATAAGATTGGTAAAAAAGAAAGAAGTGTCTACCGTGTAGCGGCCTAATAAGCAAAAACCAAAATTATTATTTTTAAAAAAAGATAACTCTTTTTTTAACGATAATGGTGAATGGCAATTTGGACATTCTAGTTAGTTTATAAGTTTTCTGCAAGTGGGGTCTCTCTCTCCCGTTTCAAAATGCAAAAGGACAGGGTTCTATACATTCATGGACAAAAAGAGGACATACGAATATAATATTAACAGAGAAGATTAATATTTTCCTTTTGACAGTTTGGTTAATAGAAAAGAAATGTTTTATATATATATATTGAGGGATTTGCACAGAAGCTGAGTCAGATGATAAGGACGCAGTTTGAGAAGCCGAATTGAATTTATATTATGCAATGAGGACCATGGAATTCCTGGATGAACCTTCACCCATAAATTAATGAAACAAGTTGCAATCAAGTGGGTGGGGTCAGTATCATTGTTGTTGTTGCCTGTCTCCAACATTACTCATATCACTTGTGTTGAATTGAATCATTTTGATTGAAATTGGATTTGATTACCCATTGGGCATTGCCGAAGTTTTCGTGATCTGAAATCACTTCTCACTTGTTTTGGCAAATTGGCATGACGATCACCGCGCATTCCATTCCTGGAAGTTCAGAGTATTTGGAGACATACCCTGAGAGGAAAGTCTCTGTCTTTAAGAACCCTTACATTATGGGACTCACTGGAGTGGCTAGCATAGGTGGACTTCTCTTTGGGTACGACACAGGTGTTATATCGGGAGCCCTTCTCTATATTAAGGATGATTTTGATGCCGTCAGACATAGTCATTTGCTACAGGTACTATAATACCTTCTTTTATCTGTTTTCATTCGTGCTCCTTATCCTTAGAAGGAAGGGCAAATTAATCAAGTTATATGTAGATTTTTACAAATAAAAAGGGTCTTTGACTACACTGCTCCATCATGTTCAACTTTCTAACCATGCTCTGTCATCCATCTGGACTTTTCGGATATTAGCCTCAATTGGTTTATTTCCCAAGACACTTAAATATCAATTTAATAGGTGGCAGTCAAAGATTTGCTCCCTCGATGATCTATTACTATGTTTATGTTACCATTACCAGTTATATTTACCTAAACATAGGTTCACTAGTTGATGATTTAGTTGCACATAGAATAGTGTTTTAGAAGGAGATTCGGTGAAGGAAAATGGTAGCTAATTATGTTTAGCGACAAATCTAGGGTCCCCTCTCCCCAGTGATTTGAAAATGTTTGTGTTCTGCCCTCATGTCTAAGCCTGCATCTCTCCCTGGGTATGTCGGTGTTGAATTAAATGGTAATTTAGGTTGAGAAAAAGGAGAGATGCTAAGACAAAGGGTCAAGTCAGTTCTTCAATCCATTCTTGTACTTCTGCTATTTCTGCTGACACTTGAGAGGAATACACCCAAGACAAAGGGATTAATTTATATTTTAACCCAAAATAATTTTGTTCTCATTGGATCTTTCTAATTATATAAGTTGCCAGGAAACAATTGTCAGCATGGCAGGGGCTGGTGCAATTGTTGGGGCAGCAACTGGCGGTTGGATTAATGATGCTTATGGAAGAAAGAAGGCAACTCTCATTGCAGATGTTATCTTTACTCTGGGAGCAATTGTCATGGCTGCTGCACCAGATCCTTATATTCTCATACTTGGCCGAGTTTTGGTTGGTTTGGGTGTGGGTATAGCTTCTGTCACTGCACCTGTTTATATTGCAGAATCGTCACCATCAGAAATAAGGGGAGCATTAGTAAGCACAAATGTGCTTATGATAACTGGTGGACAATTTCTTTCCTATCTCATAAATCTTGCTTTTACACAGGTTAATTTTCCATGCTTTACTTCTTCATTAAATAGCAGTAGTATCAATTATCATGCATCGTTTTGAATTCCATTTAACAAGTTTCTGTGCAATAAATCTCTCTGCTTGTTTCCTAGCCTGCGCCAAACACTTATTTAACAGGGTAAAGTTCTGTTTCTTCCATGCATTTTTCCACCTGTGGTTTGAACATCACTCTTCCTTTCACTTTGCTTCATTTTCACACAACTAAGTGTTTCTTCTTTTTTTTTCATTTTCCCATCCAATTTAATTGAATCAACACATGAACATCGCATGCCCCTCAATATACAGAGGAAAAAATAGACAAAGAAGAGTTCATTGTAAGAGGAAATGTTTTGGGCTTTTAGCTAAAAAATTATCATGATCCCGTATCAAAGTAGTATTTCCCTCATTACCCATATTCTTAATCAAGCAGGTCCCTGGGACGTGGCGGTGGATGCTGGGAGTTTCAGGTGTTCCAGCATTAGTTCAGTTTTTCCTCATGCTCTTTCTGCCTGAATCCCCCAGATGGCTCTTTATAAAGGTTGTGCTACTTTTTTATGTTTACCTTTGGAAGTTATTTCTTTAATATAATTCGCGCCTTCATGGGCAGAATAGGGAGGAGGAAGCCATTAATGTACTAGCTAAGATCTATGGCTTTGCTCGTTTAGAGGATGAAGTCGCTTTACTCACAACTCAGTTAGAGCAAGATCAAGAAAAAAGGGATGATATCAGATCTTGGGATGTTTTTAAATCAAAAGAAATTCGACTTGCATTCCTTGCTGGAGCCGGATTGCAGGTAAGAAGTTAATCTTGAGACAATGTTGACCATGACTTATTCTCATATTGGAATGGCCTTTGTGAATGCCCCTTGCTATTAAAAGGTTGATAGGTTTACATTAGGGAGTAGCCCGAGTCTTACATGGTCCTTTTCTCTTTTCAAGTTGGTTTTTCCTTGAATTATGTTTGTAAATATGCAGACGTAATTTAGGCCCTCTTCTTGATTAATATTTCTCAGCATTTTATGTTAGGAAAACTAAGCAAACGGCTTAAGGGGCTTGATTAAAAAATTATAAGCATTTTTATGTTGTTTAGACTAAATGCTCATACAAAAATGTGCAGGCTTTTCAACAATTCACAGGTATCAACACAGTGATGTACTACAGCCCAACAATAGTTCAAATGGCCGGTTTTCAGTCTAATGAATTGGCTCTTCTCCTCTCTCTAATAGTTTCCGGCATGAATGCCGCAGGAACAATTCTTGGCATTTACCTTATAGACCATGCAGGCCGCAAAAAATTAGCACTATGTAGCTTAGGAGGAGTAATAGCATCCCTTATGATCTTGGCCTTGTCATTTCTTAACACAAATGAATATGGATGGCTTGCAGTTTTTGGTTTGGCACTATATATTACTTTCTTCTCACCAGGAATGGGAATTGTGCCATGGACAGTTAACTCAGAAATATACCCTCAAGAATACAGAGGTTTATGTGGAGGCATGTCAGCTACTGTTAATTGGGTTTCAAATTTGATTATGACTCAGTCCTTTCTATCAGTTGCTGCTGCTGTTGGCACTGCTGCTACTTTCTTCATTATTGCTATTATAGCTGTCCTTGCTTTTCTCTTTGTGCTTTTCTATGTTCCTGAGACCAAAGGTTTGACATTCAATGAAGTTGAGCTTTTATGGAAGGAAAGAGCTTCGGGTTTCAATCCTCATTCTGAGTCCCTTCTTCACCCCACGAATCAATCATGATTTTGCTACGCAGTCAAATACAGTTCATGTGCATATGCTCTCTGAGTTTTCATATTTTATGTATTTAATTTATCATATGATTGGCCCTTTTGTATCTATCTGACAACTCAATCTAGTTTAAACATTTGAAACACGTGGTCTTCTCCCCGTGGTGGAGATCCAAACACGTGTTCGTCTTCCTGTGGTTTGAACACATTTCACGTGTTCACACTTTAGTACTTTATGTTTTTTTTTAATAAATATATTAGATGTGTTTCTTTTTTTATTATTTAATTCCCTTCTTTTTAAAAGTTAGTGAAAAAATGTTATGATATAATTTAGCATTTTTCCATTGAGCATGCTAACTTTTGTGAAAATATTACATTCTTTTAATTGCTGAAAAAGATAAAACAAATGAAGAGAAAAAAGTGTTGACGATTACAATGTTATCATTTATGTTTTTTTTAAATTATTTCGTATTTTTACATAAATGATTAAAAAAATTGGCACTCAAATGATCAAATTAATTATTATAGTGGTATTTATAATTGGGTAAATAAAATGCAAGAATAATACGTCAAATAATAATAACAATAATAATAATAATAATAATATTATGATATACCAATACTATGTATCAAATTTTTTTTATTATATAATATAGTATATTACTTTACCGACATAGTCATAATATCTATACTTAAAATTTAATTTTTTTAATCGTACAAAGATTATACTAATAGAAAAATATCAAATGCATAACCATTAATATATGACATATATTTTCGGGGGAAAAGAGATCAGAATTTACCATTGCCCTCTTTGATTTGCCATTGTTATTATGAATAATGTAAAACTTAAAAATATATGTACGACAAATTTGTCCAAAACGCATACTAAATTTTGGTTAAATAAATATGTAAAATTTTAAATGATTTAATAGTCTTTTAAAAAGTTCACATGTTTTTGAAATATTATACTAATAATATATTTTTGAAATTTTAAAAAAACATATTATAAAATAATTTCAATATTTATTTATAAATTAATATAAGAAATGCAATATTTATCTTAATTGTATTAATTAATTGTTTCTTAATAAAAAAAAATTGAATAAAAGGCTGACTTGCTTTTTCTATGGTGTTATTGAGTGATGGGGACTGGCCACGTGGGTTGTTGGCCTGTTCTTGTCCTATTGATTACCCCCAATAATACATTCACTGTGCAACTCCCCATGTCATGTCATGCCATGCCATGCATGCTTTCCATGTCATCGTTTTCATACATCAATGAATTATCACGTCATTATATCAAATATTATTATTAAACAGTTCAAAGTCATTTTTATTTCTAAAATTTATCTTCTGTTTCTATTATTACTCTCAGTATTATTGTCATGACGAACTTTCATTTATTTTATAGTATAATTATTTTATTTCATAATAAATTATTCTGATATATATATATATATATATATATATATATATATATAATATGGTTACAAAATTCAGATAAAATTACGATTAAATAATCTTAAGTAGCCACCACATGGGTTGCCTGCTTTGCATAATCGGGTGTTAGTCGCCAGCTCACTTCGTGATTAAACTCCAATGATTGCTTTGTTCTTCGTTACATAAAATCATATATTCTGAATATAGATTTGTTATTTCTATAATTAAACAGTTTTATGAATATAAAAGAGTTGTAAACTAAAATACTAGAAGAATTTAGACTTCAGATACCCACAAGATTAGAATTCTTATTTAATAGTTAACAATTAAGAGCAACTGCGATTACAGTGGTGATGATCAAAGCTGACTTGCACATTGATAACATGATCATTGCTAGTTTTATATTTCGAGAAGAGTAGATTAAATGAAATTCATATAAAGATACATTCAATTATGTGATTTTCAGTCATTATTCAGTAGAACGTATATGAAATAATAATAATATGTTAAAAAATGGGTTAAAATATTTTTAATTATTTTGTTTTATTTTAGTACCCTAAAAGGAAAGAAACATTGTGCTATGACTTATTAACTAGGCTAGTTCATCATCGATCCTAGATGCAACTATGCTAATATTCTTATATACAGAGGTAAACAAGATATGGGTGAATATGATTTTACAAAGTTGAAAAGTTATCATACAAACAACAAAGATCATTAATTTCATATATATGTGCCTCTCTCCGCATATTTTGGTATTTGATTCAGTTTGGGGGAAACTGTGTCTGTTTGTTTTGGGAGAGATCTTAACCTTATGTATCATGTATTACTCCTGTTTTTGAAAGAAAAATTGTTCTTCGACCAAAAAGAACAAACATTTTAATGCATTTCATGCGGGTTTGATTTAATTTTGATGCATGCGCAAACTAACAAAATGTCTTCAGTTACTGAATTTCATACAGACCCACATGTTCATTACCAATCAGACAAATTCAAGAGGGTTTAATTCTCTCTGTCCGGAATCAGACACAATGCAAATTGCAAAAGCTACGTTGCTTTCCGATGTAAGCTATTATCCAAAGCTTGGTCGTGGAAGTGTACACAATACACACCATCGCTTGAGTCCCTTCCCAACCACCATTTTCCAATTGAAAATGCTTTCTTTTTCTAAATTATGTAGAGTCCTGTGGTGCACCTGTGCAAAGAAGAAAAGACATGAGTTGCTTTTCGTTTCTTTTTATTTTTCTCGGATCTTCTCTGGGTTCTTGAATTTAAGATTGTTTTGATAAACTGCTAAACCCCTGCAATCATTTTTTGTCATGTTGTTTAACAAATGGATACATGGATCTTTTGCGGTTAAATAAAGGGCAGAGCGCAGTTTAATGGAGGGGAAATGGGAAGGAGGTCAATCCAATCCTCAAATTAGGTAGCAAAACGATCCATGATATCCCTTCTCTTTTTTAGTAAAAAAGTTTGATTGATAGGTCCCTTTCAATAATTTGGCCTTGTTTGCATCGATTCACATGCGCATCTCTTGAGTGGAATTGATTCAAATAAATCCAGCATGCACAACAAACAAAATCATAGCCTCCACTCACCTGTCTTTCTTCCGCGACCAAGTCCACCACCACGTGTCCAGTCACGTTAATTTTTATATTATTAAATGCATGAAAAGGGTTCATATAAAAAGAAACTTAAAAACTTTATATATTATGACAATTCATCGTATCATACTTTGAGACATAGCATATACTTTTTTAAAAAAATAAAATTGAATTCATATAACCTTCCACAAGATGTTGAAGAATGGTGCCCAAATCGGTAGGAAAGGGATGGGTGTACAAGTACAATCTTCAGGAATCCCGGGTCTTGCAATTGAATTAAGTGGGGGTACAATTTAGAATTTAATAATATTAATAATAATAATAATAATAATAAAGATAAGTATGAAAGGAAGTGTCAAGCGTGTCGATCAAATACAGCTGTCAGTTATGAAGAAGATGATGATATACATACATACATGCACTATGCATGATGATGATGCAGAGAGGAGTTTGGGCATAGATAAATAATAGTCCTCCTTGAAAAAAGGGAAGAGAGAAAGAGATAGAGAGAAGATGGAAGTGGAATCATGGAGAAGAATGAACGCGGGGAAGAAGGAGAAGGAGAAGAAGAAGAACCAAGTGTTGCTGGAAGGGTACGTGGATGAGGATCTGGCAAGGACCAAGAGTTTGACGGATGAGGATCTGGATGAGTTGAAGGGGTGTTTGGATCTGGGGTTTGGGTTCAGCTACGATGAGATTCCGGAGCTGTGCAACACGTTGCCGGCGTTGGAGTTGTGTTATTCCATGTCGCAGAAGTTCATGGATAATTCGCCCCCTTTGCCCTCGCCTACGCCCTCGCCCTCGCCCTCACCCGATTCATTGTCCAACTCTATTGCCAACTGGAAAATCTCTAGTCCAGGTACCTCTTTTTCTGTTGGTTGTTAGTAACATCAAGATTCATGTAACATTTCTCCAATTCAATTGACGTTGTTGCAAATTCAGGTGACCATCCGGAAGATGTAAAAGCAAGGCTCAAATATTGGGCTCAGGCTGTGGCTTGTACCGTTAAACTCTGCAGCTGAGCTGAGGAAAGGACAAGTCTTGAATGGATGTGTTGGACGGGCCGGGCCGGAGGTTGTGATTATGGGTTTATCCATGAAGGATTTCTTTTACCTGGAGAAACCGATCGATGATGGGTGGAGATCAGAGGAAGCGAAGGGTGTTTCAGGTTTGGGAGTGCCCTCAACTCGCTCTCACTTAATCTTCGGAGCCTAAGATGCATGCTGTGTCATATTTACATTCCATTTTTTGTATCTGCTTTGTTCCTAATTAATAATAAACTTTGGAAGTAGAATTTCCTCTTTTTATTATTTGGTTTGCAAGTGAATTCCAACCATAGCTGTTGGGTGTTGATGCAGCGGTGAGAGCTTCACCAAGTTGAGTTGCATTGCATGGCCTCTGCGTTTGATGTGGTAACTAACCTAACTGAACTAACATCTTTCCCTCAATTTGCATGGTCTTCGGTGCTTAACCCTTCCTTCCGCTGCTAACATAAATCGGTGTGTGTATTGTCGCTTAGATGACTCAATTCCTGAGGCAAATGGAGGGGGAGGGAGTGAAGACGTGTCTCCTCATTGGTGAGAGATTTCCCCTCAACTCATGTACAAGGGGATACTGACTACGACTAATAAATCAATGTTTTGTTTTTGGATCTTGCGCTTGTTATAATCGTTGTTCAGGCCACAATATCTGTTGGGGTTCCTCATTGTACTTGCTTATAAAAAATGTTGGACCTTTAAACTAAACCCTGCGTAAGCAGGCGGAAAATAATAGGGGTGCAATTCAAATGATGACTGAATCTTAGCTCGTGCATAGCTGAATCTCACATATCCTCTTGAGGATCTGATATTATTCATCATCTTGTTGGGTGAAAAAGCTCGGTTCACCAACATAAATTGTTGTCCTTCTTTTCTTCTTCTTTTGAATAGCATATCAAATAAATGATTTGGGTAAACTTGCGTTCCTGCCGTTCATAACCAAAACTGTATGCCAAACGACAAAAACTGCGACACGACGAGTCACGGATGTTCCTTTAATAAGAGATCCTATTCTAGAATTGAACAACAATTTACAACCTCGTTAATGCGGCCCACTTGGTCTACATGTTTAGTTCTCCTTTTCAGACAATGAAAGAACTGAATCGATGTTGCTCTTCAGAGTGATTTTATACCGAAAAGAAAATTAAGGAAATAAGAATATTTTAACACATCACGTGATACTAGAGCTAGTTAATAGGAATGCCAAAATTATCATGTTGATGTTGATATATCTTATATCTTGGAAGAAGATTGATGTCAGTCTAACGTAGGATTAGAATGGAGGAGCCATCAGAAGGAAACCATTGATCATTGGGTACTGTCGATAACAAAATTAACCAACACCCTGTAGTGTGTCTTCTCGCCACCCAGAGAATGAGTAAAGTTGGGTAAGCCTCATCCTGTTGGGTAAAGTTGCCACAGAGATTATATAATGCAAATGATCTCGATTAAAAATTAAGTTCTCAGAAATATTGTTAATTAACAATTTTTTAAATAACTTTTTTAAAGATTTTTTTTGAGTCTCCCCCTAAGGCTGGGAATTAACATGACCAGAAATTTGAACGAGCAGGGGGAAAGAGAGACAAGAACGCACTAATCTAGGGCAGGACAAATGCACTGTGTTATTAGAAACAGTAATGATAAATGTTAAAGAAAGTCATACTATAATACGAGAATCATTATAAGGATTTTCATTTTTACCTCTTAAAATAATCATTGATTGAACAGCTAAACAAGTTTATGGCACGTCTTATCCAAATGATATTCCAAGAGCATTTATGCCACAAATACACTATATAGCATGATCGATTTGAATATCATAACTAAAGTTTGCATCTACTTTCCTAGTGCTCAGCTAGAATTTTCTTCCTTAACCAGAATTTTATTTTTGTTTTCCCTGAGCTCCGATATTCTTTTGGCTTGAATTTGATGAACATATTCAGCGACCAAGATATGAAACTTGGGAGCAATTTTACCAGGTGAGGAAACATTAAGACCGATGCGCTTGAAGGTCCGAGTGAGATGCTTCTGAGCTTTGTGAGAGTGGACAAGGCAGAGAGATGGAACCGCTGATCTGAGTATAGGTTTTCCACATGTAATAGGACCAGCTTGAGCGCTGAAAACAAAAAGCAAACGAGTAAGAAGGAATTAAGAAAGAAAAGAAAAGAAAGAGAGAATTGAGAAAGAGACGTTTTGATGACGTAATTGCAAGGCTTGTAAAGCTTCTGGCTGGAATCGGAGAGAATGTGGAAATGGCAAAAGGAGGTGAAAGGCATGGCCTTGAATTTGCAACCGAGGAAAGCGCAGAGGACGAGATCGAAATGAGTGATTGGGTGGAAAGGGGAGAGGGCATAGTGGCATAGATAGTGTCCGTAGAGGGTTTGCAATTGATGTATCAGAGCCCAATAGAGTTCTCTGTACCACTTCGAAAGCCGCTTCAGGTTCTCCAAACGACGCCGCAATAGTTCTGGCCGTGTAAGGTGGGAAGCACGCGCCAGTGCCTGTGGGGCGACGCAAGTGGCTTTAGACTCATCCATTGCCTCCCTGCCGCTTCCCTTCCCTTCCCTTCCCTTCCTTCACATCCCACACGTCACAACAAAGGGTAGGGAACATCTAGCAACTACCAATACAATACAACGTTTAAATATTCAATATTTCCACTCACTTTTTTGTTTATTTATAATTTCACTTTTTTTCTGTTTTACTTTAATTAAGTCTTTCATCTTAAAATGTTATCTAATAATAAAAATAAAAAATATAATATATTACTAATTTATAAAAATTCACAATATATAAATATGTACATATAATTAAATAAAGATAAAAACCTTCAGTTATCTTACATATTTTATTTACTTTTTTATATTTTTTTATTAAATTATATAAATCAATAACATGTCATTTTATTATAATTTTGTTTAATTATTGAATGCAATATTTTAATAAGAGACTTAATTTGAGAAACTAAAAAAATATGAACAACTAGAATTAATAGAACCAAAATTGCGCATATATTAAATACCAGAGTCAATTTATTTTTTTAAAATATTATCCCCAACTTTTGATTATTTCTAACTTAACACAAATTACTACAAATAATTCCATAGTTTTTTTTTTTTGTATTATTTTATAAAATAACTATTCTTATATACAACTTAAACGAAACAAATGATGTTAAAATTTTACCAAATATATTCCAATATAAAATTTATTGTTTAATTAATTATAAAGAGTGTATATTAACACTGCTATATGTCTATTGTTTCTTTAATATGTTCTTATTATGAAAGTGATAATGGAGTGACAATAAACACTCAATTGCCATATAATCCATTGAAGAGAACGTTTAAACCTCGAGGAAATTGGCCTGAAAAAAATAAATATAATGAATAATTTTATAGATGTGGTAGATGTTGAGATAAAAGTTTGAGTTGTACGATTTCATCGCTGTCACACTGTTGACTTTCTAATAAGCACTCGCTGGTGACTGCTTTTGATCTAAATGACGCAACTCTCTGCTTCTGCCTGCTGCTGGTCAATCAAGTCCTCCATTCAATCAAACTAATTATTTGGTTTTCGTCAACTGAAGCATATACTGTGCTCGTGTCTGAAGCTTACCACATTACATTGTTGGTTAGCTGTGCCCTTACACAACTAACCATATAACTTATCACAAGTTCATCCACCACAAAATCCTTGGGATTAGACTACAACGTATTTTGAATAGTAGCTTATCACCACGAAACAGCCCATGATAAAAGGTCAAGTCACGCTACTAGGTATTAGTTCCTAGCCCCAAAATAAACAGAGCTAAAAAATTTTTAGACGAGCGATTTGTTTTCAAAATACTTTTTCTATATAAATATATGAAATAAATGGATTGAGAGGCCCGAAACCGGAAGTATATCAGATAGTAGACGTAAAACAGCATATGTAAATATCATTTTCTACAAGGAGGGAACCACATTTTCATTATTCACCCATAATCTCATAACGATGAAATGCCAAAATCATGTAATAACTGTAAGTAATAACACACAGTTATATAGACCGGGATGAGGTAAATATACCAGGAAAAAAAAAGGGAGAAATAGAATATCCAAGAATAAATGTAGTACAAGTAAATCCACGTCGATATGCGAAAAACTCTTACGAAGCCATTCTCTACGCGCTGTCAAAATCTTCAGCAGCTGAAAGCCCTGGCTTGCTAACCAGCTCCTGAAGTGATGAATTCATGCCTTTCTTTATGAACCAGAGTAGGCAAAATCCCTTCAGCGGAAAGCTATCCCAGAAAGGCAGAAATAACTTTTTAACTTTATTATGGCTTTAAACTGTGGTGTGGACCAATGCTACCAGCAATATCACCGAAAAAAATTCTTTGAATATTTCTGCAACGAAAATACACACAACATGATTGGATTGTTTAAAGCATAAAATCGGTTATAAATCTTAAGATAGTGGGATATTTGAATTGACAAAAGTATTAATATTTTATTTGCAATGACACAAACATTGCTTACGCTAGAAATGTAATGAAGTATAAACTAACTCGAGAGAAACAAAAAATTTCGGCAGGGTAATTTACATGGATTTTGAAAAGGCCGACAATAAAACTCGGATAGAAAACATACAGTAGATCAATCTAGGAGGGAAGAAGCGGCTGTCTCTCATCATGTCCCACACGATGACTGGCCTGGAAATTTGAATAGTAACAAAAAAATCTAGAGCAATCAGTTAAATGAATAAAAAACTCAATCATAGAATTATGTGAAAACAGAAACCCCACCTCTTCATTTGCTCCAGCTGCCATATTTATAAAGGTTTCCTTTGACCTGGAATGAGCAATAGACACTCGTTAACCCAAACAAAGAAGGAAACATGTTTTTTCAAAAGTTCATCAAAAAACAAGAAATGTCCAACTAAATTCAGAAAACTGCACTGAAGGAAACGAATTCTTTTTCCTTCTTCCGAGAATGAACCAGTGGTTGGTCAAGTAGTCAAATACACAAGAACAACAGCACAGCTTCATCCCACTAGGTGAGCAAGTAGTCAAATATACAATGGTCGGGAATAATTTGAGATCAGTAAGGAAATTAGCCAGTACCTTTGTCTGTCATGAACATCATGCATTTCCAGCATACCATTCTGTTCATCTCTGACTTTTGAAAGCGGTGAAAAGAACTGAGGAGGAAATGAGTACAGTTTGACAAAAGGAAAATGTCATTTGCATTCTTATAGAAAAAAAAAATGTGGTTTTGTCTCTGATAGTCATAATAACACACCAGAATCTTCCAAATTCAGTTTACCTGGTGCATTGAGATGAATACTATGGAAATGCCAATAACGAAGTTCATTGTTAAAGTATGTCCAAATAGTACAGCAGATGCTATGCCAGTAAAGATTGTTGCTACTGTTGATGAGTATTTTTTCAAAATTGTATCTGCGACAACATTAAATAGCCTATTGAGAGAAGGGACAAACAGCATGTCAATCTGAAAAACTCAAGGCCATTTTAAGATAAATTATATTATACCAGCATTTTGTTTTTATGTTCTAATAAATATAATGTAAAAAATAAAATACATATTTGAATTATTGACCTGCATATTTGAAGAAGAAAGAGGATAAAATGCCCTGGGCAGCATTGTTTGCTATCAATAGCATAGTGGCTTTTGAATGACCTTGTAGGATGTCAAAGCTGTTTGGACCTGCATTTAAAACAGCATCATGAAAATCAGTTAGTTTTACAATGTGGATTGAATCAACAAACAGAAGTAAACCATCACTGATTCAAGTCAAATATGTAATGATGAAGTCTGCTTATACCATTATACTGCCATGGCATGTGTATTAGAAATGACTATTTGTTGCCTAATTTACAATGAAAATGCACGATGATTTTATGACGAAACACCCGGATGCAACATCCCAAAACATAGGACTGCCCATTGCTATCACATGCTCATTCATGCACAACTAGTTTAAATTAGAAAATCAATTGAGATAATTAAACCAAATACTTATAAGCTGTGCATATCATAATCTGCAATCACTGATATTAGCAAGGTTTTTCATTTTATTTTCAGTTTGTTTTTTCAAAAGCTCAGTACCGTGATTGAAATGCTCACCAGCATCCAGATATTATAGATTTATTTCTCACCTTTTACAATAGCAGTCCCAAGTATCCCAAGAAAATTGAATATAGCTCCATAACCGTACAAGAATAAGTTCTGTAAATCAAGAAATAAATAATATCAACATATAAAAAAATTAGTTAAAGAATCCTAGCACCACTAAACTGCAGTTCTTGAAACTACCTACTTATATATATTTTTTTTGCTTCCCATTGTTTTCCAAGATATTGAGACGTCATTGAACACCATTGTTAGTTTCTTTCCGGTAAGTTTAATCTCACACTTATATCATTGCTTTTCTCTCAAAACCCCAGCAAATCCTCAACCACTGAAACAAAGCCTCAGTGGCCAAGATTATACTTTCAAAAGAAACTGTAATAATACATTTCAAATAAGTGGCAGATGCGTGCACACATGCAAGCGTTCTAAAAACTGGACAATACTTTTTGTTGATAAAATCCATGAAAAGGCAGAACTACAACTACTTAACACTGTAGGGCACTCAGTTTTGGAAGGAAATCATAATTCTCATTCCTTGCAGAAACAAAATTTTGAACTCATATTTTTAGGACTTATGAAAATGTGGTCCAATAAAGAAAAGTTTTGCAATTCCCAATACATCACCTGCAGATAAATGCTTGTATCGTATTGGCTCTTCAAAGCATACTCATTATACACAGAGGCCAATGATGGAACAGTGACCTACAAAAATTGAAGGTTAAAAACTTGATGAATAAAAGGGAATATTTTAAAATAAAAGCATGCTAATAATCAATATATCAAAAGAACAAATGACAAACAACACTTACAAAGATCAATGTATAAAGATATGCACCCATTGTGACAGGAAGACCCAAAGCTGTAGTTCCTTCAGGTAAAGATCTTAACTGATTAACGCTTATACCAATGAGCAATAGAGCAAGAGCTTCCCACTGTAGCAAATAAATAAATAAATCAATTGTCAAGCAAAACATAAGGAGTATAAAAAATTTGGATTTATATAAGCATTACAACAAGCACAGTTGCTGTCAACCAAATAATGGCCACGTGGCATCTTTTTTATCCCTCTAGAAAAGACAGAGCTTAATGCACTAACCTGAATGATGGAAAATCGGCGCTTCATAATCACCTTCAACAAAAGTGCTATTACTAAAACCTACAAGATGCAGAGTTGAGAGTCAGCCATTACAAACTAAGTCAACAAAAACTATCGAGAGAAGAGTGTTTCAACTTTCAAGGACTAATTGTCAGAAAAACAACAAAAAGTAATAAATAATGGAGCAAATAATATAAGAGAATTTCCAGATATAAAGAGAAAAGGAAAACTCAGACAAGAACAATAGACTTTGACAACTAAAATGAGACACACAAGTTAAAGGTTTTCTCAAGAGGCGTCCAGCAGTCATCACAAGAGATATACCACATGCAATGCATAGGCAAGCCATTACTTAGCAGGCAATAATACTGATATTCCATCATACAGCACAGTGAACTAGAAATTACCTTCAAATTACTTAACATCTTCACAGTGGCAGGATTAAAATAAAGCTGCATGAAATGTGAAATCAACCCATAAGTTACCTTAGAAGAATCATTGGTATGTTATATGAAGAGTTATATTTGATCTGACAAGAAGATAGTTCAGTTTCATATACAAAGCACTAGCACTTATTTATACAAATCATCAAGGCAGGTACTAGTATAGTACTAGCACTATCAGTAATATCCCAGCATAAGATAATTAACAAAACAAGACTCTGAATAAATAGTCCTAATATTCTAGCAAGCAATGAGAAATATTTGATGCTTTTAAGTTAGCTTGAGATTCTTGAGATTTCTGTCTTTCTGATACAGAAAAATAAATCTACAAATATGTACTGTCAATATCTTTTCACTTTGGACAAAATCCTATGTACTAAAACGAAGAAGTTTCTGAATCTTAATTTTACATATGCATATTAACCACAAAAGGCAGAACCTTAATGACTAGAATTCTAGCCTCAATTCTTACTTATGCATCGTATATGGGCTAACTCTTCATACCTGCATGATAAACTTCAGATAGTTGTTTATCGCATAAAGAAGTGCTGGAACTGCCAGAAGGACATTGTTACGAGCTGCCTACAAGTGATAAAATTACCACATATAGGATAAATATCATAAAGCTATCAGTAAAAGCTACCATCTCGAATTTTGAAATTGTTTAAAATTGATGATATATAAAGAAAAGATGCAAAGAAACTTATATGCAAGATGCTCTCCCACATTTTATATTCAATAAACATATGAAGCACAATTGAACAGGCCACTAAGCAAATAATATAAGGCCATCAAGAAAAGTTACCATCAAGCATTTTGAAATTGTTTAAAATGGGTGATATAAAAAGAAAAGATGCAATGAATCTTAAAAACAAGATGCTCTCCTAATATTTTATATTCACAGCAGATAAGAGGCACAATTGACCAGGTTACTAAGCAAAACCAGCCATCTAAGATGAAAAATAATAAACAGCGCCCTACAGATGCACTCTAAGGTGGTAATGTAGTTGATGATTCTTTATGAGAAATGTTAGCAACACACTCTTTCAAACATATTCTTTATTATTTTTAAACAACAGTGTGTTAGAAGAAGTGTTAGAGAGTGCATTCCTAGTACTCCTCTTCTTTTAATATCTAGTACAAACATGTTTTATAATATGTGAACTGAGTAATCCAGTTAAATCCCAAGAAGCAGGGAACCTATAGCAAAGGACACACCTTGAAGAACTATAGTATATCAGAAAAGCTAATTGATATTGGAGTTAATATATGGTTTTCGCAAATCTGTCAATTGATGCAAAATTAATATTATAAATCGTAGTACCTGCACAAATGTAGATATCGAGAGAAGAGGCTTTTCCCCAACTTTTTGATGCCTAGCCTGCACAATCAACCAACAGCTTACATAGATGTAAAACAATAATGAGTTTCAGGAGCACACTCAGCAAGACTGGCCTCTTCTTCATTGTCAAAGGTAACCAACCTGATGTGCAATGCCTAAGGGTTGGCCAATTAGAAATATTTTTCCAACAGGAATTAATTTTTCCTTAAATCTTCAGATAACCCAAGAAGCCTAAAATCCTAGTTATATAGAAATCAAACAACCACTAATTGGATCCTGAATCCCCACCTCTGCCTGAAAACCACTCATACTAAAAAAGTACAGCATAGTTGACAAATAACTTCATCCTTTAAAGTACAATGACCAGGGTTTGATTTTATGCGTTGTGTATGGAAAAGACTTGGTTGGGAAAGGTAAAGCTCACTTCAGTGTTCTCTACCCTAGACTATCAAATTTTGATTCTATTGCAGTTTACTTAAAAAAATAAATGACAGACCCATTCCCTGACATCCACAAAAGTAACTCAAAATGATCAGAACCAACCAAGAAATCTCTCTCTTTCCACTCCTGGGTTGATAAATCCCAGTATTCTACCGCCCTTAACACAGAAAATTCTACAGTTAAAAAAACAGTGTTTCCAAGTAAAAATCACAATTTACTAATGATTTACTTCAATATATGAGCTGGTGGGTACCTCCTCCATAATATACTTCTCACTTGACACATGCTTTAATTATAAGTATTTGAAAAGACAGCAAATATTTGAATATAGACAAAGGATTTCCTTACCTGGAAAAGAAGCATAACAATAGCAAAGAAGACCTTTGTAACCTCAGTCAAAAAATTAACGCTAATTGGGCTAAAAATGAATTTCCCATCCACCTTGGACATATAGACAAGGATAGGCTGCCAAATTAAAAAGAAATAAGATATGTCAGCCACTAAACAACAAGCATAAAGGTTGCATGAACAACCAAGTCTTGAGTGAACCCTCTAAACTACATTAGTGTATCAGATTAGAAAATCTTCAAAAGTAAAAGTTTAGATTTGCAAGTCAAAGAAATGAAATATGCAATTGAAGCAACTTCTTTAAAGATAGTAGAAATAAATATGCTTTTAAAAACCATCATTATGTCCCTATATACTATTTACAACGGCAAGGCATGAGCCAGTTTCTTTCTGCTCGATCATCTCTCTTAAAGCTTTGGAATCCTATAAATTCCCCCACATTCCTTTTGCCAACTAGGCATTATGCAAGAAATAACACTTCAATAGATTGAGATGCAAGATAATCTTTTGAATAAGGTAAAACCATCCAGGTCAAATGCACAAATGCCTCTAGAATGCCAAATCCAATTAGCTCTCCAAATCAATAAACATGTAAATATGAGAGCAAGAAATTTCTCTTTCCACACCATGGGAAACAAAGTGCCATCACTCACAGCACAAACAAACACACACAGAGGGCAGCATATGAAAGGCAGCTCAGATTCTAACCACGATAAAACACATCATAAATGTGTATTTTCAACATAAGCAGTGTCATGGTGTCTGTGTCAGTCTCATCTCCAAGGTGTGGAGTCCTTACTTTTATAGCTATTACTAACCCAACTTTCCATTAATACTCAAGAAAAAACTCAATTTAGAGATTGTAATCACCTGGAAACCAACTAGAACACAATCACCAACAACCAATAAGACGTTGAGTGCACGTTGCTTGGATGATATCCTACTTTTGTGGCGATCATAGGCCCTTGATATAGATTTGGTGGTGGGGGAAACCAATTTGGAATGGCAAACACTGCATTCTATCATCCCGTTCTTCATGTATATCCTCCCACGCTACAGAGTATGAAGAACTCGATCTGCAACGGAATCAGCAAAACCTATGCATTAAAAACCCCTATACACATTATCCATAACAAAAAAGAATCACCAGAGGAAAAAACATTCAGATCTCTCCCTTCTTAAAGAGCCAAATACATAATTTAAAAATGAAATTAAATAGTAATTCCAAAACAAAATAGAGATCCAGCAAGGTAACCAAAAAGGCCTACAAAATCAAACAAAATAAGATTAAGTAGAACTGAGATCTCGCAAAGACCCAGACACATCAACAAAATGAAGAGTTCACCGACAAAAAAGAGAGCGCCTGGAGCACCGAATTCGGATTAGAGAAGGCAAAGACAAACCTAAGTCGAGTCCAAAACGAGCATTCAGGTGGAACTGGCCTTGATCTGCAGCTGGGACAAGGGATTGGGAGTGTCTGAATAGAGATTGGAAAGGGAGTGTAAAATTCAGAGAGAAACCGATTTGGAATTGACTGTGCTTCCTTCTTTCTATGAACAGAAATGGGATTGGAGTTTAAATTGAGAGAGAGAGAGAGAGAGAGAGAGAGAGATGTCTGTGTATTGTGATTTGGAATAAGCGTTATATTGTGCTTTTTATTTGTTTGCTTTCAATTCACACAAACATACATTGTCTTTGGGAGGAAAGTTATGAATGACGCGTCTCAAGGTGACGGGCCAATCAGATGAGAGGGATGTGAAGACACAAAGTGGAGTCAAAGGGGGATTTGTAGTTTGGTGTGTCACTCTCGCAGGTTCGGTGGAATCACCCCCTCCTTCATATTATTACACACCACATTTCTTTAGGTATTTTTATTCGGGTTAGACGTTTCTTTCGCTTCAACTTGCAGTGTCGTGCTGTGTTCTCTGCCTAAGCTTTTGTGTTGTAATAATACACTAATAGGTTCAAGTGATTTATATGGCAAAACTTATGAGAATATTCTCCTTCCTCTTGTAAATGCCCACACATTAATTTTTTTTTTTTTTTTGAGAATTACTATTTTTAAATATAATTATCTCAATATGCATTTAATAATATCATATAATTTTCAATGCACCGAATGCTGTAATTTTTATAAAAAGTAATATATATAATTCTTTATTTCATATCTTTAATTACACATTCAAAAAACCATTTTAGATAATAATGTATAATTTACCGTTTTATTTTTTGTAACGGTCTTTCCTTGATTTGCTTCAAGAGTTATCAATTAAAATATGATTACAATTTAATTGCAAAATGAATTCTGTTGACTAAGCAAGATTTTCATACATTATACAAAACACAAAAGCATTCATTGTCCTGCAAGAAAAACATAGTAAGTATACAGTGTAATTTGTGGATATATATACATTAAATAAATAATTCTTAAAAAATAAAATGTTATTAAAAATTATAGTATTTAACAATATTATGTAATTTTATATATATTTAATTTGTGGTTTTATAAAAAAAAAATTGTATAGAAACTGTTATTATTACTGATTAAAAAATTTGTTTTAGATAATAATGTGAAAATTATGGTTTCTTTTTTAAAACAATCTTTGGAGTTTATATTATTCATTGATATGCTTTAAGAGCTACCTACTAAAATCTTATTACAATTTAATTACAAAATGAATTCTATTAATTAAGCAAGATTTGACTACATTCTAGGTAACTAAAAGCATTTATTGTCTCGTAGGAAAAATAAATAAAAATATGTATAATTGGTGGATATACTTATGAATATACATAAAATAAATATATATAAGATGTAAAAATACACACATTCAAATTATTTTATATTAAAATTTATTTAATATATTATTTTAATAATTAAAAGCATGCCACTTTTTTATTATCTTTAATATTGCTTTGAATAAATTTCAATATTAATTAAAAAAATATGAAAAGTAAAAGGTTCGCTTGATTTGATAACTAATTAAAAAGATTTCTAAAACATTGTCTGAACTTTGGGATGACTTTTTTTCATGAAAACTGAGATGACAGTTAAACTCACATATAACAATACCCAAATAATAATAATAAATGAAAAAAAATGAACTGAATGGACTGAGGAATATTTATCTACAGAAAATTGACAGACATAGGTGTACTATAGATATTTTTCCATTTTTTAAATTTTAAATGAGAATTTCTAGTGCAATATGGCTGCACATGCATCATGTAGGGATATACTAAAATTAAGAATTAAATTTAAACAATAAAAATGAGAAAGATTATCAAACAAACACAAAAAGATTAAAAAAAATAAATTATACAGAAATATTTGACGTGTTGCCTAAAATTCAAAGCAATGACAACACTCAAGTTTTTTTACCGAGTAAGTCAAAACAAACAACACAAAAAACCCAGCAAAAGAAGAACATGCATTATTTATGTGTCTCTTTTCACTTTGATACACTATGAAAGGCTCTAGTTATAAGTATTTAGTTCCATACGGTACCATGATAAAAACAAAAAGTTTTCATTTGTACATTTCGGGCATAAGGCCTATCATTTTAGAACATTACCAAAATCTGCAGAATTGTCATTGCACGAGAGAAATTATGTACGTAGAATATTTTATTTTTAAGAATGAATACTTGAATTTACAATATAAAGATAATTTTTCATAGAAAAAAATATTTTATCAACATAAATTATATTATGTGACATCAGGAGGCAATGCCAAATTTATTCATTTTTGTATAATTTTTTAAAATTATTTATAGTAACTATAAATCCATCAATCAAACAAAAACTAATCAACAAAAATATTGCATTCAATCGAATTATTTTATTTTTATTGGTGAATATATAATTAATTATGGATATAATTTTAAAAACTTAACCAAAAATTCTCACTAGTTGACTCTACGTGATGGTAAATGTCTGGCTACTCCACATTATAATTATACTATACACTTGAGCATCTTTTAGTGGGTCAGGTAGAATCTGAAACAGCCAAATCAAGAGCGTTTTAAAGAATCATGAGTTTGATATGATGGTTATTTTATTTTATGCATGTGTAATTCTAATACAAGAGATTGGACCAGCCTGTTGTCAGGCGTCTGGTGTCCGATTTATTTGTTAATTTATTAATGTTGTATAAAGACTTTATGGCCGAGTTCAAATGACGATTTTCTATTTACTTTCGAGACAATAAAAGAATCCTCTTTTGATATTGAAAATATTATACATAACTAAAATAAACTATCTAAATATTATTGAATAAACAGACATGATCTAAACAATTAGACTTGCAAATATTAAAAAAGAATGCATCTTCAATTTTTTTCGTACGAGGCTGCAGGCTGAGATTATTTTTCATGGAGCAGTGCTGTCTTCAAGTTGATCAGTGCAACGATTTTGAGAATGCACCTACACAAAAAGAGGAGAAACATATTATATTAGTAGGCAAAAAATCAACACCAAGGGAGGTAAGATACTTCACTCAATATTCATAATTTAACAAACCTAATCACAAATTATCACAAGAGAACTAACATGAAAACTGCGGGAGGAAAAACAATAATTTCAACAAGCACAACAACAGTTGACTAACATTGTTTTGCCTTTTGCTTTTGGAAATTTGCAGAATATATATATATATTTCAGTGCAAAATGAACAGTCCACTTTAAAAGTAAGTACAAAAGCAATAACTTTTGAAAAAAAAAAAACAAATAAGAATACTAAACCCATGGTATTTATGATTGAAAAACCTTCATATTATTAACACCCAATGCAGGAATATTCTTTCAGAAGAACATCTTACGGTTGCACTGCAATAATTACTTAACCCATGGTAGTTTCAGTTACAATTAAATTACAATTACATTGTAAGAAACAAGTGATCATATGTGCAAAATCTGCAAAATAGGATAATAGGTTCGCACCAAACCAAGGGCTTCTCTAGCAATCCTGTGACTGTCCTCACCGCAAACCTTACCAAAGAGAAACATAAGGTGTTTCCTTTGTTCCAGTTTCAAGTGTTTCTCTAGGCCCCGACTAACCATCTCCATTTCAGGCTGCAGAAAAACACCCACAGTAAGCTCTAAAATATAAAACCAGGTCAATACATATATCATATACTGCAGCAGACAAGGTTTATAAGAAAATTCCTTCTATATACATAATACCTCATCCAAATTATCCTATTCACCAGTCCTTGAGAAGACATAACTGTCATAGAGGCTGCATTTATGACATGACATCTCTATGTGTACTGCCAATGCTTGTTTCAAGGCAATTACCATTTCAGACATGCATAGAGATTGGGCAATTTCTTTGTGCTTTTCACGTTCTTTTCACCCAAAAGAGTTTTTTCACCCTACCTTGGAGGATTTCTTATCTTTCTCTTCCCAGAATTTTCCCTCTTTTCATTCTAATTAAATAATGTTTTCATTAAAGAATTCAAAAAAATTAAGCAGAAAGCAATGAATTATCATTTGTTATTAAATTCTCTCTAACGTTTAGTGAAATAAAAACAAGATGAAAATATCAAAATAAAATACATACAAAAGCTATTGTAGTCAATGTAAGAGGTAATCCCCAGTTTTAAGAATAGCTATAAGGAGAAGTGGGGGAATTTAATGGAGAAATAAATTTCAAATTACTATTTAAGATACATACCGAAGATTCCTCGGGAGGAAATATTCGTAGAAGAAGGCATATCTTTGACAGTTCTACCATAGCATCAACATGTTTTCCTTGCATTTCCAGAGCCTGTAATTGAAAACACCACCAAAAGCGTGAATTTAACTGAGCATTCCAGATGACAAATATTAACTTTCTAAGAAAAAGAGTTATCAGAATGAGGTCTAAATTTCAAGCATTAAGTTACAACACTGTCAGGTTCGACACTCATTTTTAAGACCCATAGTCAAATTATAGAATATAGATTTTACATGGATCCAAGGCTTAAACTAAACTCTGTCATTCCCGGGGTCATAAAATAGAAGAAAACAGACATAATGGTCATATTTATTGGGTTTAGGGTTTCCAGAAACATAAAGTAATATAGCCAAGAGTATTTTAACTGAAAATATAACTTCCTTCTCTAATATTCATTACAAAAAAGTAATTTTGTAAGAACTTAAATACTGAAAGACAATATTACCAGATCAGGAGATTTAGGGTAAGAAAATTACCCAAGCCTGCAGAAGACAAGAGCGGGTGCGGGCTGCAACAGCTGCGGACACAATTGTTGCAGCACGAACATTTTCAAGGCCAACGTTTTCAGCAAATCCAGCAAGGAATTGCCGAGCATCCTCACCATTAATATCGATTGAAGTAGAGTAAGTTGGTGCCCTGAACAGAAACTAAGTTACCACTGATATCATAAAACAGGAGTAGACAGCATGATTAACAGGTGCCATCAAGCAGTGAACAAAGAGATACACAAGAATGTAGGGCTAGTAATATCACACCTGCTGCATACATTTAAAACAAAGTTAACAGACGCTCGATACAAGGAGTCCCGAACATTTGTGGGTTCAATAGACACTTGCACACCAGAAGTTCTGCATAGTTGACGTAACTGCTCATGTGTACAAGCAACAAACAGTCCAAGGGTTATGAAGAGAGAAGAAAAATAATCTCCTCTTATCACTGAAAATACTTATTATATGTACACATCAATAAAAATAATCAGAAACCATCAGTATGGTGTTGTTTAATGCTCATCAATTAGACAAATGGCTAACACAGATATAACACCTTACACCTGAGAAAACCTTAGTACCGCAATTCATTATGTTACTTCATTTAACCAAAAGGATTCCTTTATATAGGAATTAAAAAAAAAGTAAGGGGAATATTAAAATTGACGCAGACCAGTACCACATAGTACATTAACTTTTTACTAGTAGTTTGCTGCAGAGTTTACCATAGGCCTAATAATGTTTTCTTCTTAAGACAATACTCAAAGTGAAGCAGAATCGAGCGCAACCTAATATAGGTACTAATTTTACCAAAATAATAATGACAAATAGTATATATAATTTTGAAAACTGGGTAAATCATCGGGAAAAAGGGTAAAAAAAAACTGACTTGAATTATATCATTCTCCATGATGTCGTTTCCGCCCAATCTACTGTTGATAATTGCTGGAAATCAAGTGGGTGAGTTGCAACTTTAATTAAAGGACGGCAAAACACTACAGAAAATATTAAACGTGTCTGATTTACCTACAGATGAAGGGCATGAAAAATAATTATTACTTATCCAGAGACTTGAAACACAGCTAGGAAGTAGTACTTAATAAAACCACACGATAGTTGTAAGGAAAATATTACCACTAAACAATGCATTTCAATAACCCCCTTCCCCCTCATCAAAACGAGGCATTCTTGTTCATGCAGAAACAACCTTGTCTCATGGAATGGTTTCTCTATTATGCAGAAGAGGAAAAGAAGAAACAAACCTCGAACCACTCTGTAAGCGTCTCTCTTGTATTCCTCCTGTTCGTTCAGGTCGGAAATGGCACCGTTTGAATTGATTATGGTTGGCCACCATTGCGGCAATTTCCTTTGGACCCTAACCTTATTGTTGGTGGAGCGCTGGACAACAGAATCCTCAACCGGCGGTGATAAGGGATTTGACAGCGCCTTGTTATCGGTGCCTTCACCCCACCCAACTACGACCTCTTTTCCCCCGAGACTTCGGTCCCTCCGCACAACAGGCCTATAGCTAGACGCGTTACGACGCCAAGAACGAAACCTAGAAACCAATTGAACCAAAATGCCGAAAACAGAAAAGGCGAGGAAGCTCAAAGCCGCCGAAGTTCCAAGGAAATGCAACGTGGAAGGGCGACAGGAAACGACAAGTCTGCGGTTATGGTCGAGAGTGATGAGGGTTTGCAAATCGCGGTAAGCGTCTTCGCCGGACGATAGGAGTCGGCGAATGTCAGATTGGAGGGTGGTAAGAGGAGTGAGGTCGATGACGGCTTCGAACCTCTGTTCGGAAGAGGAGGTTGAGGTGGTGGTGGTCGTGGGGACGGAGAGCTTGTTGTGGCGTCTGTGGCTGCGACTGCGGCGGCGGAAGGATGAGCAGACGAGGGTGAGGTGGGAATTGCAACGGCATGGTGATGGTGATGGAATGGGAAACTGAGATGGAAGAGTGCAAGTGTTGGGGGAGAACATTAAGTAGTTTTTGTTATTCTAACAAACAAAACGGCTTCTACTTTCCTGCTTCTCTCTGGGGACATAGATGTTCCTTTCCTCAAACCAAACCTTAAGCCCAAGCCCAAGCCCAAGCCCGGCTTAAAATCCAACGACAATTTTGACCGTATCTCCCGTTCCTATCCGTTTACTACTTCTTTGTTTATTAACCAATAAAAAAACAAAGCCTAATTTTATTTTCAACAGTTTTTGTTTTCTTTTTCTTTATCCGTCACCTAGGTTCGAAATATTGAAAACTTCGTAAAAATAGTCACTATATTAAAACTATAAAATATCTTTTTTTTCCCTTAAAAATTTTAACTTTTACAACCTTAAGATCGATCAATCATCCTATTAATAAAACATTTTAAACTATACCGATTTGTACCCAAATCGACAAAATTATAAAGACAGAGTTTAATTAATTTCTTTTTTGACTTGCATTTAAGAGCAATAACTCCAGAAACTTTATGCGCACAAAAGACTGCAAAAAGAATATAGAATTATTATAAAAACAAATTAGTTAATCAAAACAATAATTAAGAAATCAATAAATAAGAATGATTAAGAATGTCAATAAGAATATATTGACAAAATAATACACTTCCTAATAAAAATTCTTCATATTGTAAGTCAATGGATAGTAAAACTAAAGAAAAAAAAATTCATGTACCATCTAAAACAGTTATGACCACCATACATTTTATTGCCCATCCCAATTCCCACGGATGGCATAACAAAGTTACAAAACTGGGAAATTCAGTTTTCAGACTGTCCAAAATACCTCCCCGAAATTGTAGCCAATATATTCAACATTACAACCTCGTCATCCAGTTCAGCCTTACCGGCACGGATGCTAGCACACTTCCGCAGCAGACTCCTGAGAGCAGCACAAGTGTCAGCGTCTAGAGGAGCATCAACTGTTGCACAGAGAGCAAAAAGCCACATGCAATCATTTTTTGTGAGGGTGTTTGCAGGCTCTAGCAACCTAATTCGTTTCAGTAACATCGATACCCGAGCTACAGAGTCTATTGCTAAGATTACAGACAGCAAAGGAGGAGAGGGAGAGCTGCTGCTAGTTTGATCAATGGAGGTTTCCTTGCCTTCAGCAGTCAAGTTAGTAGATTCATCATTTGCTTTACCAATGCTCAAATGATTACAAAGTAAGACATCTCTGTTCATAACACCAGAAAATTCTCCAAAATCGTTCCCAACTAGCTGTGAGATGCGACTCTGAACATGTAGATTACTGGAACATATGGCACTAGAACCATCAAGGCATGAGAAATTCTGGAATGAATTTGGAAAACAATGAGAAAATCCTTTAAAGAATTACGGTGTTAACCAAAAATAGTAGACTCCCAATCCAATGCTTTGTTAGCAAGACAACAAATAGCATCTTATTATATTTATTCAACAGAATGATATGAACAAATGTAAATTTAAATCATTCTGTGTGTTATTATAAGATCATGTAGTCGACCTCACCAAGTAGAATAAGGCATAACAGTTGTTATTGTTGTCTATGTGTCCAGTTACAGTTAAGAACTTTAAATGGGTCAAATGGTGTGCATACAGTGGTACAGTAATAGAGCAACTCCAAATCTTGGATAAAGAGTATTGGTCATTCCATTTCCAAACGAAAATGAATGAGGAAAAAGACAAAGGACATCAAGATATAGATTCTTGAAGAACATACCGTTCTCAGTGCTGAAAATTCAGCAAGAAATACATCCTCCCACTGTTTCAATGGCAACAGATGGTCCGGACACTTGGCAATATCAGGAATCTTGGGCATATAAGCACTTTGTTCTTTGTTAAGTTTACTTCTATCAAGTTTTGCTACCTTCACTTTTGGAATTTGATCAGCCTCCCACCTGATCAAGAAAAAGAAAGTTCAGGAACCTTGTAATTTCTCTTACTGGGTAATAAGCTGCAGTAAACTTTCCCCAGCTCATCCATTTAACAGACCAAAGATCAGGGCCGTTCTAACCTTTAGCATATATATTCTAGGGAGAGCAGAACAACAAAAAAGAAACTATCAGGAAGAAAATTTCAAAGCTTAAATCCATCATAGATAGAACCAGCAATCAGCGGCTAACAGTTACTGTAATACCTGACACGCCTGAGATATTCCCATCCGTCTTCTGGTGGACCAGCATCAAAATTAGGTTCTCCCGCAACGAAAAAGGCAGGCCTTAGGATGCTAGCACAATCTTCCTCACTATCATCATCTTCACTGCACTCTTCCACAGTTGAGAGCTCCTCACCCATTAGACTATGAGTACAAGAAGGGTCTTCAGAACTCACATTTTTACCATCCATATTTTCACAATTTGCTGCACCTGAAATATATAATTTAAGAAGGGTTAAATATATAATTTAGTATCTGTAAAAGAACAAACCATGTAAAGCCATGTCCTTCTCATTTAAACACAATGTAAACAAGAAATTGAACTTCTTATTGAAAGATCAATAATATCATTCTCAACATACAATGTAAAAAATGAACAAAGACATCAAACAATCGTCATTATTGCATGACGAAAGTAATCTTCAAAATTACAATCAACCCTACTGCACAAGACTTTTCATATACAATGATTTTACACAAGCAACCATGGAACTGAAGTCAGAGCCTAAGTACACAAATCAGAACATAGTCAATTAATGTCGCAAATTAGATCTTTTCCAGGTTCCTTTCGCTCATTCTTCAATGGACAAAGACTTTCATATATCTACATCTTCCATTAGCAGCAGCCACACCTGTCCATCACAGAAATTGAAAACATCAAATTGACACAACGCGAGCTATCAACCAGGAGATGGTTGGATTGAAGAAAAAAAATCAGAACCATATAGTTCTACACAGTTTCACCAGAAAAAAATAACTTAATGCTTTGCAGAGAAAAACATTGTAGACGAAACTCTCAAGATACAAGCAAAGAACAATCAATGATCCAGATTGAAGAAATAGCAACACAACAAGGAGCAAGGATGTTCAGAAATGCACTTGATGTCAACTTGAGAATTTTCCAATGCTCATCGCAACAGCCAATGGCAATAAAAGACACATTCGAGAAACTACTTATGTTCGTTCAGCACGAGGAACAAGAAACATATTGTTCTAAAATTATGATTATCTCATTGACGAGAATGAGTTTCTTCCCCTATCCCTTAGAGATGCTTCACGCGTTACCACCAAAACGTACGTTTAAAAGAGAACTAAAAGAAAAGAACTATTGCAACACAAAGAAACGAAAAAGATGAAAGAATTAAGCATTCACAGCAAGATTTAATTACTGGATTTCGAAAACAATACAACGAACATAATAAAATACTTACTGAGGATTGGTTTGCTGCGTGGAAGAGGATTTTGGGGAGTGAAAAGCAGAGTTTCGTACTCGTTGGCGACGGCGCTTTGAAGTGAAGCGTGTATTGCTTTCCACAATTTGCGCTGTTGAGCGAGCTTCACGAATCTCAAAGCCTCCATTTCCTTGCGTGAGTACTTTTTCACACTCTTTGACTTTGAGTTTGACTCTTCGGGTTTCTTGGTGGTGGTGATGGTGGTGGTGGTGGTGGTGGTGGTGGTGTTCTTGGATCCTCCTCCTCTTCTTCTTGAAATGGATTGTTTAGATGCACCGTTCTTGACAACGGAGTGGAGTAACGCCGTTTCGTCAATAACCTCGATCCCTAAGGAAGGGCGAATAGGATTCGGCTGTGCCGTTACGACTTTGTCAGCAGCGTCTTTGGGGACCAACGCGGATTCGAGTTCCTCCAAGAGTCGCTTCTTCTTGACTTCAAGTTCAAGTTGCGCAGAATCAAGAACGAGTTGTTCTTCAGAACCAGTAACATTAGCCATCACTTCAAATTTCAGATCTTCCACTTCTCCAGGGTTCTGTGTGTATGGAGAGTCAGTACCTCTTCCTTTTATAGTTATTTTCGGCCCAACAAAGGACCCGACTTTTTTACCGAAATATTTATAAAAAACAAATAAAAATTCTGAAATAGACCTTGTCCAAAATATTTAAATGGATAAACCTTATTGTGCTCAGAATTCGATTCCCTCTGAGTGCTCAGGAACCAAATCCTAAGCATAACTTTTCCTTTTTTGTTTTTATATATTTTTATATAATAAAATAAAAATTATTATTTAAATTATATTTATATATTATTATTTTATTAAAATAAATATTTATAATATATTATTTGAATAAATATTTTAAAAAAATTAATAATTCAAATAATAAAATAAAATTTATTATTTGAATTATGTTTATATTTTTATATTATTTAAAAATAAATAAAAATAATATTAATTTTAAATGTTTATTAAAATTTATTTGACATATTTTTTAAAAACTAATTAAAATAATTAAATAATAAGTGAATTTTTTTAGTTAATTTGTAAAAATTATTTAAAATATTTAAATAATAATTATATTATTTTAGATAATAATGTTAATGCTTAAATTATTTATACTTAAAGAATACTAAATATATTTTTCAAAATTAAAAAAATATATTAAATATAATTCTATTTATTTATTTATTTAAATATGTAATTTTGACTTAATATTTTTAAATATTAGTATGATAAAATGATATTTTGAATAAAAAATTTATTTTAATTAATTTATTTAAATGTCATTATTTAATATTATAATTTTTAATATCCTAAACCCTTAAACTTTACTATTATAATTTTGAATAAATTATTAATTTTATTTAAGAATAAAAAAATTATTTTTAAAAAGTAAATAAAATATTAAATTATAAGTTAATTATTTATAGTTGAGACAAATATTTTGAAATTAACGTTTTCATATTATTAAGATAACATTGATGAAGATAAAGTGCATTAATAAAGATGATAACAAATTCATAACAACATTAATAATTAACTATCTCCGTTATGATGGTCAATTCCACAACGAGGGTTTCGTTGTTGTGGTTATTGCTTTGAGATTTCAGAATGAACTTATGAAGAATTTGGATAATCATTAAGGTCTAGTTGTTGGAATACACTTGATGAATTACTAGGTTTATTAGCAAAATCCGGTTGGTAAAAAGACTGCATGTAAGTTTGTGCTGAAGATGGAGTTATAAAATTAACTTCAAATAAATTTGTAAAAAAATCATCCGATGTTGTTGCAAACGAATGTCTTGTGTTAATTATGTTTGCTTCTGACGTAATGTTTAGACGAATTGATGCAGTCTCGTGATACGACGGTGTGAAAGTCATACCAATTTCAAATGTGTTGGTAGTCTTTAGTTGTTAGTCGTTCCTCCTTGGATCTTGTAGTAGTGGTGGCACAGATAGGAAATAAATAGAATTGGTAATGTACCATGCCATGTATTATTGTGTGTGATACAATGGGCCTTGCATTGGATGACCCGTTATTGTCAGCTCATGTCTGTTGTTTCATATCTCAATCCATTGAGCATGTTTTGTAACCCAATTTTCATCCTGTCTTTCTCTCATGTCAATTTTGTGGAGGTCATTCAAATTATTAGGTAGAGAAGAGATTTCTTGGATTAGACGAAACTGTAATTTGACTCTATCTGTTTAGTGTCATTCAACAATTGCAAAACAAAGGATGACAGTACATGAAGTCCACAGTTGGACATCTCTATATGCTTCTATGGGTATTGATGTCTGCAAGTCTGGATATGGCGCCCATAAAAACTACAAATATATTTAACTTTGTTACTTAAGATGATGTGTAAAAGATAAGAAAATAAAGATGAAGAGTTACCTGATTAGCTTGAATGTGATCAAACATTGATCTGTACCCCCACAACATTATTGTGAGGTTTATTTCAAAAGTTTAGTACTCTACTCCCGCTCCATTGGCACACGAGAGGGTATGTTGGTGGATTATTAGAAATTAGCGCAATATATGGCATGTGATACCATGCCCAAGACATTAATAGTGATAAGCAACCACCCATTGTTTTGCTACTAACTTTCGTGGCTCTACACATTTCTCTGTACGACATAGCTAAACAAGCAGAACCCTAACTATATCGTCTTGTTCTTCTAAGATTAGTTAATAAAGCTAAATACATAAGATATACTTTATTGCCTGTTTTGTCAAGCATCAAAACACCTCCAATTAAACCTAGTATATAAGCCCTACAATGGACGTGAACTTCTTCTTCATATGGTTCTTCTGGTAATGGTAGCATGTTGTCTCTCAGCCACTTTAGTTTTAGTATAGAGCCAATAAGTGACTCTCCCTTGACTGGCACGATACCGAGATATGTGTCACACATTTCCTCCCAGTCAAACATTGTTGGACTAATGACTAGTAAACCATCAACTCTTAGCCCAAGTTGAAGTGCAACATCCTCCAGGATTATGGTGCACTCCCCTGTTGAAAAATGGAATGTGTGAGTTTTAGGTCTCTACCTTTCGACCAAAGCTGTTATTAATGCGTGATCTACCTTAAGATGCCTTAACTTTGCTACTCTAGCAAAACTAAGTTGTTCAAGTACAAGAACAATTAGAGGACTGAGTTCTGGCATTGAATGACAGAAAGATGAAATCATGTTCTCAGTTTTCTACAGTTATTAATAAATTAGTAACATTATATGTAAAATATTGATTTACATATTCAGTTAATAATACTAATGTGTAAAACTTACTGTTCTTTCAATGAAGGCGGACCTATGTTCTTTTGCTTCTAGAACAACATTTTTAGTAATGGGAGCAAAGACAGAGAGAAACAAAGAACAAAGATGGATGCAAGTTTGAATGAAAACATGTGGCCTTGGATGAACATATTTATAGATAAACGGAGATGTCACTATCTCTTGGTCTACATGACTAAGCCAACACTATCTCTTGGCATGCGTGACTGAGAAGTCATGTAGCCTTGGTTTACATGACTGAGGAGTCATACCATAAGTTACCTAGACAGTTACTTGTAATGCAACTGTATGTTCTGGGCTTCATATGAAAATTGAGTACACAACCAGCATACAACAGTGACTTGCTTGACGAGGGAAATGTATTTTTCAAAAGGTTATTTTGGACCTTCAAGGCATGCATTGATGGTTTTGCCTTTTGCAAACCAATTATTCAAGTGGATGGAACATTTTTGACTAACAAATACAAAAAGGACTTTATTAGTGACAGTTACACAAAACGGCCGCAACAACATAATTATCATTGCCTTTGCTGTGGTTGAAGGTGAAACTAGTGATGCATGGTTCTTTTTTTAAAAAAAACTTAAGAATGTACGTAACCCCGCAAGAGGGGTTGTGCCTCATTTCAAATCGTCACGAGGCCTTAAGAAGTGCATACTTCAGAAATGAAAGTGGTTGGACAGAAAACAATTATGTCCATGTCTATTGAATTAGACACATTGCACAAAATTTCATGCGATGATTCAAAAATACTGCACTGAAGAAAGATGTCGTCAATATGGGTAATTTTAATTTTTTACATACTCTATATTATCATTAATATTTTATACAATTATTTAGCTAGTTATATTAATTTAATTTGTAATTTTGTTTCCAGCATATGGGATGACTGAACCGAGATTCTTTTACTATTACAACATAGTAAAAGATAATAATCTTAAAGCTGCATAATGGTTAGACAATATTCCAAGAAAAAAATGGACACTGGCATGAGACAACGGACGGAGACACATGACTACAAACCTAGTGGAGTCAATCAATTTGGTCTTGAAGAAAATCAGAAACTTACCAATTTACTCTATGGTCATAACAACATACATCTGTTGCAATAAGTTTTTCATTGACAGAAGTAAGGAAGTAGATGCAATGATTAATGCTGGACATATATACTCAGAGGTTGCAACTAAAACAATTCAAGATGCACAGTCAAAGGTGAACACTCATAGAGTCATCACCTTTAACAGAACAAGCACTAAATTTTTAGTCGAAGAAACACAACATCCGATAGAAATTCGACCCATAGGAAGATTTACAGTACGGTTAGATAAAATGTGGTGTGATTGTGGCAAATTTCAAAAAATTCACATCCCATGCTCGCATGTACTTGCTTCATGTTTACACACACACTACAACTTTAATATATACATATCTCATGTGTATACCTTACAACAAGTTTCTAAGGTATACGAAGGTCAATTTGGAGAACTTAGACACGAAAACTATTGGCCAACTTACATGAGTCCAATTTTGTGTCCAAATCTAAAACTAAAAATAACTTTAAAGGGTCGACCCAAGTCTAGTAAGATAAGAATAGAGATGGACATTAAAGAACAACAACGTCAGGAAAAAATTGTTCTTATTGTCATACCCCTGTTCACACAAGGAAAACATGTTCAAACATCGCTCAAGCTTCTAGTTCCCGCCATTAATTTTTGTTGTTGTTATTATTTTAAAATTTTATTAATGTCATTTTTAATTTTATTAATGTCATTGCAACTTTTAAATTTTTATTATTTGTAATTTATATTAAATATATAATTATATATAATATATCTACATAATATTATTTAATTATATTTATTAATATTAACAACATATTTTTAAAATAAATAATTATGTATAAATTGTAATAAATATTAATATCTCAAAATAAATAAATAAACTAGTTATTATTTAATACGTAATATTATTTTATAAATATATAATATTAAATAAATTACTATTATATTTTGTATTTTATACAAATTTAAAATTAAATAAATTATTGTTGTAATTTTTATCTTTTAAAAATCTATAATATTAAATAATCAAAAATATAATTTCACAGTATAATATTAATATCATTTAAAAAAATAAATTTATATTAAATAAAATAATAAGAAAAATAAAAATATTATTTATTATCTTAAATACATGAAATAAATTTTAATAAATATTTAAAATTAATATTATTATTATTTTTATTTAATTTTAAATAATATAAAAAGATAAACATAGTTTAAATAATAAAAATTATATTATTATTTGAATTATTAAAAAAAATTTAAATATTTATTCAAATATTATATTATAAATATTTATTTTAATAAAATATTATATTATAAATATAATTTAAATAATAATTTTTATTTTATTATATTAAAAAAAAAAGTTATGCTCAAAATTCAGTCTGAGCACCCATAAAATCAGGTTTATCCCTGTAAATATTTTGGGCAAGGGTCTATTTCAGAATTATTATTATTATTATTTTAAATATTTCTGTAAAAAAGTCTAAAAGATCCATTCAGGAGTTAGAAATTTTTTATTATCTCGGTTGTTTGTTTAACGATATTAATTTTGTTTAAAATGAAAAACATGATTTCAAAAACAACATTAGCATAGTTTTGCCAAAGTGGAAAAATCTCCAACAAATTAATGGAATTTAATTTTTGTAAATAAATATTATGAAAGTAAAATAATTAACCTTTTAGAACAAAAAATAATAATTAACCTTTATATTATAAATTGGAATTTTTTTTAATAAAAAACATTTCCTGTTGTATTTTATTTTTCTTATAATGTGTGACTTCTCTTTTATTAGTTATTTTTTATATTTCTCAAAAAATAAATTATTAATCATTTTAAAATTTTCTTTTTATATTAATTTTTATCATTATATTTATATTTTAAATTTCAAATCATTGAAATATTAAATTATTTTTCATCTCAAATCTTAAGTCTTATCTATCTATAAATCTATTGAAGTAAATTAAAAAAATCATAAAATTTGTATTTTCTTTTTTTATAAACTCTTCTACATATTCCATAAAATATGTTGTACCAGTGCCATGACATAACTGCAAAGGCAAAGGTAAATTTGAATCCTGCCTCATGAAATTTCTTAAAAAATGATATGATAGAAATTATTATAAGCTCAAGTTTAGTTTATCAAAAAAAAAAAAAAATTACTTTAAAAAAGCTAATGTCTTTTCAAGGAAATATTCTATTCATTAAAGCTGATTTAACATTTTGAGTAATTTAAATGGATAAAACTTAAGTATAATGTCTCAAATACTTTTGATGCTGCTTCCTAATTAAGACTAGAATTTTCACGAATAAACATTTAATATTATTACAAATTATTCAGATAGAATTAAAATTTTAGTTTAAAAATAAAACAAAAAATACTTTAAAAAGTGCACCAAATATTTATCCTTTACGAAGTCAAAATTGATTGATTATTTTTTTCTAAATCGCTGACCAACTATAAGTAGTTTAATTTAAATAAAATCTCAAGTAAATGATCCACCCATCCATCCCTAAACGAAAAATATAAACTTGGGACTCAAGTAAGAGAATTAAATGCCGCCAATCGGATTAGCATTTTACAATAAACAGTGAAAAGCATTCAGCTTCCACGAGATCCTTATGTCGGTGTAGTTTACAGTTATCCGTCACTTTTTAGTAAAGGGATCCCGCAGTTCAGGTGTTCCTCCATTCCAAATAGACAACATGCAAATTACGGCAGAAAGTAACATTCAGGGCTAAGAAAATTACTTAAACAAAAATTATAAATTATAATCCCTGTTACCGCATACATACACAGAAAAAGTCCAACAAATATAGGTCTTTCAAGCAAAGTATCAGCTCAGTTGAATAGCAAGAAGCAAATAAAGAATATGGGAAATTATCGTTAAGTGACAACATCATTTACGCTCACAAATATCCACCCCGCGCAACCCACACCCATTGTTGCATTATGGCTCCATAGACGTCACACTACAGGTTATACCACAAATACATGGAATTTAACAATGACATGAAACCGGCCAATCCAATCCTACACATCCAATCTCAAACAAAAAGAGAAAATATATATAGATATATCTGCAGTTCTGATGAAATCTGGATATAATTGAATCGAGCTGTGCAATAGATCTTCAACTTTCTGGTGCAGGAGCAGGAGACTTGAGAAGTGGTTGGAGTGCTTTAACAACAATGCTCATATTTGGCCTAAACTCAGCTTCATACTGCACACACAGCGCTGCAACAGCTGCAAGCTGCATAGTCAACAACAACCATTGTCAGCGTCAGCTGAAAAATGGAAGAGACCCAGCACCATGACTTTATTCATGAGTCAAGAGTCTTTGTGCGTGTGAGCAAGGGAAGAGAGAAAGGGAAATAGATACCTTAGCAACTCCTTTGGGGGGGTATTCTCCCTTCAGTTTTGGGTCTACGCACTGTTTCACTTTATCTTCACTTAATCTTGGAGTAGCCTACAAAAAAATGTAATTGTCAGCAAAATAAATCTATGGCAGACATCCATTGGAAAATAGTTGAAATGTGGCAGAGATGACATGTGAGTTTAAGCAGGCACACTGACCCATGTGACAAGACTCTGCTGTCCTCGAGGCATGGTATGATCAACAGGCTTCCTTCCTGTAAGAAGTTCAAGAAGAACAACACCAAAACTGTAGACATCACTTTTTTGAGTCAACTGGCCAGTCATTGCATATCTGTAAAGTTTCACAACACAGCAGAAGCTAAGAACCAATAAAACAAAAAGTCTCAAATGCAAGACAAAAAGGGTTGAGATCAGAAACAAAAAATTAAAGATGGAAAAACAAAACTGAGCAGGCAAAGATATTAATTGTGTTTTCATAAAGTTTCTGATGAAACTGCATGCCTCAGTAACTGGTCCACAGAGCATGTTGCGCTAAAAGACATTAACCATAAAATCTAACAGCAACTGCAAAACACTTCTTGGTCAACCACATATTGAGTTTGATTGTCACGATATTCATCGTGTTTCAACAGTGACATATCGTTCAGGAACATCACACAAACATACAAGCTAAAAATAACAGACTATAATGAAAAACCTTTCAGGGTAAATTGGAGCAAGAAAACTAGATATAGAAGAGGTACAGTTTTCTATTCTTTATTTATCAATTCAATTGCAGTAAATTTGAGCCATTCACAGGCATTACTGGGAAAAAACACAAAAATAAGACCACATCTGAATCCAGTAACGGTAATATGAGCCCCATGCACCCATTCGTGACAATAACTCAGCAGCCAAGAGTTACAGCTTTATCATCAAGTAAAATTGAAAGATTACACATATATTGAATTGAATAAGTTGGGAAGGGAAATAAGGTTATACATGTCCATTAAAAACATCAAAGAAACAATCAACAGATTTATCAAATGACTAGAATATAAAAACAATTCAATTTCAAATGCCACTTGATAGTCCTCAGCCATAAATCATGAAAGGCAGCACTATGTAAAAAGATAGCACACAGGCAGCAATAGAAGTCTAGAACACATAAAAAGACTCAATTTTATAACACAAGATAGCATAGATACAAATTAAATTGGAAATAAAAATGAAAATATAAACAAAAAATTAAATGCTAGCAGGTTTGCGAAGCTTACTCTGGAGCATGATACCCAAAAGTTCCCAATACACGAGTAGAGTGAAGGCGTGCAGCCATGTCAGGGGCTTGATTAGAAAGGTTGAAATCAGCTACCTTAGCCTTGTAATCTTCAAAGATGAGCACATTACTTGATCTGATATCTCTGTGTATAATGGGTGGTTGAACTTTCTCATGTAAATATTCTAATCCCCTTGCTGCGTCAACTGCAATTCTAACTCGTTGTATCCAATCAAGAGTTGGCCCTGGTTGTGCCCCTTGAACTCCCTTTCTACCTGTAATGGAAAGACAGCCAAAGTCATCAATGGAACTTATTGGATATAAAATATAAGATAAGATATGACATGAATTACCATGCAATATGTCATGAAGAGAGCCCATAGTAGCAAACTCATACGCAAGTACACGAAGATTTCCTTCAACACAGTAACCGTGCAACTCAACAAAATTTTCATTCTTCAATCTTGAAACCATGGAAACCTGAAATAGGGAACACTGAATGAGAGGGCTAATAAACTGACAATAACCATCTGGAAATCAACATACTTGCAGACTGCAGTTTATAAATCGCAATAGTTTGTTTAGTTGATAGCAGAGACATGCCTGGGTCAAAAACTCGTTGTTTGTTTCGGGTTCAGATGAAACATCGAGCTTTTTCACAGCCACAGCTTTTCCATTGTTTAAGGTTGCAAAATACACCCTTCCGTATGATCCTTCACCAATTAATGCCTTTGAACCAAAGTTGTCAGTCTTTTCCTTCAGCTCATCTAAAGATAATGCTGGAACTTCAATAGGTGGTGGCGCCTTTTGTGTTTCGGGCTTGACAGGAGCCGACACCTTTGAGCCTTTTTGATTGCCTAAAGCAAAAAATATGACTCATGATTAATCTTTACCAGGAAAGAAGCCAGCCATCTTATATGATGAAGTATGAGAACAGAAAAAATTTGAATTCAAGATTGTTGAAGTATCTAAATAAATCACTGAGAAATATAGATACAAGAAAAAAAAAATGGAAGCTAAACGTTCAAGTGACCGGCTTAAAGAAATAAATTGAAGACGTTCCTGAAAAGGAAAATCAGATGCCTTACAATTAACTCCTCTTCTGACATCCCTCAATTTATCTTTAGTTCTTTTTCAAGTAGTAAACTAAACAATGTATAAGTAAAATATCGCAACAAACGACAAATTAAGAAACCCACCGTCTCCATAATTCCTTGGACTTTTCAGGTGTTCATTTTCATTTGATGGGTAAGACTCTTCCACCTGACAGGTACAACAAAGCCACCGACGCATTCTCGTCCTCTTCCTCAAATATATATCGTCTTTGTAAGTTTTATTTCCCAGGTGGCCAAAGTAATCGGGAGGAGAAGAAGCATGTGCCTGCATGATGTCACAAGAAGCATAAACATTCAAACAGGTATATTTAACCTATCTCCCAGTCCCAGATAAAGGGTCCACTTTCAGCATTAAAAAGTAATAAAATGAGCTCATTGCCAGTTATTTAATGATAATTGCTGCATAAAAATTAACGATTAGTGAAAAACAAATTCGGTTAATAATAGCATGAATTTTAGAGAAGCAGGCCATGACGGGCATTGGTCACACACAATGCTCGAAGAAATTGATGCTTGATATGCCGACAGAAAAACATTTCCGTTCCGATATTCACACCCTACATTTCGCCCATCACATTCATCCCACAAACATTATAACATTGAAAAAGCCTTTATAACTCCGAGTGCAACCCAACACAGATTTAAATTAAATTGAAGAATTTGAAATGTTTAATTTCGGAGGATAATGAAATTCAAAAGCGACGGGGTCAAAATCCTTGATTGACCCAATTGATCGAACAATTAGAGTTTCAAGGAGGAACAGGAAGCGTGACGGAACAAAAGTTGAAAACACAGAGAAGAATGAAGGAATTGAGGAACGAATTTAGAGCGGAGAGGGAAAAGCTTACCAAATGAGCAGGTCGATGGTGGAAGTCTCTGCGGTCCATCAAAAGATAAAAGCAAAACAAAAAAGGAACGGCGAAATTTAGGCCAAATCGGATTAGGGAAAATGCAGAACACCCGAAGAGGCCCAAAAAATTGAAGAGGCAAAAACGCGGAAAGTAAGGGAAAAGGGGAAGAAAGAAATAAGAGAAAGGGGAGATGACAGAGAATGGTGTAACCAAAATTAGGCAACGAAATTACAGGTAAAAGGAACGGAGAGCGAAGACAGAAATTACCTTGCGTTATAGATTATGCAATGCAATGATATGCTAAGCTAGGGTTTGTTTATGCTGTGGAACCAAATAATATTAGAAGAGAGAGAAAGAGAATGCGATGAGAGCCAGGTGTGTTTTGGGTGCTTTCTTTTTAGATGAGACTTGCACACAAGCAACCCCATATCAAATCATTCACTATTTCCCTTTTATTATTTAATACATACATATCCTACCGTTATTATCATGCTATATAATTTCCATATTTCATCATAATTAAATTTCAGAAAATAAATTACCAGGTAATCATTTCTTTCAAAAAAAGAAAGTTATGCATATTTATATTTATTGCTCATCATATGTTGATTTATTAATACAAATTTTCATGGTAATAATAATTTAACTTTTGTATCATGCTTTTACATTGTTTGTTAATTATAAAAATTATAAATCAAATATTAGAAATAGTTTTGTATATTTAAAAATGAAATAAACAAAAAATATGTATGTTTGGACACTTTTCATTTCTTTACTTTGTAGGAAAGGAAGGAGGGGCGGTTGTGATGATGGGAGAAGGTATCTGTGGCCAACTGTTACTCATTCTATGGGATTAAGCGTGGGACCATTTCTTTTCTGCATTGGCCGGTTTTCTTTCTGCAGACTGCTTCTAATTTTCCATTCTTTAGGACCATAACAGGTCTTCCTGTTCCCTATTTGTTATTATTTTTTAAATCATTTTGTTTTTAATATTAGTGTCAACCGTTATAATCACAGGCAAAAAGAAATTCAAGCACATGCCTTTGGATTTATTATACATCGAAGAATAATCTGTTCAACTAAAGCACTAAAATAACATAAGAAATTCTATTCTAAGTAATGAAGAAAAAATAGGAAGTAACCAAACCGGATATGAAATTAAAATTCATTTTAATCCTTTGAGCTAAGCCATAGTACACACTAATATTTGTTGTACACTAAAATGCATACTAAGCTTTCAAACTTCAAATCTCCCAATTTTATTTCAAAAAATTAAACTTTCAACGAAATAATCTTCACATGCCCAGTGATCCTCTAACTCAGTTACTACTATGCTGGTCTATTTTGAGCCAAATTTATGAACAATTGATTGAAAAATAAGTGAATAATTAAGTCTGGTGGGACAGCTTCAATGATTCCAACCTTACATCCTATCTCGAATTTAATTTTTGGATTCTCTCACTTCTTCGAATCAAATTGAAAACTTTCCACCTTTTTCTGAGACTATGTTGTTTGAATAAAGAAATTGCACGTGTAATTTACCGAAGTGACAGGTGCAATAAATGTGTAAAACATTACAACATAATAAGATTTTATAACAAAATAAATCAAAATTAAAATTTTAGTTTGAAGAAAAAAAAAGAGTGAATAAAATCTATATAAAGAATTGAACTGGGGAATAACTTAAACCCTAACTTTAAGTATATAGTTCAAATGAATTATTATTTTAAAACAGTAATCAAACATACTCTAAATGTTACACTTGCATGGACAAAACTTTACAAGTATAAAAAAAAATGAAAGGATTCTAATTAATTTGCATTTACAGAACTTCTGATCAATTAATTACATAGTTAGTTATAATAGAAGCTACTGATCCTGCAGTACTGAAAGGAATGTAGAGTGTTGTCATTTTGTTTTAGTCTAAACTACAGTTATTCTCTATGAGAAACAATTTACTTGAACCAAAAACACCAACATAATAAAATTATTTTTCTTAATAAAAATTTGTTTCATATACCACAAAATTCAAAATCAAGACTTTACTTGAAGAGGATAAAGTATGTATCACCTATTTAGTATCTCACTGTTTTATTTGATTACATTTTTACAAATAAACTTATAGTGCACCAGAAAATCGAATATAAATAAATTTATACATTTTACGGGACAATATCTCATCCCGTTTTAAATGAACATGATCAGATCCAACAAAAACATTTTGGCAAGCTCTACAATTGGTTAGGGGGAAATAGCACAGCACGAAAGGGGCCCTAACTAGCCATCTCTAGTTTAAAATTTTAAAATTTGGGTTACTAACATTATCAACCATTTCCCCGGACTCTCGAGTCAACATAGTACTTAAAAGCAAGCCCAAGGGCCTGATAGCATGTAAACCAAAACTCCGTCGGCAGGATTACCAAAACACTTTAAATGAGCTTTTCCAAGCAAGAAATATCTGCTTTCCCTCAACCTCTGCTACCAACGTAAACACAAACATGCACTAAAAACATCATGGAGGTGACCAGAAGATGCAATCATCACCCTGAGACATAAGGTAATAAGTATGCTGACCGAAAAAAGTGGACAACAGAAATTGCAGGATAGTATAATTTTAATCCAAATATATGTTTATGCTTAGATTCATTAAATGATTGATGCTACAACAAGCCAAAATTATCACCAGCTTGCACTGTGGTCAAAACTGAAATGAGTGCGAAAAATCCTGATCCTAATAAAGCTCAAAAGGTAGGTCACAACTTGCTAATTCAGCCTCTGCTTGCTCTTGCTCCTCCTCATCTTTGCCTTAAATCTTGACTTCGCCATCAGAGTCTGTACTGTATTTGCAAAGTTCCCAACAGCCATTAAGACCAACAGGACACCACAAAATATTACCTGCCCAAAGAGTTTCTATCATTATAAGTCTAATCCATGCAACAAAATATTACTGGATTCATTTTCTTCTGTTCTAATCGATTGGTGTGCAAAAAGCAAGCACCAGCAAACTAGTACCTGCCACTCGGAAACAACCCGAACAAATGCAGTCCTAAGCAACAATAGCCCAATATATGCTTCAAATCCCTGAATCAAGATAGAAGCACAGATATATTTCATGAATGTCCAACCTCTGCTATGATCAGGTCAATGGTCCAGAATGTGTTCAGTTTTAAAGCAAATCAACACAAGATTTGCTTCTCAACTAATCTACTGTCACTCACACAACACAATATGTAAAATGTTCGAGTTATGAAATCTGAATAATGAATGTTACAGAAACGAGAATATCATATGAAAATCCAGCTCATAGTCAAGCATATAACTAAAGTAACATGTATCATAGCAGCATGTTGTTACCTGCAATGTGAAAAGTATGGGACACAATAACCACAGTTGGCCATCCACACCAGCTGTTTCCCCCCACACAACATCCATCCTCTTAGCCTAAAATACAGAGAAAAACAAGGATCAACACTATATAGCTTTGGAAGATTTAACTATAAATTAGTGGAAGCTATAGGGAAAATGAATTTGTTTTTAATCATGATTGCAAATAAATTGGTAGAGCTATGACTACACTGAAATAGAACCAAATAGTGAGCCAAAGAATTTAAAGGGACTAGGGAGGATGATAGAAAGTCGTGTGAGTGTAAACTATAACAAAAATAGAAAGGAAAAAGCAAGTAAAATGTACTATTTAACAGTGGCACCTTTCCCAATGCAATACGAGTATAAAGCCTTTGTCGTTGATATCTATTTTGCAAAAGCATTGCAACTCCTTGCATCATAGCCCATTGTAAGAAAAGTTGTACACCTCTCTGCATGCATAATTAAGACATAAATAATAGATGTGTAACATAATAAAAAAAGGAAGAAAAACCTGTATGCACACAACTAGGAAACTAACCTGCTTTTTTGCACAGTCTGGTTGTCCTTTAATTTCCCAAGTGAGACTGACGAGGGCCATTACCATAGCACAATAATGATGATATATCCACCTGTAACCATATAGTAAGTTTATTTGCCAAAAGATTTTGTCCCATCCAAACCAATCTCTGCTCTTCCCCTTAGTCCCAATATGCTATGTAAGGATGACATCATTAACAGCCACACTAAATAAAATTAGGGTCCTCCCCTTCTATGTATTCAATAAAAAACAGGACAGAGAGGCATCAATTATAACTCTTTATATGAGAAAAAAATCAAACAGTGGGCAGTCATTAATAATCCTCTTCTCAGATGAGGAAAAAAATATTAAGAAAAGGAAGATGGATTCTCTACAAAAAAAAATCAGAGAAAAAAAAATATAAGCTCAAAAAGAGTTGATTAATCACTTTACAACATAGGCAAAAGAATGGACTAATAAAACTCATGAGCTGAAGCCTGCAAATAAGCTAAGAAACAAGCCTGTCCTACAAAAATGAGAAAGAATGAAGTAAACCACAGCAAATCTGGCATTTGACACCAACCATAGTAACACAGTTCCAAAAGACCTTTACGTTAGATGGACATATCCGATGCTCCACAACTAGCCCAAACAACTTACTCTACTGCTGCCATGCCATCCAACAAAGCAAAAAAATAGATGGCTATTCATATGATATGATAGCTTTTATAACACTAGAAATTTCAACAGGAAGGATCTTCCAATGCCAACTTGTGTCAAAAAATTAGCGTTGAAGAAAGTATCAGCGTATAACAATCCAAACCTAGGTATCAATTTATTGGTTGCTTAAACTGTGCAATGGGATATTTGGGAATAATGTTTCACGATAAAAAAATTATCAAATAAAGAAAAGTAAAAGACTGGGAAATGATTTTGAAGAGTCTAAAGTACATGTGGAGGTATAGAAAGAATTAAAATAAAAGGAATGAGAATGGCCAACGAAGATACCAAATCACATGTCTCCTGATCCTTGAGTTTCCAGAAAAGAGGAAACAACAAGAGATGGAAATCTTGAGTGGGAAATTTTTTTGAAAAAAAATTCAAATGTAACTCCTATTTAGGGTATGTACATTTCCCGTATAAATAAGATTTTATTTGTACTGTTTCTTATTTTCTTACTTTCCATATTTTCCAAGTTTCCTTATAGGAGACCATTCATTCTAGTTTCTTAATATTCCCAGTTTGCAGATTTTACAGACTGTGAATCCTAGTTTCCTAATATTAGAAATCATAAACTATCTGTATATACTTAGTTGTGCTGAGGATTTCCTCAAGAATATATTCAGTCTTAAATGTTCAGTATTGGGTGTGAAGGAGTGCTTTAAGATCCCACTTTGACTAGGAATATACAAACCTCCCCCTTTGAGCTAACTTTTGGGGTTGAGTTATCCCCAGTCCTTTGAACCTCTGTTGCCCCTATGCTTCTAATAAAACAAATTTCAGCACATGGAAAGTGCACCTAGCATTATTCACACTTCAATCCTAAAGCACTTTGTGGGAGGGAGTGTGTTAGCGATGTAACAAAAAACTATTCGTGTGTCTTCACTATAGAGCTCCAGATTGTGGAATGGTTGGGACATGACAAAAATAAAAAGCATGTACACCTTGTTAGGTAAGCAGTTGATAAAAGTATTGAAAAAAAAAAAAAACAAAGTTCCCTCAGAAATGAAAATGGAACCACACTACCTTCCAAAGAAAATAAAGAAGAGAAACGAGGGCAGAGTAATAAACTTCCAGGAACTCAATTAAGTAGCAGGCTCGATCACAATTCACAACTACTTCACCAGTAGGGCAAAGTTTATAAACACAATATTCCTTAAGCCTAATCCGTCCACCATAGGCTTATGCATTACACGCACATCCCAGCTAATTAAATAACGTCCTCTATGATCCTCCACAGCACACTCAAGTTTACTTGAGTATGAAGTGTTGAATGAAGTATGAACAAAGTTTTACAATTTTCACTCATGTTTAAAGAACAACATAGCATTGAGCATAGAACCAAGAACCCAAGACCCATTAATTAACTATGACCCATTCTTGTTCATGAGGATCATTACTTTGGGGCAGAGGGGGGGGGGGGATGGGGTTCACAAAGACTCAATACAACACACAAAACATTAGAATTTAATGACTGTACCATGGACGAATATCACTTCCATTGACTCTTAATATGTTCTCTCGCAGAGCCAAACCAGTGTAAAGGAATAACAGCCAGGCCTGACAATGACAAATGATATTACTCAACAACAGATTGCAGACAAATATTTCATCATGTAAGCAAGTAAATACTGACATGACATCTAACAAGAGGTGTTTAAAAGAAAATACCTGGTAAATCTGAACAGGAAAAGCTGGCAAACATCCAGCCCAAACCCAAGATCTTAGAATAAGCAGTATTGCCGGAAAAAGCAGGAATAGCAGGGCAGTTCTATCCTGAACAAAAGAAGAGTCATTTTCATATATGTTTCACAAACTTTTTTGTGTTGTCAATGGCGGGATTTCAATGTACAGAGCATCATTTTGTGTTTTGAGCCATTTGTGGCATCATGCCTCAATTGCAAATTTTGAGGATTTCACCCCCCCCCCCCCAAATCCAGGATTAACCCCATGCTTGCTCCAGTGGTTTAAGCTTCATCATTTTCCAGAAATCCACTGGCATTCTTTGCTCTTCACACAAACTCTTGTCCCTTCTCACCTCAACTTCAAAGGTTTTTGCAGGTCTTGTGTGTGCTCTTCAAGACCTCCTCTGTTCCCCCCACCCCTCTTTGTTTTGTGTAGCTTCTACTTCACATCCCACCTTATAGTTGAACTTAGAATTTGATGCAGTAATTTTTTTCCTCATGTCCTCAACTGATGTTGTTATTTATGGTAATTTTGTGCAGACTATGTAAATGTGAATTTTGATAATTAACGAGGAATATTTCTTTAATTCCTGGTAACATTTTGTTTTTGAGCAGTTATATTATATGATTGTGGTACAAATCATTTACTTTGTATACATAATTTTTGATATAGCACCCATCAACCTATCTGCTATGCCGCTAAAGCATTTTTGGGGAAGACCGCCCCAAGTTGCACTGCCGGATAGACAAGTATGACATCGATTTAGCAAATTACTCAATTTTTATAAGCATCCAAAAAACAATTACACAATTTTGTATCAACCATGTTATTCACAAGCAACATTTTCCTTCTTTCTACAATAGGCAATGTATCTTAACATGCAAAAATTCTGCAAGGATCAACGTAAAGAATTCTAAACAAAAATAGGAAATCAATCAAATATTCAATTTCTCAAAAGCACAAGACAAATCTCTGTATCTTCCACAAAACAAATTCGACAAGCCACACATAGTAACATCGAATCAACAAAGTAGGTGTAGGGAATAAAGCAATCAAGATGGAAACAACAGGATAAACATTATCATCATTATCTCATCAAAATGAAGAATAAATTAATCACAACACGGGAGCAAAACCTACAACATCAAATAAACATAAAATCTCACAAAAAAAAAATAAAAACTACCCACATCCCATAACAATAACCAGAAAAGCCATAAAAAGCAATCTAAAACTGCAAGCAACCTTTGAAATAAACATGTAATTGCAGGGAGCAAGGAGACAAATGGCAAATTTTAGGTCGAATTATAAACCACACACAGACTAACTTCACAATTGAAAGAGATGCATGCAGAGAGAAAGAGAGAGGGAGAAGTAGATATACCCTGTAACTGTTGTATTCCTCTTTAACCTTAAGCTGGACATCCTTCCGAGAGGCACGCACGTTGATAGGACCCAAAAACATCCTCAGAAAGCTTCCTGAAGTAATTGAATCGATAGAATAGGTTACATACACACAAAAAGCGAATAAAAAAGGCGAATAGAGATAGGGAGAAAGGCAACCTTGTGCATGGCCAGGGAGAAACGAGGAAGCGTCACCGTCGACGATAATGCATCTGGCTCTTTGCAAATCTTCATCCAACTGCAAGGAAACAAATGGATCGAGGCTTTAGAGAGTGATAAATTAGAATTGAGAGAAAAAAAGGAATCGGAATACCTTATCGGCAAGGGAGGGAGGGATGAGTTTGTTGGAGAGGAGAGAATCGAGAGAGGAACGAAGAGAATGGATTCTGGCGTCGAGGCGAAGCGCACGCTGGCGAAGAGGTTGCTCATCGCTTGAGGCTTTGGAGATGTGAGCAGAAACAGCTTCTTGAAGCTCCTTCGCTTCTTCCACAACGCTCGCCACCGACTCCTCTATCGATGATTCTTCCATTCTCTTTCCCTCGCCACCCACCACCGATGCTGATGCCTATGCCAATACTGCACTCCACACGCAACACACCTCTCCCATCTAATCCTCCATTCTCCTTTTTATTCCTCAACTGCGCCTCACTTAGTTTAACCAAATTACTATTTTATTATTTTAATAATAATAATAATAATATATATCAATATTATTTGAATATTTACAAATTAAAATTACTTTTCTCATGTTTTTGCTCATTTAAAGGATTTTAATTTTAATACACTTTGAGTTAAAAATTATTTTTAAACTTTTTTTTAATTAATTCAAGTTTGCTTCATAAATGAATACAAATACGAGAACCAATTGTAAAAATAGAGATCCAACTCAAATAATAATAATAAAAATCATAATTTTGTTTAAACATATTTTATATACATGTAATATGTACATACTTGTGTTCCAGAATAATACATCCAACGATGTATGCAAGCTTGACAATGGCTTTGACATGCAAGTATCCCCCACCCCCTTTCCCACTTGGCAAGGGAATCCAACATATTTCACCAATATTGCAATTATAATCAGTTTAATTACTAGTAAAGTCAATTAATTACATTAATCATGTTTATCCAAAAAAGCATTTAATGTGTACCAATGATTTATTATTTTTAAAATCCAATCATGGTACAAAGTAAAATTAAATGAATGCTAGAACTTATATTCTTTTCTTACCATAGTAAGTACACAGAAATAAAATAAAACAAAATGCAAGACATGGTTAGGTTAGTGAAAGGTAATCTCAACCTGAGAGTCAATGGCATTGTCAAGTCTAGGTGTACATTTGAATCCGTGTTAAAATATCACGGAATTATGTTTTATTCTACAGTAACATGATTAAATCATAAACTAATGTTTAGTTGCTCTCTAAAAATTAACTTTATATTTGAATTTATGTTTAGACTAATATAATGAATTACAGTTTTATGTTGAATTAACAAATATTATAATTTTTATTAGACAGTTATTTTGGAGAAATGATGGCGGAATTTGGTAGTTGGAAATTTCCCACTTACTATGGCTATTAAAAAGAAGTTAATAGAATATTTGTCAAGGAGAATAATGCTTATTTAAATTACCTTAAATATTGTTTAATGTGATTTAAGGTAACGCTTATACCAAATAACCTGCATGAAAATAATTTGAAGTTCAACAGTATTCCTTCACATGATTCTCCAATTGTTCTGCATGAAAAGAACGTGAGGTTCAACCGTATCTCTCTTCACATGATTCATCAACACTGTTGTTTCAACTCTTCTTAAACCATGGGTAGGGTTTTGCTCGACTTTATAAACAAGGAGATGGATTATAAGTTCAAGTACAGTTGTAGTTATTCATTAAAAAATGAATGATTAATAAAATTGTCACAAAATATATAAACATATATGATAAGTTATAAACTTACTAAAATCTTAATTATTAAACTATATTTCTTTACGAATTAAATTAAAAAATAATTATCATCATTAATTAAAAAATCATAATAAATTTATTAACAATTTGATGGAAGAGTTCAAGACTTTTTTGATAAAAAATTTTCCATATGCTTAAATCTTAAAAATCAAATCCAAAATTACATTTTTAATATATTTAAATTTCTTTCATTTAGACCAATATTCACTAATAATACACCCTCACATTGTCGACAATTTTAGATTTTTTGCAAATATAAAACAAAAAAAAAAATGCAAAAATTGTTTATATTAGTCGTATAAAAATTGTGTAATTTGAATTTTATACATAAGTCATGCAAATGTAAATTAATTAATGAGTAAATCAGGAGGAACAGAACATTGCTTAGGAACTTATACATAAAACTGAATGCAACTTGCATATCATAGTAGTTTTCCAAGAAAAAAAAAATACAACTTATATACAAAGACTTGAAAAGAATATAAGTTGTATAATAGTGGTGCAACTTATATTCTGTATTATACACCCTTCAACTATATATGTTTTTATTTAGAGCTCTATTATATGTCACACCATCCTTAGCTTGCATATATTATATTCAAAACTCCAGTTTTGTGTATAAGTACAGAATATTTCTGCAAGTTATATATATATATATCTGCAAAAAATCCGATATTTTTAATCAATTTTTATTATTTCACATTTTATCTGTTAAAATTCACTCCTCACTTTTTATTTTAAAGCTAGTTCAATTTAATTTTGTATTAAAATAAATAATGCAATATTCCTGCCTCCGTCTTTCCACACCTTGAATATTGTTAACTATTACATTGATCCAACAAAATGGTGCCACTGCACCTGATAGCCCCAAGGTGAAACCTTAAGATTACTACTGCTTTTATTAAGAAAAAGAATTTAAAAAAAGAAAAGAAAAATACTCCAATCATTGTACCACTAAAGCACAATTATAATTTCAAATAAACCTAAAAAATGAAAAGGGAAAGATCCCTGTAGTCTGAATATTTAAAACGAACTTAAATTACATTCGATGCCAAAGCTACTCGTGTCCTTAACCTACATAATGCAAATATATTCGGGGTTAAAATACAGCCACAACCCCTTAATACGGAGACTCGAGAAAGGTTAGGATGCTGCTGTAACATTCTCTCCCTCTTTGCAGTTGAACACAACAAGAAATCCCATGCAACTGTGACCAAAGCGGTAACACATTCTCAAATATTGGATGCAGAAATTGGGATCTTTTCAGCAGATGGAGATGTTTCCTTGAAACCCAACATCTTGTTTAGTGCAGCAATATAGGCCTTGACACTGGAAACAACAACATCCATTCCCGCTCCACTCCCACTATCAAAAAAGTAAAACACCATGTCCATGGATCGTTAGAAAGATCAAGATATACCAAAGTAATCCACTTTAGAATTCACCGTACCTAAATGTTCGATGGACAGTTTCTCCAGTAAAAGCATGAGTAGTACTTGCACTTGTACAACTTGTCTCCCCTCGAATTACAACTCGGGTAGTGGCAATTGCATCAATGCCTTCGGTGACTGCATTCATTGAGTACTCAAGAAGAGTTACTGGTTCCTGCAAAAAAAAAAAAAAACGAGTATAAGATTCCTCCATCATACCAATAGTGATACCAATTCCAGCATATTTCAACTAAAAGTGCAAAGAAAATCAGGAAACATAAAAGATTAACAGTCTGCCACATGACAACCTTTTTTTTTTTTGTCCTATTTCTAGATTGAACGCCCTGAAACATCACTTAACTCTGGTGACAAGAATTATAAGCAACAACTAACATACACAACTTCAAACCTTCACAATCAGATCAACAGCCTTGTAAGCCGAATCCACTGGTCCAGTACCAACAGAACAAGCAACGTACGTGCTACCATCACTACTAACAAGTTTGACAGTTGCTGTTGAAAGACCAAGAGTTCCACATGTCACCTGCACCAGATAGATACTGAATAAATTATGTTTGTTCCTATTATTGTCAAGCCATTATTTCAAATTTCAAAGAACATATCAATTTACCTGCAAATCACCAAGCTTCCAGATAGGCTCTGCTTGAAAAACTTCATCTGACACCAATGCTCTGAGATCAGCATCAGTAACCCTCTGATACAAAATAAAAGCATGTTAACTAGCACATGTTCATAAGATATAAAACCCGTTATCTTATCCCAACTTCGATTTTGTATAGAAAAGAGACACCAGCTTCATTTATTACTGGCCAAATTAATTGCTTGATATCAAACATTACATATCAAAAGCCAATTAGACCTAATTTGTTGACTGAGTCAATGCTAGCCAGATCTAACAACTTACATATTATAATGAGTAACGCTAGAAATGGAAAAATAACTCTACTTTTCATTTACCTTTTTCTGCTCAGCCACTGCTTTAAAACGCCAAAATAAACTCTGAACTTGGTCATCGTTAAGTTCATAACCAAGCTGAAAAAACAGAGAATAACTCATAAAACAGAAAAAAGCATTCAATAAACATATAGTTCAACTCATTCATATACCTCTTCAAGTCGTTTTCTCAAAGCATGGCGTCCACTGCAACAATAAAAATAGAAGTGTTCATTACAAGGAGAAAATAAAAGTTCAGAAAAATTGATTGCACAAGGTACAAGAGGAAACAAGAACAGGAAAGAGTCATTAACAAGACAAATAAACAATAAATAAAGATCCATGTCATTTGAAATACAGGGGCAAAGATACACTTATATATGCCATATTAATTATTAAGCTACATACAAGTTTCCATAAAAATAAATGTTAGATATCCTAGATGTTAGATAGCCAAGTCAACATAGTATCAGAAGCCTTCGCAAGTCTCAACCAAGTTATTAAGATTTCCCTCAAGTCAAAGAATATGGTGTGATATTTTGAAACTCACATCAACATCAAAGTTGACCAGGATTACCTTGCACATTGGATTCTCAAAGCACCAGTCATACGAAATTCAGTTCACATTTTGTTTTTGGCAGTGAACATTTCACATTAGGCAAACTTAAAAAGAATAACAACAGTCGAATAGTCAAAACCGTGCTTAAGAATCACTTCACAACTGTATAGAAGGATAAACTAAACTATCATTGCAACTCGTTTCATCATGTCATGCTGACAGTAAATATTTAACAAAAAAAAACATAATACTTAATTTTGGAGATGATAAATTTTAAAGAATTTGAAAAGCGCGTAAGGACTAGCAGGGTGTACAAGATCCATGCAGATACAAGTGTTCCAGAAAAAAGAAAATTACATACCTAAGCTTCCCTAGTACGATACCAGCTTCATTGGATCTTTCAAGTCCGATGTCCTCAGGTGATATTATTTCGTATGTACCTTTGTGTTTTAGCATTCCATCCTACAACACAGGTTTTGAAGTAGAAAAAGGGCCAAAATCAAAGGAAATTTTTTTATGTGAGCTTAGGGCAAAGTTACCAAATAATAATAACAATAGAAGCCAGGATTTCAAATAAGGAACCACTGTTAAAATATATGCCATGAAGGGAAAAACACTTTAGTGCAATATTTTGGTTAATTTTGGTTTGAATAACCACACCAAGTAATATTCTTCTTTCACGGTATCAATAATTACTTTTCAGGAATTCTTCCAAAGTAAATTGCACCAGCATCTAAAACAGACAAAAGCAATGTGCTGCACCCAGGAAAAAAAAAATAGAATGAAGCTTGGCTGTATATGATGTGAAGGAAATCCAATTATGTAAAAGGAATGAAAATAAAATTCTAATGTGGCTCTTGGATGAGTCTTTAAATGGCCTTTCGAATAAAGCTTAAAAACTTTGCCTTTTCTTTCATCAAATATATCTCTTTGTTGCAAAATCAAATGGGATAAGGAATCAACAAAATGCTCTGATTTGGACCCGAATGGAAAAGTCACATGCAAAGATATGTGCTTTTTAACAGAACCAACCTGATGTATACCACTTTCATGAGCAAAAGCATTAGCTCCCACTAGAGCCTTGTGTGGCTGTAACTGCAAACCAGTGTACTCTTCGACCTATAGGAAAAGATTCCCATAAACCAAACAGTCAATAACGGTCTTTAAAAGGGAAAGAAGTAACAAAAAGATTAGTTTCAGATATAAAACCATCCTGCTTGTCAGATAGATGTGCTTCGAATTAATTCCAGTGTACAGATTGCCAAAGACATGCGATCCGCATTTCAGGGCCATGACAACCTTGAAAGAAGTAAAAACAATTAAGTCCCCAAACACAGAAAAACCGAAACATTAAAAAGTGACGCAACAGAAAACCAATCCTCACCTCTTCCAATGAGGCATTCCCAGCCCTTTCACCAATCCCATTAATAGTCACTTCCAATTGCCTTGCACCCGCATGTGCACCCTGAAGTCATCCAAGAACACATAAATTCAGCACTACAATTATCCATCAAAGAGGTAAAATAATAGCACAGTACACTATGGTATAGAAACCTGTATGGTATTAGCAGTAGAAAGGCCAAGATCATTCTGGCAGTGAGTGGAAATAATAACGTTTTCAATTCCAGGGGTATTGGCTTTAATATCAGCAATTAACTTTCCAAATTCAATGGGCATGGTTATGCCAACAGTGTCAGGTATGTTGAGAGTGGTAGCCCCAGCCTTGATAACTTCTCCAAGAATCTCATAAAGAAACTCTCTATCAGACCTACCAGCATCTTCGGGACTGAACTCCACGTCATCGCAACCTAAACTGCGAGCGAACTTCACCATATTGCGAGCAACGTCGATGACCTTTTCTTTCGACATACGAAGCTTGTACTCCATGTGAATGGCGCTGGTCGCGATGAAGGTGTGGATCCTTGGCCTCTTCGCGTACTTAACGGCTTCCCAGGCAGTTCGAATGTCGTTTTCGTTGCAGCGGGAGAGCCCGCAAATCACCGGCACGTAGCCGTGCTCGTCGACGGCGTTGCCGACTTCCTGAGCGATCATTTTCACGGCTTCAAAGTCGTCTTTGGAGGCGGCGGGGAAGCCGGCTTCGATAATGTCCACGCCGAGCTTGGAGAGCTGGCGCGCCACGTCGAGCTTCTCTTTGGAGGTCATGGATGCGCCGGGGGACTGTTCGCCGTCGCGGAGGGTGGTGTCGAAAATGCGGACGTACGACGGGTCCGGAATGTGGTTGGGAATGTAGGGAGGGCGCGGCCGAAGGGGTTCCTTTTGCGATTGCAATTGAGATTGCGATTGAGAACATGAAATGGTGAATTTAGATTTGAATCGGAGAGGAGAGGGTGTTGAGGTTTGTGGGAAACGGAGAAGGAAGTGTATGCGGTGGTGGTTCTGAGAAGAGGGGACGGAGGGAGAGAGGATAGGGTTGTGGATCGTTGTGGCCATCGGAACCCTTTCTCTTCACACAGAGTTGTGTTGTTGTTTGCTTCAATTTAAATAAGTAGTAGCAGACACTGTGGTGGCGGCTATTATATACTCAGTGCCGCCCCTTTTCCCCCTCACCTCTCTTCGTGTGATGCAAGTCAGATAGAGATACTGACTGTATTGTCTTATATTTTTACCATAAATCAATCATATAACAATATGAGAAAATTAATTAATATAAGATTTTTTCAATGACTTTTCAAATAAAATATATCATTAAAGATCTTCATTTTATTTTGCATTGGAGTTTCTTTGTATTTTTAGAGTCAAAATCCTTTAAACATAGCAAACAACTTTTCTCCCTTCATATAATAATATATTTAGCACATTATTGTGTAAATTAAAGATTCTTTTAACATAGCCATGCAAAATAAGTTGAGGGTGAATTTTTTTTATGGTTAGAGAGAGATTGTTTTGTTTTTCATTCAAATTGAAAGTGATTCTGTTAGTGGTCAGATACCTTAATCTGTTGTTATCAGTGTTTTCGGAACCCATAAAATGGCCTCATAGAAAAGCATCTGAATGTCACGGAAGATGATGGCTTTTGCGACAACGTGAGTTCGACATGAACACGTACAAATGAGAATCAAAATAATTGTGATGATCTTGTAATTGATATCAACATCTCTTCAAGTTTAACGTTCTCTTTTTTATTAATAAGGCATTCAATCATAGCACATCGCATTCATTTTTCTATTCAAAACCAAGATTCCTACTTTAGTATACTCGGTGCTAGCGCTTCTTTTTCTGCACGCCTCTCTTGGTGTGGTATAAGTGAGATAGAGATACTGACGTGGAAGTGACTGCACTGCACTGTCTCACGTTTTTACAAGAAATAAAATAAAATGTATAACAAAATGAGAAAACTAATCATTCATTCTTATGTGTAATTTAAAATTATTTCTTTTTTGTTTTTTTAATTGTATTTCAATATTTATATACTAAATCACAACAATAATAGAAATTAATTTTATTTTTATTATTTATATTTTTTAAAAATATAAGTTTTTTAATAACTATTTATAATAATAAAAATTACTTTTTTCAAATTAAACATACCATTAAAAAACACTTCATTTTAGTTGGCAGTAGAGTTTCTTTTGTATCTTTTGAGAGAGTGAAAATACTTTAAACATCTCAAACAAGCTTTTGTACCTTCATATAATATGTTTAGCACACTTTTGTATTGTCATGTCAAATTCATGGTTGATTAATAGCAGATTAATTAGAGAAGTTTCCAACAGTTCAATTAAGCTTATGCAAAAGCAAGAATGCAAAATAATGTGAAGGTAAAATGGAAACGAATGATAACACTGTCAAAACTTTTCTGTCATTTTCCCCGTAGAAGTATGAATACAGAATAGAGGTCACTAACTAGACATGTCACTGTTTCCCCTCCAAGAGAGATTTATTGTTTTTTCAACCTTTTTGGTCTATGCTTCTGCTTGCGTTTTTGTTTTGGTGGTAAATCATCTACCTCGTAATTTTTACCAGCAGAAGGACTTTCGCTTGAAGGCAAATCTTCGTCAGAACTAAGTACCAAGTCCTCCACAACATCGTCATCAATGACTCTCTCTTTCTGCTTCTTTTTTCGCTTTCCTTTTGTTTCTGTAGGATGTTTTGCCCTGAATGCAAAGTATTGCTCAGACAGAAGTACAACAAAGAAACTTGGTGCCAATGTCAATGCGTGGATTAGTGCATGAATGATACATGTATATGTGTGTGCAACCGAGTTTACCAGACAGAAAAAACAAAAAAAAGATTCGTACTTAGAGTCATTTCCAGGTAACCATGATGAACTAAAGACAGCAGCACCCTCCTCATTCCTTTTAGCATCGTCTTCGTCACTTTCTGATATTTCATTCCCAAAAATAGACGACTCTTCTCCCACAAGGACACTGGAAAATTTCATGTTATGTTAGAGACATCTATCCTAGTCACGATTACATGTTGGATATAGGAATGTATGTGATTGAAGTTGAGTTCAAAGTTCAAACCTGGATTCCATTAAAGAGTTGTTCTTTTGCTCTGCTCTCTGGTGGAGTGTTATGACATACTTTGACAGTGCAGTAGAAGCTGCTTTCTTTTCATCCTAACATAATCAATTTCATTCTTTTCAATTGTGGGATATGAATTGCATTTAAATAAGTACAGTAATGCTGAGGCTTGAAGTAAGTAGGATGATAATCTAAGAAACACTTACTAAAAAAGTGGAAAAGAAAATAACAAGATGTAAAACATTAAACATCAATGAAATGGCTTCATCACAGAATATGAATGTGCATAGCCAGAGATGTAGACCACAAAAGATAAACTATGTATGCAAACCTCAAGAAAAGATGCTGCTGCAGGATCATTCGGTAAAAAGGAAACTGACATGCGCCTTCCATTCACAAAGTCAGAATTAGCCTCAATCTGAATTTGGAAAAATGAAATATCAGAGATGAATGCCATGAACACAGCTGAATGCCAATAATAAAACATACAAGTAAAGCCAAGTGTCAACGCACCACTTTTTTTTTACCATTTTTTAGAAATACCTGGCGTATAAGCTGCCTCATTTCTTTCCGAAACCTCTCCACTTTGGTCCTTTTGCAAAAGCTTCGCAACCTCACAAGTGGAATAAAAGACAACTCCATGAATGCAATAGAATAACTCCACTGTGACAAGTGTTCAGCAAGCTCTTCGACCACAGAAAAAACACATGCCTCTTGAAATGCTCGTGTCTTTAGGGTCATCTTGCTAACCTACAACAACAACAAAGCTTTATCTCACTATGTGAACATCTTGCTAACCTAATATGGAAGAATTCCCTAAGGCTAAGTGGAGGTCAAAAAATGCACATAGATATTGATTCATGGTATGAGTACCTTCAGTGTACTACGCAAGTCAACAGCTTTACCAACACCTCCTGTAGGGGGCCTATTCAACTCTTTCATCTCCAGCATGTCCAAAAGGAGCATAGACACTGGTATAAAAGAATGGGTAGAAGCTGCAAGCTGGTTCAGCATTCTGATACATCTCAACCTAAGGGGAAAATATCTAGCTGTGGGAACCAGACGGGCTACCCCAGAAATTATCTGGGTCAATGGATAGGCAAGTTGCTTTAAGTCAGATTCTGAACCGTAGGCACAGACAGCACCAGTCCAAAGTTCAAGACAGTTCATGAATTTCCACTCATAAACCTTGCGAAAAGCTTCCTAAAGAATACAATATACTTTCAGGGAAAGGGAAAAATAAGGATCACAAAATAGCAGTGTCATAAAAGCACAAACAATTTGTTTCAATTTGTGAAAAGCTCCAATCAAGCAATAGCATTAAGGAAAGCCTAATGATTTAAGGAAGTTTTACCCTAATTCAACATTGATTGATTGAGGGAATCAATTTCTAAGTAATGATTGTAGCATGGTTGTGGGGTGGGTGAGACTTGAAAGAAGGGTGCACAATTGTGTAACTCTATCATCTTGTCTAATAATACAGGCGTGAGCTAGAGGAAACTTGCACTTCAGCCTACAGGTTTTCTATATTTGCAACCCCCTATCTATGACACCATAGCTTTATTTTTGTATCTCTAATTTTTCAACAACAATCAAAAGTGCCTTGTAAGTGTAATAGACAGATAACAGAACTTCAAAACCTTGACATGCAAGGTTCAAAAATAAGATCGTGCTGGAAAGGGCAAATAATAGAAAATTATGCCAAGCTTGTACGAAATGAAGGATATTAAAGTCCAGATATAACCAGTTTGTTAGGACAAGTCTAAAAATAAAAATAAAAAAATGTTAAGAAGCAGTTGCAGTTTCCTAAGATGAAAATAACATGTACCAGACAAATAAACCAGCACCTTAGTTTTCGTATTAAGTGCCTCCCTTAAAATCATAGCCAGTTGCCGGATGTAAATGAAGGCATGTTGATATGCAGTTGGAAGATCCACAGCAAGAAGTTCAATGACGCAATTGCCAAGAAATCGGATATGTTTAAGTTTCACTGCATTTACAAAGTGGCAGTTCAAAACATAGGCTTTATATATCCCTCTGAAGCATTCATCTACGCAGCCAGATCCAATTCGGATACATAAATCTCTCAGAAACAGAAACGAAACAACTGGAAGGGCACCTCCACCAGTACCCCAGAAATGAAGGACCACCTGATAAATTCAGAAGGAAAGTTAGTTTGCTAAATCAATGGAAAAAATATGCCAAGTTACATGTCCCAAAATGTAACTATATTTGGGGCAAGGAAAAGGAAAATAGAGGCAGGGAATCGATCTCCTCCTATAAACCATACAAGATTCAGATAGATTTTAATTGATAGCTGTCTGTCTATTTATCAATTTCATCTTTAATTGTAGAAGACAAAAGGGTATCATAATCAATATGCATCAGAAGACATGTGCAATACAGACTTAAAAGCATTAGCAGTCACTGATGTTGAATACTGCAGAGAACATTAATTGGAAGAACAATGGGCTATTCATACCTTAATGTATTTCCTTAGGAGTGAAGGAAAAGCAGCCAAAAACAATGAAGAATATTTAAGCCGACCTAAAGTAAATGATATCATTTGTGTGTCAGTCATTTGGTTCAAAACATAGAGAGCATTTCCAAGGTAAGACTTCACTAAATGGCCATGATTCTTCCAATGCTTTGTGGTCATTAAATCTGTTATAGTCTCTTTCTTTCCACCAGAAGCAGGAAGCTTCAACAAATTTCTGAGTATTCCATCCATTTCATTAAGTACAGTCAACATTATTTTGTTGAATACTGTGCTAGACATTACACTAAGCTTAGTCATAGACTCATTCCCCCCATCATCACCATAGTGGCATGCTGTCTTAAAAGCTCTCATTAGGGAACGAATTGCACTTAGGCTTCCATTTTCTTGAATTGATTTGCACCACAAATCAACTATGGAAGTGGTAATAACTTTCTTAGAGGGTTTTTGTTCCTTTTCTTGAATTTCATCCTCACCAGCCTCCTCAGCTACCTGCAGATCTCCATCTTCCATGTCAGTATCCACATCTTCCTGGAGAAAAGAAGCAAAAAAGCTAAGTAGTTTTAAATATTAACAAGCATCATATTAATGGCTATTTGCTTATTTAGTAATGTGTATAAATAAGCAACTGTAAAAAAAATCAAAACTAATATTTTAAAGGTATTTAAATAGGAATTTACTAAAGGAACAGTCTTCAAAGAAATTCATTCCTGTCAGAAAATGTTCAAAGGGTATGGTTATAAAATCTTAGCAGATATCTTGGATGATAGAGATAAAAAGTTGAATTTTTTTTTTCAGCAATGATATTTGAAATTCAAGGAAAAGAGAAGGAAAAATGGATTACAAGAAACTGCAGCTTTTTCAAAAAAATTTATAAAAGAATTAAGTACACCCATTAATATTACAAAAGAAACAAGAAATAGATAGCTGAGACAAGCAAATTAACCAAGCAAAATTTGCCAATATTTCAAAGACTCTATCCACTACAAATAATGTAAGAAGCATCAAAAGGATAAATAAAATGAGTCTAACTAAACACACTCACATCAATATCATCATCACTGAATTGAAGCAACTCCTTGTCGTGCTCTTTCAAGAACTCATAAAATTCAGGGTCCTGAAATGGGAGAGCAGTTAATAACATCAACAATAGAATACAGCCATCACGCACGCTTTAGTCCAATCAGACATTTCATTTGCATGCGTGAATCACTTTATCAAAACCTAAACTCAAAACTTCTTTTGTCCTCCCAACCATTTCATTCCATTCAAATACAGCCTTGGTGACTGCCAATATATCTAGTTTCTCTAATAAAATTTCAATCACTTACATGCTCTCTTGAGACCGTGAACTTGAAAATTACCAAGCTTATTCAGTTAAACTATAGAGAACCTTTCAAACAAGAAGAAGCAACACGATGGACCTTAATCCTAACTCAAAGCGCCATATGAAAATAGATAAAGTTGCACCACAAATATCATAATGCTAACATGCACTAAGAAACGCCAGTGTAAAACCTAACCTTCTGCTGAAGTTTCTGTAACTGCTCTTTATGTTCTCGTGCTCCACTCACAGGTAAAGATTTCCTTCTGCTCCTTCTTCTCACATTATTATCTCCATCTAAATTCCTCTCTAATATACCCACAAAAAAAATCAGCGAAGAAAATAAATAATTGAGACAATAAGAAAAACCAATTTGTAAAAAAAAAAAAAAACACAGAACCTGTATCATTTTCCGTGTCCATGTTCCTTGAATAAAAAATCTGTCCACAGTTTTCCGGGAAAAAAAAAGATGAAAAGATCAATATAAATGCATTTGGCAATTGAAAGTTGAAATAGAAGCACAAATTGAAAAAATTATAACGAGAAAACTAGCAGAAGAAGGGTACAGAAAGAAACACAGAGAAAGTTAAGCCAAAAGCCAAAGAAAGAAAAACCTATTCGTCGCCGGGGGATATGTTGCGGTTGCTTTCGGCGGCGGAACAGACAACTAAAGACTAAAGAGAGGTTCAGGGTTATTTTTCCTACTTTCAAGTTTGTTCTCCCCGCGACATCATGCTTTTTAAAAAAAATTATCTTTTTAAATATATTCTTATTCTTATAAAATTATGAAAACTTACTTTTATTTATTTTTAACTCCTATCAAATATAAAAATCAGTTACTTCTAGTCTTTTTTGACAATAAATAAATAAAATCATACTACTTTTAGAAAAATATATTAATCTTAGTCTATACTAATCTTAATTATGTTACACAATTAAAAGATTTAATTAATATTTTTTATCATGTTTTATTTAATATAAAATATATTATTTAAATAAAATTAAATAATTATTTTGTATTCTATACTTATAAATATCTATATCATGCATAAATTTTATTAACACAATTCAGTAATTATATTGCTATAAAAATAATCGAATTAATAAAATTTAGTTACAATAAAAAATAAAAAAAAACTATTTTACTAAGTTTAATACAATGTCATTTAATGCACATTAACATATTTGTATTTATATATAGTCTTACAGTTAACTAGTAATAAAAAAATTAATATTTCACCACAAAAGCATATATTTACTATTGATTATATATATATATATACACACACAAATCACACACAAATCAGTTTATTAACCTCATAAAAAGAATATATTTTATATTATACTTAAAAAACATATAATTTTAAATTCATATTCTAATCTTAAATATGGAGAGCATTAATATTATCCTTTTAAGAGGCATTACATTTAAACTAATTTCACACACAATTGGTGCACCCTCCACAGTTTCACCGTCAACGATGAAGTCGTCAACAGAAAATTTTCATCTTTGGTATAAATTAAAAGAGTTTCCATTTATTCTCCATCACTTCAATCTCTCGTCGCATTTGACGAATTACTCTGACCTAAATTTTTTAATATTATATTGTAGTTAATGTCTCAAATCCTACTGAAACCTTTGCATCACGAAATTAATACAACATTAACACGACCTCCTATAAAGTGGGCCACCAAACCTCGTCTAAATGCATCCTCCTTACTCACAATATTGTCAGCTTTCTCCACCGCCATGGCCCATGACTCTGAATTCGACAATGCTCTTGTTACGCTCTCCCCTTTTTCTCCTCACTCGGCTTCCAAATCCAATTACCTGGGTGAACAGAGAAAAGGGTCGTTGGTGACAACAAAAAGCCCGTGGGCTTATGCTAATGTCAATGGCAGTGAAAACATGAAAACAAAGGTTGGTTGGACAATGGTGAAAGAGAGTGAATTTTCACATTCACCAACGAACAACGCTCAGAATATAATGAGAGCGAGTCAGATTGTGAGAGCCCAACTCCTCCATGCAGCAGCAGCATCGAGTGGGGCCCATTCACCCACACCTTCCAACGACGTCGTTGTGGACACGGAGGAGAAGAAGAAAGCGAGAGAGATGCTGCAAGCACAACTTCTCCGGGCATCAGCATCCACTCTTAACAACGACGTCGTATCTATGGATACATTGAGGAGACAACAACTCTTGTGTGCATCAACGATGAAGGAGCGTTTAATACCCTCACTCAAAAATCACCGTTTTAATCACAACGATTATGCTTTTGATAAAAACACTAACCGTTCTCATTTCTCTCAGTCACAGCCAATGAGCGATGTTGATGAAGGCATTGAAATCTTTTGTTTTGGCAGTGACAAAACGTTGCAGAAGGCAACTGTTACTGACATAAGTAGTGAAGCAGTTAACGAGGTTGAGGTTATTTCGGACAATGAATACGATGGTCGAATCCATAGCTTTCCGTACAAGAAGAATGGACCGTACACGTGTCCTAAGTGCAGTCACGTGTTTGGCACCTCGCAGCGGTTTGCAGCTCACGTGAGTTCGAGTCATTACAAGTATGAGAGCAAGGCGCAGAGAAAGAAGAGATTGATGGCCAAAATTCGAGGGAAAAGTTTTCAACTTCATCGTGTAAACGATGGACTCACTTTTGTTCCTGTTCCTTCTTCTAAGGTTGTTGCTGCAGGGAACAACAGTAACCATGGTGGTGCTATGGTGAAGGTTGAGGCTGTAGAAGTAGGAGCTGTTGAGGTGGCTTCTCCTCTTCCTGGAAAGGAATTAGGTGTCAAAATCAAATTGGAACCTGTAGATTCATGAGTCAAGTTATGTGTCATTGAATAGCTGGGGTTAATCTTCAGGGTTTAGTTTCTTATCAGTATTAAATTGTTATTCAATGTGTTAGTCTTTTCTTTATCCATTTGTGTTTGTGTCAATCTGGTTTGTTTTGTTGTCCAGTATTTCGTGTTTTTGCCAACTTCGTGCGTGTTTTTTTTTTTTCACCCGTTTGGAAAATGAAAATATTTCGTCAACCACCTGAAGGGAACACAAGCAGGTGTTTAATTGTAATTTAATACATTTTTCGAATGCTTGGGTAGAAATATACATGGTGTTACATACAATATTAATTTATAATTGTTTAAATAATAAAACTGTTAAAAAAAAGGTGATTCATGATTACGTTAGCTTGCAAAAGAAATATCATTTCAAAGGTTTTAATTTTCAGCTTGCTATTTAAGGAGTCGATTGGGTGATTTTTAGTTTAAAATTTAAAAAATCTTCAAAATTAAAATAATTTTCATTTCTATAATTTTGGCTTTAATTTTTTTTATATAAACCTTAGTTTTCACATTTTGATATCAATTTTTAAATTTATTATATATTTAAATTAATTTATTATTAAGATGAAGTGACTAATAATAGCATTATTAACCCTAGCAATACATAGTTGGAATAACAGTGGTCAAGCATAACTATAATAGTAATAATTATAATGTGATATTTGTGATAATGATAACTAATAGAAAAAATGTTAATAGCAATAGTAACATAGTAATGTAATAATATTAACTGTGAATAATTATAGTGGCTTAAAGGTGATAGCATTTCATAGAAGTTATATTAAACAAAAAGTAGTTGATGATGATAATAACAGTAATGATAATAGGTAATTGAGGTGATTAAAAAATAATAATAAAGGTGAATGATTATAATGATAACAATGACAAATAATAATCATAATAATTATAAAATAATCTAATAATGATTGTAATTGTAATGACCAATGATGACAGTAATAAAAAAAATTCTTGCAAGTTCTTGATCAATAAAAACATGGCATAGATGCATTTTAAAAAAAAAAAAACTAAATATGTGGTGAGATATAAATGACTATGACCACATAGTCTCGAATTACCTAAAAATTGCTCTACTAATAAAGAGTAGTTTGTGATTAGGGTGACTAAAAGTAAAAAATATCAACAAATGTAACAATAAATAGTGATTATTATAGTTGTAGTATCAAATGGTAATAATGATTATAACAATAACAATGATAAGAGTAACATTGATAGTAATGATAATAGATAGTAGTGGTGATAGTGGTAGTGAGAGTAATGATGGTAATAAGTGATAGCAATAGAATTAAAGGATAATATATATGTTTTTTAAGAAATAGAAAGATTAAATGAGTTTTATATACAATTAAATTTTAAATCTTTTTTTAATTCTTAAAATTGAGTTAAATTAAATTTTAAATTGAGTAAAAAAATAATTTAACTCAATTTATATTTTACTTTAAAAATTAAATTCTATCATTTAATAAATTTAAATGTGTTTGCCTAGTTAGGCAACTCATTTTGTCCAAATTTCTTAAATACAATTATGCATGACTTCTTGAAGGAGTGGATACAACAAAACCTCAGACACATTTTTTTAATAATTCTATTACTTAATTTTTTTATTTAAAACAATTAAAGTTATTTTTTTAAATTTAAGTAATATTTTAATTTTTAAATAAGTTAGCCCGTAACTCTACATGCTTTAATTTTTGTAACATGCAAATAATATAAGTCATCTGAAATTACATAGGCCACTATCTTAGACTTAAACCTATAGTTTTACAAATATTTATAAGCCAATGTGTATATCAAAATTCACATAACTAGCTCTACTTAGGACAAATCTTTAACAAATTAATCTACAAGTACATCAACCATGCACATTGATAAGTACGTGAGATTTGATTGTGAGATACAAAATTTATCAGCCAAATCCTTGAATATGGAAGTGCTCAATACCAAAGTTGATAAAAAAAAGTGTCAAATGATCCATCAATGATCCCAACCTCACTAATATGGAAGGATTATTCATTATATCTTGTATTTTAAGACTTTGTTTAAAAGTTTAGAAAGGAAAGAAAAAGGAGAAAAAAGATTTAAAGAAAAAAGAAAAAAATTTTAAAAAAAGAGAAAGAGGAAGAGAGAAAGAAGTTAAATTTCTTTTTTATTTGAATATTTAATATTAAAAAATATATGATAGAAAGATTAATCATATAAATGATATTATTATTTTTTATATTTTTTTATTTATATTTTTTAATTTTTATAATTTTTAAAAAAAGTTCTCACTTAAAAAAATTAATATTTTTTAAAAAATTAAAATTTTAATCATAAAAGAATACAAAAAAAATAAGAGAAAAAAAAATCATTCAAAATAAAAGAACTCAAAAAATTAACATTTTGAAAAGTTTATAAAAACTTTAAAAAATTTCTTAACCTTTCTCTTTTTAATTAAGTAACTTCTAAATAAAGTTTAAATCACACTAACCTCTCATTTCCCCCTTTCCTCCTAAATATAAACTTTAAAAAGAACAGGACAGCTCATTTTCATTCTAAATATTTTCACCTAATTTCAATGCATATTACAAGTCTCAATTTATTTTGACATCAAAAAATTAATTATCACTGACCAAAATTAATTTAAATACACATCATAATTACACCCAATAATTTAATATTGATTTTATCCAGCTTAAATATATGCGAACCCAAAGTTAGACACAGGACGTTAGCTCATTGCCCTGTAAAATCAAGAAACAATTTTTGTGCACACGGAAATATATCTACTCACTCAACACTTAGCTGAAGCTCAAAATTAATGCAAAAATAATATCAGTTCTATTTCAACTTTCATTATAAGTAGACAGTGCTAACATTCAATGATGATGGAAAAAGGTTAATCGGAATGAGAACTTAAAACTAGTAGATATTTAAATCAAATGCTACATCAAACAATTTAAATGACATCCACTAGAAAAGTGATGTTACAACTATTCACACAGCTGAAGAGACCTACAGAAAATGTAGGCTTTCTACAAGAAAATTTACTAACTCTACCGCCTCACGAAATAGATGGTATCTCATTTAGGAACAAGGCATGGACCATGTAAAACTATATCCCAGTATTTGGATTGTTCCCGGCTAGAATTAGAGAAATTTCTAACCCTCGACTAAAGGCCTGGTTAAACATGAGGCGAGTTTGGAATGTTGATACAAATGGGAACCACGAAAAGAATGCAATTGGTACAAAGATGAGCATTCCCATGCCAGCATCATACAGTCGAGCAATTGATCGAACGGATTTCCATAATCCTAGCTTCTTCATCACCGGCCTCCAAGCTGCAGCAATCTAAACAAGGACAATCAATGTACAAAAGTCAGGGTGCATACAAATGAGATATTAAAACAACTGTAAAAATTCAGCTCCATTTCAGCACATCGAATAGTGTTTGTAGCAAAAGAAGTGGGTCGACAAATGTGTAGGATTCTAGATGAGAAAAACGCAAATGCACAAGATTTCAGTGACAATCATGTGGGCAAGGTACAATTTCATAAAAAAAGAAAATGATGTAAAGGAGCAAAAAACACGAAAGAGGAGACAAAAAGTACGAAGGAACCAGTTACCCTAAAATCTTCAAACCACAAGGTACAAGCGGAAAATTGACTTATTTTTTCACCAAACCCCAGGGAATCACTGATGGGAAAAGCAAAGCCCCGTCCAGGTAATATGCTAAAATTCTAATTTTAATGACAAGATTGAAATCCTGACTGCTTCCTCTGCAATCAAGGTTGATATAAATACTAACGGCTAGTTCTCCACACAATAATATTTATGTATATTCAGGTTTGAATTTCCCTGCAAACCCATCCACGTGACCCATTTTGTGGTGACTTTTTCCAGCAAATAAACAGTATGAAATGATCACATACGCCAGTGACCATGACACACTTGATCTCCGAGCAGTTATGGCCACCCCCAATGCCTTTTGTGTGTGTGTGTGTGTGGCAGGACCAATGATAGTGTCCTGAAACCTTCTAATTTAGAACTAATCCCTGTTTGGGTGTCAGCTTGGCCATGACCATTGGCCACAAAATACTATTGTAACTTTGTAAGCATGCAATCAAATTGCAGTAAGCACAAATAACTAATAACACAAATGTATGGAGAAAAGAAACTCACAGACAGAATTCCCCATCCGGTAGGAATGAAAGCCAAAATAGAAGCAAATATGTCAGGTAAAGAGAGATCAGTCAATATAACTGCTACAGCTAAACCAGCCAGTGCCACCAAAAGGGAGAGTCCTTGTACGAAACGCAGCAGAAGCTGGAAATTGACTGATATCTTCTGGCTAAAGGTGAATACCTATTGAGAACAAATACAAGATAGCCCTCAAGATACAAAATTACTACAATACAGATTTTAACAAAACACACAGTGCATGTTTTTTACCTTAAAAAGAATTATAAGCACAGCCAGAACTACCCATGAGAATCCATAAACCTATACAAAATGCCAAACATCAGCAGTCAGTTCACTAACCAGTGCATATTATGCACATGTAGATATGTAAAATGATTTTCATACTAACACTGGACAAATATAAACAAATCAAGCCATCCTAAACATGTATATATGGATAATTTAAACATAACCAATGAGGTCAATTCCCATAAAACAAACATCACTGCAGAAAGCAGCTGCTGATACCTAGAAAGAATGGATATGATACAAGACACAAAATGGTGATATGACATTTTTAATAAAATACAACACGACAACACGGGGACACTGTAAGAAAAACAATGTTATAATTATAAAATCACACATCCTAATTTCCAAAATCCTTATCATATGTTTTTTTCTTTAAAAAAAGGGATATTTTCAGACAATATGCATTCACCATGTATTTGACAGTCAGATAGTTCAGTTTCTCAACTAGTCTTCTATACCTTTCTGGATACAAAAGTGACTCCCTTGTCCTACCTAGAGGACGGTATTAAGATCCATAAGTGCAACAAATTTAGCACCAAGCCACCAACCAATCTTGTTTCCTCTAAATTGTCTTGTATCCTTGAGATATTACA